TCTATGCATGTTTTGAACGGTATGAAAGTTTTGTTATAGTTTATGGTATCCTCCATGGTGTATCCTCCATGGTGTATCCATTATCAGTGTTTGTCAGATCGCCTTGATCCATTAATGTCATTCATCAGCGTTTTCTCTCATCACATTAACCCAAGATACAATAAAAGCTATTTCTAAACTTACAGAGTTATCTATCATAATATTGACAATGACTTGATATTAAAGAAGGAACTACTTTGTATTAAAAAGGGTGATAACACAATAATCTCATAAATGAATGCATAAAATGTGTATGGAATTACAAATTATGACTTAGTTATGGGGATAACTTTCAGATTATTGGAGGAATAAAATGTTATCAAAATTGTTATGTTTTGTGTTCCAAAAGATATATGACATATTTTCTATCTATCAGATAGATGGTATATCACCACAAAGGAATTAATTATGCCGAGGGTCGTTAATGCAATTTTATAATCATTAGAACACTACAATATGGTTATCATGGAAATGTCTGTATTTTACTTGATAAACAATATAAGCGTGTATAAATAACTTCACTAACAATATATCATAAAGTACGATATGTTTCTAAGAAGATATCTTTGAATGATATATTGTAGCTCATTATGTAGGTGATTAACGCGACAACATTACATGATTATAGCTTATAAAGATAGGATGTTGCAACAGTGTAATTCATCATTGAACTTGTTTGTCCACAATAATTCAGTCGAAAGAGATATGGTGTTTGTATTTTTCTTATCAATGTCCGATTCAAAATAAAAGTATTCTTTTATATCATGAACATTGTTCCAATATTTTGATATATTTGTTTTATTTATTTTCATTTGATCAATATAGATGATGCAACTCAATATGAATAGTGGCCTTCATTTACCGGCTAATAATTCCGCTTACACTTGATATGACATTCAACATCATGTCATATCTGTTGACATAGATTTCATACCAACATAGTTTATCAAGTGCTAGTCAAATAATGTTGTGAATTAGATAGTGTACATCTGTTGAAACAGATGCAGCATCACTGCTGCTTTTCGTTCAAATATAACGTTGTATAATATGTATTTTTTATAATAAATATTTTTGCAATATCTCAAATGTAAAAAAAAACGGAAGACGAAGATTGAAATAAACAACATTGCTGCTGGAAGTTTTTTTCAAGATCCAGATGTTGAAGGAAAATAAAAACATGGGAATGTATCAAAATTAAATGTCACAAACATATATACAAGGTTCTCAAAGCATAGTCATAATTGAAAACGAAAATGTATCAATTTCTATTTCGTTTGTATAATTAAGATTTAAGTAAAATGTAAATAGTTTAAAAATGCTAGTATACGGTCAAACTTATATTTATGTTTGTGCTGTCCCTTAGTCGAGATTGAAAATGGACGCTGGTTTTTCTCAGGTGTTCGTTCGTGTCTGATATAACACACCGAGGAGTGGCGCTTGAGGTCCTCTTTCGCCAGAAAAGCTTTAAGGTAACCGTATGAATTAAAGTCCAGTCAAATATAGGATGGTATTCAGTTAGGAGTTTTAGAAGAGCCTGTTAATATCAAATATTTGAACTTAAGTATTACGTTCCTTTAAAATTTATGAGCCGACATGTATTCTGATTGAGATATGTAGGAGAGTAAAAAGTTCAAAATTAGAAGAGCATGTTTAAGTTTTACTCGGCTAAAGTACATATAAAATGTATGTAAATCTCACTCACAACAAAAGCCCTGATCAAAACATATTGAATAATTATGTGCTCCATTTTGTGCTAAAAAAGTAACACCATCTACTTGTTAAATACTGTGTATAAGGTAAAAAGTAAAACAAAAATATACTGAACAGTGTTTGCTTTGGTCTCACTATTTATAGAAAGATATTTCAATGATGTAATCCAAAAATTATCAATTTCAATTGTATCACTATCAAGAAAGTAAAATATTATATAGACATATGAAATGAAAATGAAGCACTAGTATAATGTAGTAACTCTATAGCCCGGTATTTTATTGAAAGTATGTAAAATGTTTCTCACGATCACATTTTAAAGGAAATAATCGGACTCAAGACTTGATTTTGAATGATACTTTGAATGAAACAACATCCATTGTTAAAAATGAAACATAGTGACAAAACACATGCGGTGATGACTAGAGCACATCAACAATAATATTTTTCTACATCAAATGATGTTTCGAAATCTTTTTCACTTTACCGTGGTTTCGAGAAACATATTAAACTTATAATTCATTGCAGTTAAAGATTTTAAGATAAAAACCTGGAAACAAAGTGATCCCTCGGAAGCATTAATCACAACAAAATTACAAGAGAATTGCAGACTCGGTTTGATTGAGTTGTGTATATTTTTTAATTTATATTTGTGGGTTTGGTATAATTCCGTATATGATGAGATTTAATATGACCACATAGTATGTACACATCATGAATTCAAGGTTTAAAAATCATTATGTTTAAATGAAACCGGTGCTAGTTGGCGTAGCACTTTTCACTATTGTTCATGTTCAGTTTCAATTTTGTGGTATTGGGCTTCCGTTTTTCTCCTTTTTTTATTTCTAAATTCCTATTTTGCACGTGCTTTCAACTGTGTTGTTTTACAAATTTACAACAAACATTCATTTGCGACCACACGGTGTCGTTCAGTACACCGCGCACTTGGTAAACTTTAGTTCAAAATATAAACATCTGTTCGTTTATATAACTGAATTATAAATTGATAAACTTATCATAATATCACATGCAAAGATCAGTATATGTATTTATGTTAATTCATTGATAAGAAAAGTTTAGATGATAAATTTTGCCTAATTTGAATGGACTTGAACATCCAGCTTAACCATTTCTGGGTAGTTCAAACCAGCAGTGATTAGGGGCGGTCCCAGAAAATATACTGGGGAAACAGAACTTCTTGTAGCTGTTAACTGTGAACTTAAATGTATAAAAATTCAAAACAATTGTTCCTGTATAATGGGAACACTTCACAAATGAAAGAACTCCGCAAAATGCGGTCCTAGTCTTAAACACCTAAATGTTGGGGAGAAATAATTATTTAAGTAAATATATTTGTGAAATGTTAACATCTACAAAATACCTTTCATAAATACTGGATCCCAAGAAGGAGGATACAAGAACGTGAACAGAATAACAATAAATTGGGAGAAAATAAACTTTTTTACAGTGCTAAAGTATAAATACCCAAGTACTTTCGGCATATTATGCCTTCATCAAAGTTGTATTACATGTATAATGTGCACACAATAGAGCACAAAATCTCTATACGTATGGTATCAAAAATTGAACTGAAGCACAGTCGCTAGAAAGGTGATAAAATTGCATGGATTATAAAAAGACCGTTATTGAATGGTCATTGTTGTTATACTTTACAAAAGATTAACAAAGCCCGCGGACAATGTTGTGTAATAAAGATATAATATCGAATCTTATGGCATTTTAAACTTTTTGACAAAGAATAAAACTACATGTTTAAAGGCATTTTGTGATTATTTTCTAAAAGCAACATGTCAAAAATTTCAATTTTCATCAAGTAGGATGTTTTATAAAGCAGAAATTAAGTGCAAATGACAATAAAGCTCACAGGCACCGGAAAAGAGTGCCCTCCCCGGCACCGCCGGATTATTTAAGGAAGATTTAAAGCAATATGTCAGATATAGGGGGATGATTTATGTTAAAGTTAAGGGGAGAATATAGGTTCAACTCTGTATTGATCAAGCGGTCCCAGCTTGTATACATACATTTATTTCTGGGAAAGACCACCGTATCCCGAATGTTTGTAAACAGTTTTAGCTGGCCTTCTTGAGCCAAATGTAGCACTTCCTATCACAGAACTGCTAATTTGTTGTCAATTGACCAAAAGCCTTTCATCTTTCAACAATATAAATACAGGTGTTGGATGCCTTCTTCAGCGAGGTACTGATTAAAAGCAGTAGCTTTAGAATTGAACAAATGAATGTCGACTAAGTGTCTGCGTTGGCTAAAATTATGATTTGGAAAAGTATGATATCTCTTGCTCTAGTAGACTTCATAAATTGCCTTGTACATTGAATGATATCATCTGCTACGCTACTGTAGTACAGCTTCTGATGTTGCAGACATTTTTGAAAATTCATTTGTTCCGACGATGAGAAGTAAAATGTCTGGATCTGGATCAAAAGCGCCCATGCCTCTTATGTGTTTCATTATGTTTGAAATGTGACTACCAGTGTAAAAAGTTTAAATCATTGAAAATTTATAACAAATTGGCATAGCCGATCATAGATTGGCTGATCCAAATAAGGATGTTAAATCTTACTATTAGGAACGTTAAGATAAAAAAGGAAGAAAAGATTAAAATAGCGAAAAGAATATTTTGTTAAGTATAAGGATCCAACAACATAACTTATTTGATGATTGATGACATAAAAAATGATAAAATACATTAATGAGCCGTGTCATGACAAAACCAACATAGTGCGTTTGCGACCAGCATGAATCTAGACCAGCCAGCGCATACTGTTCGCCATCAGTTTCCCTTACTTATAGGCGAACAGCATGGATCCTGATCAGACTTTGCGGATACGCAGGCTGGTCTGGATCCATGCTGGTCGCAAACGCATTATGTTGGTTTTGTCATGGCGCGGCTGATTTCTTACATGATACCGATTTATTTTTTAATAATATTAATACTATCATTCATGGTGTTGTAGATCCGGTTAATGTTATTATTTGAAAAAAAATATTATGCATGACATGTAAATAGTCAAATCCTGATCGTGCGATGCAGTCACATGTTAAAGTCATTCAGATGTTCAAATTCCAAAACCCAAATAAGATATGGCCTTTTCATTGACCTTATACTGTCGACGTGATGTTGTCATACTACAAAGTAAGCACTATGGCTTTTGTTCAAAATATGTTACATATGACCTTTAAAAGTATGGTCTTCATATAAAAACCGTACTTTTTGTTACGTACTTAATTCAGATTTAGTTTTGTTCCAAACATGTTACATTATTTGCTAGCTAAATATATCTATACTCTAGTGACATGACTGAAAAAACGACAATTAGTGTAATAGTATTATTCATTGTGAATGTATTATTGCTGAGTGGAAATATGTGCCAGTCACAACATTCTAATAATACGGACTATAATGCCGGTTTAGAAAACAATACAGCAGAGATTATTAAAGATTTTATTGACAAAGACATTGTGTCAAATGTTAGTGGCCAAGGTGCTAGATTGTCGGATTATATGATGGACCTTTATACGGCATTAGACAACGTCGAGAAAGCAGATCTTGGTCATAAAGATAACTTTCCAAAAATAAGAAGTTTTCGAGGATTAAAAGGTAATACTTATGATCCATTGTATTATGCTTCAAAGTTGTTTTCTTTGTTAAAACATGGAGCGTTTAAAGACTTATTTATCAATTGCAAATTGATCATTAAATATTTTCAATTTTCTTCTCTTCAAAATATAATTATTAAAGTATTATTCAAACACTCAATTCATGCACACTCAAAACCCTTTACTAGTGTTAAATAGCCGATAAATATTGCTCTAAATGATATTAGTTTTTATTATGAACATTGCGTTTGCTTGAGGCTTTGTTTAATACAAATTATAACACTCATAGCTTGACAACTTGTTGAGATTTCTTTCTTTAAATTTTCAAAAGAAAGTACTTCTTCCTTGGCGGTTTTCTTGGGGAGTTTTTGGATAAATTAATGTTAAGTTGGTATTTTATTCTTTTATAAACAGTTCTTTTGAATAATTTATAATGTCGTCTCAAATTTACCTTTTAAGACACACGTTTCCCCTAATAAATCAACAATATCACACTTCTACTGCTGTTGCAATAGTATTTTTTCGTAAAATTATTTACTTTTAGGGTTTTTTCACAATGCCGATTTAATAGTTGTTCTGTTTAACAAATGGTGTGATAATAGCTCAGTATTAAATTAAAAACATAGAAAAACAAAATTAAAAATGTTGCAGGCGAGGTTTGGTTAACCATTTCCATTGGTTAAATGCAAGCTACCACCTAAGTCCTCTAATACATGATCCAGTACAAACAACTTACAGAAATGATATCCTAAATGTGGTACACGTGTAGCAGTCTATATTTTGTACAAGTAATTGAAAGAGCATCGAAACACGAGGCTATCTGATTTGTACAAGGGGGCGTAGCCCACGAGTATCAGATTCCCGAGTGTTTTGATGTTCTGTCTCTGTTGTATCATAGTCAAACATAAAAACACGTTCCCTGCTGTCACAATATGAAACCCGAGAAAAAAGTAACCAATCCACGAGTATCTGAATATGATATTTCTATCGCTTTCCCTTTCTCTGCCGTCATAATAAGTAAACCCCAGCAAAAATGAGCCGATCAATGGTCATGCTCTGGAGTGCGTGGTAACTAATACCTGCACTCCAGTTAACGTACTGTGCATGTATATGTATACGATTTAACACTGACACATTTTCAACAAGCAATATTTACGGAAGCATGGTACGGAAGCATGGAGAGGACATAGTCGATTTATTTTAATAATCTGTGCCTTTGAAATATCGCGTAACAATATTTTCCCACAAAGTAAAAAAGATTTGTCCATTCATAATTAAGTTGTTCCACGAATAAAAATTTTTTTATCAACAATTAAGTTGTCCCACAGAATAATAAAAGATTTTCTCACTAAATCATGTCTGTTCACAGATAAAATAAAGATGTTTTTCCAAATATTTGTTCCCACATGATCAGATTTCTAGCAAACATTTGTCCACGATTTAAAAATATTGACAATAAGTTAGTTCCTTTTAAAATAATCACATGTCCTTTGCTTAGCCTTTTCTATTATTTCAGCTGTTTGCTACACGCAAACTTTATCATAACTTCCATTTTATTTAGTTCCCGCAACTGCGTTCATTATTTGGAGACCACACGCCGATTTTCATAGAATAGCATGAAGTGTCACATTCATCGAAATACGAACATATCCGGAGAAAAAAAAACATATCCGGAGAATTTTAAAAATTCTTAGATAACATTTCATGTTTTGCTTAGTCGTGGGCGTTTTGCGTGCATTTACAAATGCCTCCCATGAACAAGCGCAGTCAAACCGAACTTGCAACATCTCCAAATTTACCGTGTTGGTTGAGCTTTTCTTTTGATTGTGTAGAGAAAATGTATAGTGCATCTGTACCATATGTCAAATAAAAATAGATTCTCACAAACTCGTAAAATATGATTAACAAAATATATCTGACATGTATATATTTGACAGGTAAAAAAGCAGTAGGCCTTGTTAATATTCATTTAAAATAATTAGATAGATTATGAATTGACGTATTTAGCTTTAACTGATATTGAGAATGCAATTCTTTTTCAAAACTCTCATCTTGATTTCTTTTTTATGTTTAATGTTTAATAAGGCCATGAAACAGGTGCTACATTGCAAAACGTATAAAATGTCATACTGTTTTAATTTCGGTCAAGTTGTTTTAGAAATATCAAAGATTGCAGCTGCATTGCCAACTATATTATTGACATGACTTCCGGACATGAATACACACACGTGCACATTCACCGGGTGCGTGTCAATACAAAGCTTTTCATGTACACATAATGTTTACGTGCCTGTTGCGGATGAACCCTCATTAAGTATAGACAACAAACCAGGGAATAAGGCTTCAAGATCAAACGTTATATGATTTTTTTTTAATTCCCCATATGAATTCAGCAATTATCCAATAACTAAATAAGAACTTAATATATTTGTCGTTAAGGTAGACCATGGGTAATGCATTACCTCCACTTTGAAGAGTATTCCAAAAGACTAATATCACTTGTCAACTATAATGAAATTGAGGGGCGTGGGTTCAAACCCCAGAAGGGGCAACTTTTTTTTCTTTCTTTTTTTTCTTTTTCACATTTTTTATGTATCTCTCAGATCCCTTATGGAAGAAAAAAGTGTTTCATTTGAGTTATATAATTATTGTAGGTATTTATTTGCTGAATAATGCCAAATTTTATAGAAAATATGATACCAAATATTTTTCAAAGTTTAATAAAATAAAAACTACACGGTCAAAGTATTTTATATTTCGCATGATCAACCAATATACATTTAAGAAAATTTAGGCAAACTTTGAAAACAGTCCCTCATTTTGGTAAATTTTAGGGATATTTTGAATAAGGCTTTTATAAAGGGAAATGGTCAAATAAGTGTTTAAAGTGGATGGGGTAGGGCAACATTTTTATACATATGAAAAACATTTTGTTTAGAAACAATCATTTTGATTGTGTAATTTGTAACCTGAATGTCATTATTTGTTTCTTAACAAAGAGCAATAGGAAAACATTTTTCATAATGATGATATTGTAGATTATTTAAAGTTTCCTCATTTCTAAAAAAAACCCTTCTAATAGCAAAGTTTTAGTTCAGAAATATATCCATAACTCATAAACCACACGAAAAATTTCATTCAAATTTTGCATACAGGTGACATTTAAGGTACATGTATATAACTGTCCTATGTTGTCAATTTTACAGTTCCTTATAGTGCCCATTACCCATGGTCTACCTTAATTAAACCAAAAACCCAAAAACTCAAAGTAGGATTTGATAATTGTGAAACTCTGAGGAATAGAAATTTAATTGTGTTACATTTTCCAATGCGAATTTGCTGAATAAACCATGGTTGACTGAATGTAAGGTTGTAATTAAAAGAATTTTTTGTTGTTTATAGCAACATTCTCAAGTCTTCATACATAGATATCACGGCTGCGGCGTGCCAATTTTTCGATTTTCTGTGTTTAATTTCCCGCTCATGACTTGTATATACTTGTACTTGCAATATGGAATTTCAAAATCTTTAATCTTTAGCTAAATATATGTTATCTATTTTCCCAGGTGGTGAAGACAAAGTCACATTTCAATTGACAAACGTTTGGAACAGCCGAGTTAAGAGAGTTGAAATAGCCCTAAAACTTGACAGAACAAGACAAGGAGTTCCTGGTGGTCATACATATAAATTATTAGTACATGGTGCTAGCCACGGTAAGAACAATTTGTTTTAAAGTCGCATAATGTATATAGATATTATCCAATATAAAAAGTACAACTGAGTTGTTCAATTTATAATAACAGTTTATAAATGGTACTTTAATATATTTGTCTTAGTAAATTTAAGATTATTAGTAGTAGTATTTTATATATCAGCAAACAATTTGAAGAACTGTAGAAAGAGAGTAGATGTCGATTGATTGCATGTGACCCAATGTTGACTGTTAGACACTATGCTATAGGTACATTCAATGTTTTTGTTGTTTTTTTTTAATCATTAATATCACACGAAAATAAAGTTAAATAAACAGTATAAATATTGCTCTGCTTGGGAAGTCGGACAAAACACGTGGGAGAGATTCATTGACATTTCAATAGTTTTGCCTCTTTACAGTAAATCTTCTATTTATATATTCTTTTTAAATACATTTATTTTCTGTTTTACATTTCAGGGAGTGTGGAATATGTTTCTCAGTCGTATTCCAACTATCTCGTTTTTGATATATCAGATCTTAAAGACATATTGCCGAACAACATATCTATTGATAAATCACTCATTTCAAACACTGAACGGATCAGGATATCGCGTCACAATGAACCTTTACTTCTCGTATACGAGAACTTGCAACATAACCCGTTATTAAATGGGGAGCATAGATTACGTAGACAAAAAAGACATGTGGAACGCGTATTTAACTACCGCCCTGGAGGAGTGAATTCGGAATCCTGTCAGAGAAAAAACTGGGAGGTACATCTCAACGTATTCCCCGGTTTGGATTGGTGGTTGTTCCCTCGTAAATACAATGCCGGCTACTGTGACGGACAATGCAGATTTCCATTAACAAGAGAGGCGACTAACAGTACTAGCTATTCATTCCTAAAGAATGTCTGGCACACACAAACTTTTTTTTTAGACGATTTTGTTCCGCAAGCATGTTGTGTTCCAGTTGAATACGAACCTCTTCAAATCATATACCTGACAAATAGCATAGAGCAGGATATAATGATGATAGACAACATGATCGTCAAGTCATGTGGCTGCAGATAGAGCATGTTCAACATGTTTTACAAAAGTCAAAAGAGCATAAAGGTGATTTTGGAAAAAATAAACCATAACACGGTCACTATGCTACAGGACATTATTTATTTTACGTAATGCCGAACAAATGCTCAAAGCCGTAAGTTTATACAAATGTCAGACAAATTCCGACATTATACTTTCCCTGTGTATTTCCATCATGTACCGAAATATCACTTAACAAAACCCATGCTCTGTACTTCTTATTATTCTTGATATAAGATTAAAATATTTGTCTGTTGTTGGTATGTGCGTGTGCGTATGAATATAATATGTAATAATCTGTAATAAACATGTTCTGTTTTAAACATGTTCTACATGTATATAATTCTTTGTATTCTATCATATATCTATCTTAAAACAGAGTTACCTCGTTTCATTTCAACATATATTTTACTGTATGCATACACGTGTTGTGAACATTGCAAAATGCGTCTACGTTTTAGATGAAACTTTAACTAATTCTTATTATATAACTCAGGAATGACTATTGCAAAAATGATCTGTTATAACAGGTTTAGCGTCTATATTATTTATAAATTCGTGTCTTAGATATATACTTGAACTGATAAAATTTTAGACCATATTTTTAATCTAAGTTAAGAAAGTAAATCTGTACTATAACCCGACTTCCAAAAGTTATTGTGTATGTTATTTAATTCAATATATTTTTCTACCTGCTTAGGGCAATACGGAGAGCACCGGAATTAAATTTTCCGTGGTCGCCCGACGGAGGCGGAAATTCTCCGTGATAATTGTCTTCGGACAATGAGTATAATGGTCATTTGTAAGAAATCGTACTAATTTGTATTTGGTAATTATATATGTTTGTACATGCGGTAAAGAACATTTAAATATGTTAATAAATATATATTGAATTGAATTGAAATTGGTAATTACTGGATAGTTATCCAGGAAAAAAACGTTTCCGATAAATGACCAGAATGTATAAATCGGCATAAAAATCAACCAAACAAACAAAATATTTAGTCTAAAGTGAGGCATATACATTTGCTCCTTTAATTGGTTTTACTACATAACAATATGATTTTGTGTTACAGTGAATATCATTTTGTAAATATAAAATATACTGATTCCTTTTAATTTTAAATTTCAACTATTACAACCAGGGAGAAAAAAGATAGTGTCGCCTTAAAGATATAATAAAAGTTTACTTAATGGAATAACGCAGGTTTTCATATATTCATCTTACATTGGGTCATACATGGTATGGTACATGTATTCAAATAATGGACAAAGATATGTTATATATATATGCTTATTTAAGACTATTTATTTGATTTAACCATAAAATACCTCCATTCTTATGATGATTGGTAGTAATACTGATGTGTCTGTATTGTTCAAAATATTTGTCGTGTCTTTTTAATATACTGGTAAAAAGTCTTATTAACATAAATATAACTTATTTCAGAATAACTTGCCATTATATGTATACATTATTATTTATAAAGATCGTTGACAGGTTATATGGCCCTATATAAACGGTTGTTTGTAAATGTAACCCGAGCCGCTAGGCGAGGGTTATATTGCAAAAAGCCGTTTATATACGGCCATATAACCTGTCAACAATCTTTATAACGAATTTATAATACAGCAAGCATTATTTTTTAGAGAAAAAAGTAAGATTTCTTTATGAATCGACAGCAGCCGTGTATTTAAACTATATAAACGTCATGATTATCCAATGAAAAGCGACGTTACAAACGTGCAGTATTATAAAAAAAACTGCCTATCAGGTTTTGCACGGGTGCTGGAAAATGTCATTCATCAAACCTCCTCATTTCATTACCTTGATGAATGAGTTGCGTGCATTCCTTCGAAATAAAGTTAAAATATATATATATATCATCCGCTTCTAAAAAAAAACTATAAGAAATAGAAACTACATTAAATATCAATTTAAGCAGTTTCTTAATTATAAACTGTAATTAATATGTAATCTGCAAGAAAAAAAAAGAATCGTCACTGGCGGCAATTATCGACTCCCGGTTAACGCGTTACCGCTGTAAACAGTTACCGCCGTTGGTCTGCACCGGCAAGTTAAGATTTTGACATTGCTGTGTGGTTCAGTTTATTTGTGACACCTCGTGAATGAGATATTGCAAATAAAATTGTATGTTTAGTTTATACTTATTTTTGTGCATTGTACGTGTAAACCAGCATAATATAATGAAAAATTCTAATTTTTCATAATATTATTATTATTAATTTCTGTCTGTATCAGAATATTAAATGACTTCTTTCAAGTGTTTTATTTCCATGATTTGTAAATAAGAAGTATTTATAATATGAAGAATTTACTTGACTTCATGTATACATGCATAAACCAGAGGCTAAACGTGTGTTTGAATAGCATAATCAAAATAAATTGTAGATATTTAACATTTGTCATTTTGATGTTTGAAGCTAATACATGTAGGAAATTAATGTGTTTGTTGTTGTTGTTTTTGTATTGTGTCGGTAAAATCCTCACGGGGTCCTTAGAACATTAAACAGCGTCATCACAGGAAAACAAGTCCTTTAGGGATACTGAGGCAAATTAATGACAAAATACCAAAATTATCTTATGTACTCAAATTACGTTAAAATGACATTTTTAAAGGTTCCAGCATGTATTTCTGTATAAATTCTATATATTATGGGTTTGGCGCGTAAATGTATCTATATAATTATGTTGAACGAACTTTAGACACCGACAGAATCACCGAGTAGTTTTAAAACTAGTCATGAGACTCGAACAAACCCTGGAAGTTACAATAACAGACATTGTGGATATTGTATGATTGAATTCATTAGACTTGTTCTTTAACATTTCAAGAGTTCACTGTGGCAACTATTGTGAAATCTTAACGCTCTAACCTGACCCACATGGGTCAAGTTAGTAAACCACCATTTTATTCTTTATAAGGAGAAAAGTTTTGTTCCTTTGACTGCCTAGTTTATTCATTTTGAGAAAAATTCAAAACGAAGAATTGAAAATTTTGCCTGTGTCGCCCGCCCTTTAAAACATTGCGAAGTGATTCGCTGATGAATAGAATAGAATAACTTTTATTTCCAATCAAGTGTCATGTTAAATGACATATAAATCACAATTATAATGAGATCAAAGATCAAGAAACTAAAAATAGCAATAACAATGAACTGAAAAAGTGACGTTTTATTTTAGGCAATAATTGAGCGCATTATTTATCATGTCCACAGGAGATTGCGCTACATTGTTACTTGAAAATAATAAGACAAAACGTTGCCATTCAATGAAGAAGGATACACGTGGATGTACAAAGCCTGTCAATTTAGTCAAACCCTTGCTTGGGAGGGTTTATAAAACAGGTTTAAAACAGGTAACGGTTTAAAACGGATAAAACAGAGCAGTTGTGTGAAAGTTCAGACATGTTCAATCAGGCTGACAGCTTTAATGATCATGGGCCCTGACAGGTAGACAACATCTAGGGTAGTAGTCGGTAGTTGTTTTACTTTGTAAGGAATGGGCTTGTTACCGGTTTGAAATAGTCCGGAAGATGAAAAGCAATTGTAGTCCGTTTTGACCCTGTACACGGCACTGCTCAAACTCAATCTGGTCAATAAATGTCCCAGTGTATGGTGACTTAAACACTTGAACTTTACTCGGACATGCGTAGGCCGTACTTGTTAAATATTTAGCCCAAATTGGACCTTGATGTTTCAGTAAAGCAAAATTAAAAAATATATATAAATATCACGAGATATAAACAAAATTGAGATTATATTTCCATCACAAGAAATACATAAATGCAGGTGCATTTATTTCAATATATATCACAATGTGTATCAAAACAAACTGCAAAGGAAAATCCGCGATTCTGTGTTCATAATATCATATACTTGGGACAAAACACTCACTGTTACAAATTACGAACCACAACTTCTGCGAAACGAAACGGTTATAAAATGACTGTGTATGGACAGCTTCCTTTATTTATGTGCATTTGTCGTAAAAATGAAGACAGACTACAATATTTCCTGCTAATTTATAATTATGGTCACTAGTCCTTGTAAACAATTAACATTCAACACCACTATTTTAATAGGCCGCATGTAAATTTCTTCAGAATCTTACATTGCATTCCATATACAAGTAAACGAATACGGTGTGTGGGTGAATACGTTGAACTATTAAGTAAAAACAACTACAACAATAGATGATTGTTGACATGTTTTTATTTACATATCAAATTAAAATGAGTGTGAATTGATATATATATAATGAGAAAATGTATAAAATAAATACCCTTCTCAATTAAAATTTTCAGCAACAAACTTATTTCATTAAGCTCTGACAAAAAGAGCTTCTGAAACACAAAACATTTTGCTACATTTAAAAACTTATTTTTGGCATAAATCTCAATGTGACAGCTCTGAACTTTAAATGCTATACTAGTTTAAAAAAAAAAGTACCAGGAAAATGCCAAAAAAAATATATATACAACCATTTGGATAACTAAATATGTCGGTTTGCTATCAATAAATACTGTACACAGGTACAGAAAACTTAAATAGCTACAGATATCATAAAATTTTAGGACATTATCTGTAATTATGTACCTGGACGCTCATAAAAAACATCATTAGGACTGCAACAATACTGTTTAATATTTTTATTATAAGTGTTACAATGCATTTGTTGTCTTTTGTCTTGAAACTATGATAAATATAGAGATGTTGTTATGTTCATAGACAAAGCTATATAACATACAAAATTGCCAAACAGTATGGTTTTATGTTTTGAAACATGATGTTAAAATGAAACAGAAGTAACCTCATACATGACGTAAGTGCAGAATGTCTTACATGGGCAAATAAAAAGTCATTTTTATGTAAACCAGTTACATTATAACAGTGAATCAACCAAGACCCCCAAACGCAACATCTCAGCTATTATCAATAACATCCGAAGACAAACGGATAGGGAACAAGTTGCCAAAACCCAGAAATGAACCTTATCATTTTACAGTGGATGGTACTCGTACATTGTTCTAGAAATGTCAGTCTTTAATTCAATTAAAACTTACCAATGTATTGCTAAGGACAATTAAAGGAACAACTCCTATATGACATCTAAATATCTAATGTTTGTTTGTTTGTTTCATTTTACGCCTTTTTCCAACAGTATTTCAGTCATATAGGCGGGTAGTTTCCTAACCATTGTTCTTGGAGAGTCACACCAGTACTAGACAACCTTCCTCCGCGCTAAAAAATATCTAATGTATCAATTCATAATTACCTTAATGTTAGTTATGATATCAAATTTACACATAATACAAGTACATTTTGAATATCCAAAATGACTATTTCGGCAAAATGATATATATACAATACATGTCAAATATATACATATATGCCATGATAGTCACGTGTCAAGAAAAGACTCCGTAAAAACAAGATTGAGACAAGTCAATGAAAATGTATAAAATTAATGTAACACTGTTTGAATGCGCTTAAAAAAATAATATTTTCAAACCAGATTTTTATATGTTGTATTAATAATTCAAGATATTGAAGGCCATTATGATTTTCATCATGTACAATAATCAAAATTGAGGTAATAAATATCCTGAAATAAACCACAAAGTCTAATCCAGGAGATTATACAGGTGCTTATTTTATTCCTTATTAGTATTATATACATATAATTTTTTATTAGACCCCATGTTATGTCATGCTAGGAGATTACAAAAAGAAGCTTGAACCATAACTTCAATTAGTGGAAGTTTTAATTTTATATTGAAAAAAAAAGAAATCTTTTAACAGGGTATTACATATGTATAACGGACACTATTTCCTATTCATCCAAAGCCATGAAGGTGAATGTGCTATGAAAATGAAACAAAATTTAACAACAAGAGGGCCATGATGGCCCTGAGGTCGCTCACCTGTATATAGGCCCCCGGAGAGGGGCCAGTTTAAACCCCAGGGCTTTTATTTTAACAAACTTGGAAGGCACCCATTAGAAGATGTTTCATGTTAAGTTTTTACTACACACATATGATGAAAAACAATGATCTTCCCCCCGGCAGGGCCAATTTTAACACAAGGGCTTTATTTTGAACAAACTTGATAGACACCCATAAGAAGATGTTTCATGCTAAACATCTAAGCTCTAGCTCATTGGGTTTTTTCAACGAAGATTTTGTAAGTTTTTACTATACACATTATAGTTAAAAACAATGACACCCCTGGGGCGGGGCAAGTTTTGACCCCAGGGCTTTTATTTGAACAAACTTTGTAGACACTCACTAGAAGATGTTTCATGCTGAATATCTAAACTCTAGCTATTTGGGTTTTTTCAAAGAAGATTTTTAAGTTTTTGCTATACACATATAAGGAAAATCTATGACCCCTGGGGCGGGGCCAATTTTGACCCCAGGGCTTTTATTTGAACAAACTTTGTAGACACTCACTTGAAGATGTTTCATGCTGAATATCTAAACTCTAGCTATTTGGGTTTTTTCAAAGAAGATTTTTAAGTTTTTTGCTATACACATATAAGGAAAATCTATAACCCCTTGGGCGGGGCCAATTTTGACCCCAGGGCTTTTATTTGAACAAACTTTGTAGACACTCACTAGAAGATGTTTCATGCTTAATATCTAAACTCTAGCTATTTGGGTTTTTTCAAAGAAGATTTTTTCAGTTTTTGCTATACACATATAAGGAAAATCAATGACCCCCGGGGCGGGGCCAATTTTGACCCCAGGGCTTTTATTTGAACAAACTTGGTAGACACCCATTAGAACATGTTTCATGCTAAATATCTTAGCTCTAGCTTTTTGAGTTCTTTAAAAGAAGATTTTTTAAGTTTTTACTATATGCATATAGGGAAAATCAATGACCCCCTGGGGCGGGGCCAATTTTGACCCCAGGGCTTTTATTTTAACAAACTTGGTAGACACTCATTAGAAGATGTTTCATGCTAAATAACTTAGCTCTAGCTCTTTGGGTTCTTTAAAAGAAGATTTTTTAAGTTTTTACTATATGCATATAGGGAAAATCAATGACCCCCTGGGGCGGGGCCAATTTTGACCCCAGGGCTTTTATTTGAACAAACTTGGTAGACACTCACTAGATGATGTTTCATGCCAAATATCTAAGCTCTGTCTCTTACGGTTTTTTAAAAGAAGACATTTAAAGTTTTTTCTTTCGGTTGCCATGGCAACCAGAGTTCTGCATGGAATTAAATTCTTTGAACAATTTTTAAAGGTGACCACCAAAGGAACATTCCTGTGAAGTTTGGATGAAATTGGCTTAGTGGTTTATGAGGAGATGTCATTTAAAGTAAAAGTTTACGGACGGACAACGGACGGACGCCGGACGAAAAGCGATCACAAAAGCTCACCCTGTCACTTTGTGACAGGTGAGCTAAAAAGTCTACTTTCAATACCCTGATGTGGTCTTTTAAAACCATAATGGCATGAAATATATATAGTTATTAGGCATTAAACAATACATTTTATATTAACCTGAAAAATGAAATTGTGCCAGTCACTTTAAATACACGCTAAATAAAAAAATCCATATACAGGAAACATTGTGGTCAACCTATTTTAACCGTTTGCAAAAATATTGCAAAAATAAGACGGCAAAACATCTAACATATTTCAAAGACAAAAATATCCTGCCAGTAACAAATTAACAAATGTATTTTTGCCTATTCACATAAGTTATACATGCAATTAACGTACTTAAGAAAAAGATATTTGCCCAGCAAACATTAAAGTATAGTAAATATTCATATGTGTTGGATACAACAACAAAAGAAACAGAAAATGAGCCCCGTCACGATAAAACCAACAAAGTGTGTTTGCGACTTGTAAAATGGTTGGTAAGCGAACAGCATAGATCCTGATCAGACTGCATGGATGCGCAGGCTGGTCTGGATCCATGCTGGTCTCAAACACACTATGTTGGTTTTGTCGTGACGCGGCTCAAATCATGTTTAACATATAACATTTTAACTAACTAAGGTGTCATCTGTTAGTTAAATCAGTTTCATTAAAGATATAAAAAAAAAACAACAATGTGGCAGCTGAAACAAAGTGGGTTCAAACATAAATAAAATCATATCACAGCAATGTACACAACATTTCACTAATTTAACTCAACATCTTCTAGATCATAGCAGAAATATAAATGCAACATGCATGTATAAATGTATTCACAAAATTTCTGTACAAACTTTGTAATATCTTTAACACTTTTCATCATGCTAAATATCTTAAATGGACATGACCATTTTCCAATCTGAACAAAACATTCATAACTTTTAGAAAATATTCAAAATATGTACTAACTGAATAGCAAACATGTGCAGACTTTGATCAGACATAAGACAAGTGCCGGCTGTTCTTGGTCTGCACTAGTCATAGATGAAGATTTTGCGGCCACAAAGAGTTTTATGAATTAATTAACAATAAATCAATGCATGTAACAGAAAAAAGCACTTGACAACACTACCTTCAAACTATTATACAGAATTTTACATTTTCACTCATAGAAAGAAGAGCATTGTTTATGTATTCGCTTTCTAGATGAATAATTGTATAAAAGATGTCCGTCCATCTTGTACAGATGCCAGAATCTCTAAATAATTTCAAAACTTTTTCTACAGAAATAAGGTACCAGAATAAACGAAATGACATTGAAAAAAAATTCCATTTATATAATATGGCACATATGATGTAACATTTACTCTACCATCTACTATAAGAAGAATGCCATCACTCCTAGAATATTTACTACTTATAAGTGCATTGTCAAACACTTAATTAGCATCAACAAATTTAAGGAATATAAAATAATATGACTACAAGGGGCTATTTTGTTTCATGATATGTGTATCGAAGATGTGTTTTTTTTTAATGATAATGAAGTGAGAGAAATCTTACATCTCATAATAAATTTATTCAAGAGGCACAATTGAAAAGTAAAATTTGGAGAGCAAAAATACAGATGGCAACTCTTGAGTGGTTGACAGAGGGCAACTCTTGAGTGGTTGACAGAGGGCCACTCTTGAGTGGTTGCACTGTAGGTCTGCAATAGGACAAATGTCAAAAGAACATATTTGACATAACATTAAGCAGTAAAATATCTGGAACATATCTTGAACCAACAATGTACTGTAAAATATCTGAACGTAATACACTATTCAATTTTAACCATGTATTCTGCAACCCCAGAACAGTGTGGAGGACAGCATCAGGCAAGAGCCATGATTTTACCCTAATACCAGGTTAATTCTGTTGTTTTTACTTAGGCACCAAAGTAGCAGTGAAATTACTTTTTTTCCACTCTGAATATTCTCTAATGGTCAGGCCTCTACTTGAAAGAATGATCCAAAAAGTAAAGTCACATTATTTAATGGGTACAGGGCCATAGTTAGAATGACCAGTGCATCAGAGAACTGTATGATGGAACTAAACACATGACCTGTAGGAATTTTTTATGAAATATTAATTTGTTACTAAGTGATTTAATGATAATTGTATATAATAAAATAATATGACACATGTATAAAATGTGGAGTTATAGTCTTGATACACTACAAATGTAGTTTAAATATCATATAACAAGGAAGCCAGTCCATTAATACATTCATTCCATTGGATAATCCTAATAAACAATTTTAAATCAACCAATCAAAAGCTAGTATTTTCAGACTTGTCTACATAATATAACATTTCAACTATTAACTCAGAACTAATCACCAATGATAAATTGAAAGCATTAATGGTAGAACACATTTATTACAGTTTTCATTCTTTAAAATCAATTTATATATATATGTGTGAAATATGAAGTAATGAATTCTGTTACATATTAACTAATATGAAAATAATTCTTGATAATTTTGGACCTCTTCCAGTTACCCAGTCAATTTTTTATAACTTTTTGTCTTTTTTTAATTAAATGGGGTACTTTTAAATGACTTTAGGAATGCTTAAAATATTCTTTTCCATTGAGATCATTTCTTGGCATGCCCAAAATATATAGTTTTAGTAAAATGAAGAAAGCGCATTAACAGATTCTTCAAAATATTAAAAAAATCCAAAAAATCATGTAGTATTTCTCTTAGACAGAAAGGCATCTTTCAGTTTTCTCTTCAATTAAAACATTATTAAGAATAACCAGCAACAAATAGTATCTTTTAGAACTCTGTCATCAAACTTTCCTTTACTTAGTTTATCAAACTTCAGTGTTAATAAATTTTGGGGCATTATCATTTAGGGGGAAAAATGATAAATGATAGTTCCAACAATATTTGAAAAATGTAATACTTGTTAATCAGTGTCTGCTTTGTGATAAACTTTTAATCTTTTAGTATTTACAGTATATTTTGCTTGCTAAGGCAGATCCTTGGAAAACCCTGTGCTTGACCTATCAATTGCTGGGTTCTTGTAGGGAAAACTTTTTTACATATTCTTTTTTATCATTTCAACTGTATGTTATTTTAAAACTGATACTCCATATGAACATTGGCATATGTGATCATATTTAGTTACATACATCTTAAGTGTTGATTTGATTGATCTACACATGGGTTGTTAGTAATAATCACTATTTGTAGCACTTATGAATGTTAATAACTTACAGAATGTAACACATATGTACCGTAACACTTTAATGACACATATAAAATGATAGCTTAATAATGCCAGAGCACTCAGGTAACATTTACTACATCATGATACAGCACATTCATTCTGTTTGTGTGGTTCTTGCACAGGTGGTGAGTCCACCTCACCCTGACCTTCATGTATAGACATGGTTCCCGGAGACAAATTTCCCTCCTCAACTGTAGCCGGGGCACTGTCTATGTCTGCATTTAGTTTAAGTGTAGGAGGAGCCTGTTCTGCTATCTTGGTCAGCACTTGAATTTGACTTCTTATTGCATGTAAAAATGGCTTGTATCCAACACTGAAAAATATATCATATTTTAATGTTTTTACTATATCTTTTTTTATTTTGTTAAGGTTAAAGTCGCACCTAAACTGTAAATGTCAAATATGGCGACTTTCCAGCTTTTCTTGTTGAAGAAGACCTCAGGTGCCTGTTAGTGCATTATTTCAGGCACAAACAAGCACCTGAGTCGAACCACCCACGATTTTGTACTGCCTCACATCCATGACCTAACTTAAACTCAAGCCATGTGGTTTCAAGTCAAAAACCTTCACCACTTGGCCACGAAAAAAATACTAAATTCAAATTTCAGATAATTCTGGAAATGCAGGTGCTGGACTAACAAATCTAATGGCATATGACATAGGTTTTAATAACAAACATATATTTTGTAATTGAAATCTGAAGTAAATCCCTGAAAAAATAAAAAAAACTACTAAGAAATAAGAAAACTTCTAAGTTCAAGGAGAGATAACTCTAAAAATATTGCCTATATAGTTATAAACCTTGTTAAACACATGATGTGGTTGATGATAAGTAAAATATATTTGAAGCTTGATTTAGAAGCCTTATGAAGTTAAAGTAAAATATTTTTTACTGCACAAAAACTTCGATCAGAAATCTTGACATGGACCTTGGATGAGTAGGACAGCTCTCCATATATTTCATATAGTTGAGCTAAAAACTAATTTTTTAAATCCAAATATAAGAATTTAAGCTTCTATAAGTTATATTTTACACCGATGTATCTCCTCATTCCTTTCTACATAGCTAAAATAATTCATAAGAAAAAATGTATGAAACTAGATAAACACAAATGCTTCCATATTCCACTGTTTGTCTTTGTTTGTTTTTTGTTTGTTTTTTTTTCTTTGCTGTGTTTTTTTTAAATAAAAAATATCAAACAGATAAGCACTGATCAAACCCAAAATCTCGGCCACTAGCAGTAACATAAACTTCTATATCTGTAACATATATACATGTGTAAATATGTTATCAAATGTAAATTTTAAAGGTTACAGGAAATGCTTTGACCTTAATTCAAATAAACTTATTTCCTAGATGCAAATTTAAAAATACATGTAGAATGTTGAAACCATTTCTATTTAAATTTGGAGATAAGGTACAGCATTTTTCTTAAGGTTTTACCCTCTTAGTAAGACACATAAGATAATTATTAAAATTGTTCTGGAGATATAATGTGGGGTATAACATAGAGAGAAATAGAATCTTTAAACTGGGGGGAAATACTTCAATACAGATATATCCAAGAACACTGAAACTTTAATAAAAAGGAAGTCATCTAACTAATAATTTGAAATTCAAAGAAGAAAAGGTCCCTTGCTACCTGGACATACTTTTATATATAATCTTTTCACATGAAACTCAGATATTAACTAATGAGTGACTGTCACTAACATGCTCTTTATTCTAAATACCAACAGTCTTAACATTAGTTTATACATGTATGAATGTTAACATTGTAAAATTCTTTTTCAGTTAATACTCCTCTTTATGATCTGAGTAAAATTAGATGCACTAAAAATTTAATAACCCACTAACATTTGACAAATATATATGTATCTCATAGTTTACAACTTGTAAATTTTAATAACCCACTAACATTTGGAAAAAAATGTTAGTGTCTTCTATAAACCTATTTTTGACAAAGCCAGTACAGATGTACTATGTTAATCTCTATATAACCCTGTGAAACAAATTATGAAGGTCTTATACACTCAAATAATGCTCAAACTGAATTTAAAAACAAGCCAGAGGTAAAGATTTATAACTTAGATAAAAACATTCATGAAACTACTCCCTATTATGGTTTCCATGCAATATCACTATTATTCAAAAGACATAAAAAAGTAAGTTATGACACTTATTTCTCTTAGTCCATGGCAACATTTAACTAAGAGGAGATCATTGATTACAGCTTTAATCATGTATCACTATGGCATTTTGATTTTGTAGGAGATAAATTTATATTAAAGTAAGCATACATGTATATTTCATTTAGATTTCACAAACGTATGTATATTTTTTCTAAAGAGAGCAGTGGTTAAACAATAAAACACATGTCTTTGAACCAATTGGTCCAAGGTTCAAGTCCTTTCTTAAACAATGACAATTGCCTTGAAAAAGTAAATAATATAATATTGCTTCATTTCATTGAGGTGTGCATGGACATATGAAAGGGGTGCTATAATTTAGTAGCTAACGTAAATGGAAATGGAAGACTCCCAATGTAGATGCATATAAGTACCTTAACTAATACGGGTAAAGCTTTAAAGCTTGGGAATTTGCCACTGCATAAAATTAAAATACTACACTTAAAGTACACAACTTTACAGCAACACTTTACATTTAAGAAAACAAAGTAGATATAAGATATCAGACCATTCAGTATCTGACCACAGCTCCAGGTAAGATAGCCCCTCCCTCATTCTAGCCACGGTCTCAAGAGGTGTGTCTGTCATACTGGCAGTATTGATTGTCCTTATCACAGATGACGAATCTCTTAACACTATTGATATTATCAACGCCCACTCCAAGCAGCCTCCTTCCAACATTACTTGAAACAAATACCTGCAAAATATTATGGTAAATTTTTGTTTTACATATAATCTCAAAACTGATCATTAATTAACAGGTGACAGGACATTGTTACAAAACATGGTTTTCTGCCAATATTATATAAGTGCAAAAAAGATGTCAAATTTTGCCAAAACTGAACAAATCACAAAACCCAGACAATATATGGTAGGACATTCGGTCACTATAATTCTATGAGTCCTGCTGAGAAATATTGTAGGAGTCATGTATAAAAGAACTGCACAGTTGCCCACCTACATACACCAATATCATAACCAGTTTTTTTTTCTCTGAAAAATTATGTCATACTTATTTTAGTTTGTTTGAGAAGAGATGAAAATGTTGTTGTAAGGTATTAGAGACACATTAATTAACACTTCAAAATTTCTTACTGTTTAAATGGCAGGCTCTTTATGCTATCCAAGGATCAAAGAAGAACTCACACAAATTAAGGACAACAGATTCATAGACAATGCTATTCACCACCAGAAGAAATTTAGTTGATAATCAATCAAAATATTGCAAAAGAAAAGAAAATGTTCAAGTCCCAAGCCCTTTGATAAATTATAAACTTTTTATAACCATTAATTCAAATTAACAGTTATAATTATAACCATTCCTTCAAATTTTTAAAGGAATTATGGTGAGATAATTTACCTGAGTTCAAGTTCTGACTGTCCTGGTCCCTTAGAAATGATCTCCTGTGAGAGAAGTTCTAGTTCTGGTGATAGACTATCTAAACTACTGCTTGAGTCAGCAAGAAATTCAAAGTCTCCAAACAATGAACTTGTATCAGAAACTTCCAGGGTGGCTAAACTACTGTCATCAGCTGTTTTAAAACATTCAAACAACATTTCAATAATAATTTGCCTTCAGTTAGATATTCAACTATCTTTATTAATGTAACGAAAAATTATTTTGTTAATCAAAGAAGAAAATTTAGATCTGCAATTGTTTCAGGTACACAATTTTAACAGATCTCCTAGACTTGTTTGCAGAAATGAATAAAACAATGGCAATATGAAAACATGCTATACCATGAGATGAGTAATGATATGAAATAAGTGATGTTGACTCTAATACAAAAAAAAATGATTGAAATATTTGCTTAATTTATAAAGTACCACTAATTATTTACACTCACAAAAGGTTCAAACATATCTGATAAGGTATGTAACAGTTACAATAAAATACATTCTATGTAACATTTAAAACATAACAACTGTATAAATAAGTTACCTTTTGACAATTGTGGTTTCAGTACAATTTCATCTGACATTTCTGTTGATACAAAACTTGCATTCTTTGGGAGTGGTCTCCCTTTGCCCTCATTATCTACCACCTGTGGCACTAGTGTATTGTTCTGACCAGTGTAACTACCATTATGTGTGTCATCATCTAGCAGAGATAATGATGCTAGGCTTGTGCTAGAATCTGACAAAAAAAAACAACTTAAGTTCTGAGACACAGTGATAAACATGTAAGGAAAGGTAAGTTAGAAACCTAAACTCTGGTGGCACATTCACAATAATACCTTTACTATGTTTCCAGTAAAGAGTCATGCCAGAAAATTTACTATTTTACACATTAAAAATTAGGTCAACATATATATCACAGTTTAATTCTGCAAATAATGATGCGTTAATGTTTCAAATTTCAAAGCCAAAATTACAAAAAGTAGGTCAATTTAAACTAAACTTAAATGACATTTTAAATTGAGGTATTGGTGCAAATTTTAATGTTATAGCACCTAGTCAGAAAAAAATCAATGACAGTATATATCAGATAGCTGTACGACAATAACCAAAGTATGTCACTAGACAGTGCTCTACTATACAATAGACCACACAAACTATCTAAGCTCCAGCGGTGTGATGGAGAAAACCAATTTTTTAAAGTTTTTCCTACATATATAATATACAAGAGGGCCATGATGGCCCTGAGGTCGCTCACCTGTATATAGGCCCCCGGAGCGGGGCCAGTTTAAACCCCAGGGCTTTTATTTTAACAAACTTGGAAGACACCCATTAGAAGATGTTTCATGTTAAGTTTTTACTACACACATATGATGAAAAACAATGATCTTCCCCCCCGCAGGGCCAATTTTAACACAAGGGCTTTATTTTGAACAAACTTGGTAGACACCCATAAGAAGATGTTTCATGCTAAACATCTAAGCTCTAGCTCATTGGGTTTTTTCAAAGAAGATTTTGTAAGTTTTTACTATACACATTATAGTTAAAAACAATGACACCCCTGGGGCGGGGCAAGTTTTGACCCCAGGGCTTTTATTTGAACAAACTTTGTAGACACTCACTAGAAGATGTTTCATGCTGAATATCTAAACTCTAGCTATTTGGGTTTTTTCAAAGAAGATTTTTAAGTTTTTGCTATACACATATAAGGAAAATCTATGACCCCTGGGGCGGGGCCAATTTTGACCCCAGGGCTTTTATTTGAACAAATTTTGTAGACACTCACTAGAAGATGTTTCATGCTTAATATCTAAACTCTAGCTATTTGGGTTTTTTCAAAGAAGATTTTTAAGTTTTTGCTATACACATATAAGGAAAATCAATGACCCCTGGGGCGGGGCCAATTTTGACCCCAGGGCTTTTATTTGAACAAACTTTGTAGACACTCACTAGAAGATGTTTCATGCTTAATATCTAAACTCTAGCTATTTGGGTTTTTTCAAAGAAGATTTTTTCAGTTTTTGCTATACACATATAAGGAAAATCTATGACCCCTGGGGCGGGGCCAATTTTGACCCCAGGGCTTTTATTTGAACAAATTTTGTAGCCACTCACTAGAAGATGTTTCATGCTTAATATCTAAACTCTAGCTATTTGGGTTTTTTCAAAGAAGATTTTTAAGTTTTTGCTATACACATATAAGGAAAATCAATGACCCCCGGGGCGGGGCCAATTTTGACCCCAGGGCTTTTATTTGAACAAACTTTGTAGACACTCACTAGAAGATGTTTCATGCTTAATATCTAAACTCTAGCTATTTGGGTTTTTTCAAAGAAGATTTTTTAAGTTTTTGCTATACACATATAAGGAAAATCAATGAGCCCCGGGGCGGGGCCAATTTTGACCCCAGGGCTTTTATTTGAACAAACTTGGTAGACACCCATTAGAACATGTTTCATGCTAAATATCTTAGCTCTAGCTATTTGAGTTCTTTAAAAGAAGATTTTTTAAGTTTTTACTATATGCATATAGGGAAAATCAATGACCCCCTGGGGCGGGGCCAATTTTGACCCCAGGGCTTTTATTTGAACAAACTTGGTAGACACTCATTAGAAGATGTTTCATGCCAAATATCTTAGCTCTAGCTCTTTGGGTTCTTTAAAAGAAGATTTTTTAAGTTTTTACTATATGCATATAGGGAAAATCAATGACCCCCTGGGGCGGGGCCAATTTTGACCCCAGGGCTTTTATTTGAACAAACTTGGTAGACACTCACTAGAAGATGTTTCATGCCAAATATCTTAGCTCTGTCTCTTACGGTTTTTTAAAAGAAGACATTTAAAGTTTTTTCTTTCGGTTGCCATGGCAACCAGAGTTCTGCATGGAATTAAATTCTTTGAACAATTTTTAAAGGTGACCACCAAAGGAACATTCCTGTGAAATTTGGATGAAATTGGTTTAGTGGTTTATGAGGAGATGTCATTTAAAGTAAAAGTTTACGGACGGACGACGGACGGACGGACGACGGACGGACGAAAAGCGATCACAAAAGCTCACCCTGTCACTTTGTGACAGGTGAGCTAAAAAAAGGCAAAACCTCAAAGTGAGCTCATATTACTTTTACCATGAAATAGTATTAAATAATCGTTCATTTTTATTTTACATTTTCCGTTTTAAAATTGTCATTCAGTATTTTATACACTACTTCTGTTTATTCTGGTTCCCTGTCCTCTTATGGTTCCCATATAAGTGAGCAGGACACCAGTCTAAGCTTCTGTTTTCAATCGACTTTTATCGTTATCTTGTAATTCGAAAAGTTGGATGTGTCAATTCAGTTCTTCGGACGAAGTTTTCAAAACCATCACTATCTAGCAGGTACTCGCATTAACGTAAGGCGCGCTTTGCGAGCCGGCCCTTAGGGCCAGCTCTTCGAGCTCCCTATTAATCAAGTGACCCCTAGGGTTGTATCAATTCTGACCCTAGATGAAGATTTTTAAATTTTTACTATATGACGTCATGTAAAAATAATTGACATCCAGGCACTCCAAATACCTAAGCTCTAGCCCTTGTAGTTTCAGAGTTCAATATTTTTTCAAGTTTTTATATAAATATACATGTATTGAGAAAACCCCAAACCCCCATACTTGTGGTTTGTGATGAGCTTTATGCAACGTACATTTTGTCAAGTTTTCACCACATAACGAACCTTGAGTATTCAGAGGAGACGTCAAATGAATGAATTGTGGACAACAAACCATGGACATCTAACAATCCCAGAAGCACATACAGTCACTGCATGGCAGAGCTGATAAAAAGCTATGTTAATAGTTTTGATACTTACATGCTTTACTTTTGAGTTGTTGAAATGCTGATAGTGATAAAACAGGTAATGGCCATTCAAACTGGTGATGAATATCTCGTAATGCACTCACAAAGTCCTCTACTTTACCAGAACGTAGTCTGAAAATTCAGATCTATAGTTTTATATAATGTCCAAAATTGAAAAATAATAAATTTGAACAAGGACTTCACATGGACAATTCACTCAAATATTCTCAATCTCTGGTAGAAAATGTTTGTTCATAAAGGTGATAGCAGGTAAGCAACCTAAATTTACCTACAAATATTATTTCAAAGACATGTGAAACTTGAAGCGAGTACATTCAGTGCTTATTGGGATATAAAGATACACTTAAAACCAAAAGCTTATTAAGAGAACTTGTTCAACCATCCTTCCTGTATCAATATTTTATATAGGAACAATATTACATTTAGGTTTTTGTTAGTATCCAAAATTTCAACAACATGTAAAAATGATACATAGCTTTTTTTCCTGAAATTATCATTATAAATATATTCTCTTCATATGAAGTTTCAATACTTGACATCTCTCATAATATTCAAATTTTTAAGATGATTAAAAAAAATCAATTAGAATCTAATGAACTTTTTTTCAAATAATCATTTTTTCATTCAAACCTTTCTTTTTTCAACCACGCTACAAGCTGAAAGTCTCTTATATTTGCTGAAAAAGATCCTAGATCTTGAAGTCTGTTAGATGAGAGAAGTTTTCTTGCATGTCTGAACAGTATTGTATCTATATAGACTTGGTCAGCAGTGGAGTTAGGCTGTACTGGTCGAGGTGATGGTCTGAAAATATAATAAACTTTACATAAATATATGTAATGCTTTTTTACTTTCTGAAACTTGTAACAAATCTTACAATTTAATATTCATAAATTTTAAACTCAAGTATTTGTGATACTTTAAAGAATATTATTTATCAGCATTCCTAAACGACTGATTAATAGAGAAAATTCTATTTTATTAAGTTCACTACAGTAATTACTTGCTATTCATTTGAGTTGGTATAACATACCTGAGATGGTAAAATATATGAGACAGTATATTTGAGACAGTTTAATATATTTGAGACAGTACGATATATTTGAGATGGTATTGCATATTTCCGAAAGTATAATACATTTGAGCTGATATAAAATATTTAAGATGGTATAACATATTTGATATGGTATAATACATGTATATTAAGTATTTACTAATTTATTTTAGTTTAAATGTGTTGGAAGCTAAATTGAATCACTCAACTGTTCCTGGAACCAACCAGTACTAAGCCATTAGTGCAAAGTTTCCTACTCACAGAAACAACGATCAGCAATCCTTAGATTACTATTCCTATCTGTTAAACACTTGGCCATGCTGCCACTCATGTATAATATATTACAGATGGTATAATTTATTGGATCTGGTATACTCACCTTTTTGAGATCATCTGATTATCAGACTTTGTATGTGTTAATTTGACCTTTTCCTTTGACGCCTCTCTAACAGCCGATTCTGCCGTGACACTTGAGCTCCGGATCCGGCTGACGTTACTCACACTACTAAAGGTAAAATCACACTCCTCCCTCGGCATTGCGGGACTACCAATGTATGAGCAAGATTGAACTTTACCCTGGTTAAATACCAGAGGTGGGGACACATCAGCATCATTTGGATCTAAAAACAATAATATCATTTGATCAAAGAGTTGTCTTTTATACATATGATAGGAAGTTAGTCTGGGATTCAGGCGTTGATATTTTTGCGTATTCTTAACATATTTTTTGCTTATTCATAACATACAACACTATTTCTCATATTCGTTTGTGTTTTGATAGTATCAACACCTGGGGAAACCTGCGGGTTCGGAGAACAGAAGCACATAAAAAATCATAAGACTGAAACCCAGGCTAATAGGAAGTCTCAAACCTTACAAAATAAAATTAAAAGGAAGTAAAAGTCTTCAACAAAAGTTTTGGTAGTGAATAACTTAAGGTAAAAGGCATAAAATTGTTATTGCACAGTATTTCATTTAGAACTGAAAATGTTAAAATATTTTCAAAATTAAACAAGACAACTTAAATGCAATGTTTTCCCTATTGAGCATTCTGCATGCAAAACAAGCAATAATTGACATAAAAATCACAAGTGATTTTAGTGAGGTACTAAAACATAGAAAAATGAAGTGATACAATAAACAGTTCAATCAAAACTTACCAATAGCCTTGAGAAATCTGACTAGATCCTGGGCTAGTTCCCACTGTCGGTCCTCTATAGCTGAGTCTAGCAATAATGTGGCATGCTGAAATATTATCTCCTATCAAATTATCTTCATTCATCATTTTTGATGTAAAATACTGTCTTAAACTATTGTTATCAGTTTAATCAATTTAAAAAATATGACAAAAAGGCTGAATATAGTAAACAGTGTATTTTAATAAAAATGTATGTTTAACTTCCTTAGGCATGGAATACTTTAACAAGTTAACCCTTCAATCAATTTATTCATGCTGTCAAATTTTCCCACCTGAGTTTTGAAGAGTTGTGGTCAAAACATAAAATGAAACAACCACTAGTTCAATCCAGAAAGATAGTACAAATGTTGTTTTTATTTGCTTGTAACAGAAGGAACCAGATAAGCATAATACATTATTACTATGAATGTCCAAACAGTTAAAAATAGATCACATGAACATTGAACTTACCTGTCTACTGGCAATGGGTTTTTCCAGATTCTGTAATATTATGAGATATGATGCTGCAGTCTCTAATCTTGCACTTATAAGGCACTCCTGAAATATCATTGTCACATGTAATAGTTATTATTTCATTTGTGTGCGTGGAGGGTAGAAAGAGAAGGCATGAGAAGTGTAGATTAGTTTTTTTAAGTCCCAGGACCCACCAACTCAGACACTGTCAATATCATTTGGTGACTTTCCAGCTTTAATGGTGGAGGCATACAGCAGGTGCTACTTTCTACATTATTTCATTCACAAGCATGCATCAGAGTAGAAAAACATCAAACTTATGTGGGCTTTTACTCAAACAAACTCACAGAAATGAACCTATCTTTTTTGTGACTATAATTTCAGAATTTTCAGTATAAGCAAGCATAGCCATAGTTAAACAAGAGGGCCATGATGGCCCTGAAGTCGCTCATCTGTATACAGGCCCCCAGAGTGGGGCCAGTTTAAACCCCAGGGCTTTTATTTGAACAAACTTGGTAGACACCCATTACAAGATGTTTCATGCAAAACATCTAAGGTCTAGCTTGTTGAGTTTTTTAAAAAAAAGATTTTAAAAGTTTTAAATATACACATATAGTTCAAAGCAATGACACCCCTAGGGCGGGGCCAGTTTTGCCCCCAGGGCTTTTTTTAACAAACTTTGAAGACACTCACTAGAAGATGTTTCATGCTTAATATCTAAACTCTAGCAATTTGTTTTTTGCTATACACATATTAGGAAAATCAATGTCCCCCGGGGCAGGGCCAATTTTGACCCTAAGGCTTTTATTTGAACAAACTTTGAAGACACTAACTGGAAGATGTTTCATGCTTAATATCTTAACTCTAGCTATCTGGGTTTTTCAAAGAAGATTTTTTAAGTTTTTGCTATACACATTTTTTACCCAGCTATTTGACACATAAAGATAAAAATATCAATGACCCCCGGGGCAGGGCAAATTTTTTCACCCCAGGGCTCTTATTTGAACAAATTTGGTAGACACCCATTAGAAGATGTTTCATGCTAAATATCTTAGCTCTAGCTCTTTGGGTTCTTTAAAAGAAGATTTTTTAAGTTTTTACTATATGCATATAGGGAAAATCAATGACCCCCTGGGGCGGGGCCAATTTTGACCCCAGGGCTTTTATTTGAAAAAACTTGATAGACACTCATTAGAAGATGTTTCATGCTAAATATCTTAGCTCTAGCTCTTTGGGTTCTTTAAAAGAAGATTTTTTCAGTTTTTACTATATGCATATAGGGAAAATCAATGACCCCCTGGGTGCCGGGCCAATTTTGACCCTAGGACTTTTATTTGAACAAACTTGGTAGACACCCATTAGAAGATGTTACATGCTAAATATCTTAGCTCTAGCTCTTTGGGTTCTTTTAAAGAAGATTTTTAAAGTTTTTACTATATGCATATAGGGAAAAACAATGACCCCCGGGGCGGGGCCAATTTTGACCCTAGGACTTTTATTTGAACAAACTTGGTAGACACCCACTAGAAGATGTTTCATGCCAAATATCTAAGCTCTACCTCTTTGGGTTTTTTTAAAGAAGATATTTAAAGTTTTTTCTATCAGTTGCCATGGCAACCAGAGTTCTGCATAAGATAAGATAAGATAAGATAAGTTTTATTTCAAGTTGGCAAGTTTTCAACAGTACAACATAAGCTCTAGGAGCTTTTATAACCGACTGTATATAACATAAAGTATAAGATCAACAAAGATAAAACAGCTACAATAAAAATGATTAGACAAGATATATATACATCACATACATAAAATAGACCTTTTTAGATATTTTTATAAAAATGAATCAGATGCTAAAAAACTAAATGATAGTTTACCCAATTCTACATCATTAGCTTGTATATTAAACTATGCTTACAATTTCTAGTATCTAAAAATTTTACTTAAAATTCAATAATGTACCGATTAAACAATTAAAAATTTAATGAATAGTTAAATGAATAAATAAATAAATAAATAAAACTATTAAAACAAGATTGCATTTGAGAAAAATGCTATGCCACCGCATTAATACCTAAGCTCTAGGCCTTTTGGGCATTTACAAGAAGGTATTTTAAGTTTTTGAAGCCTTGTACCTTGTACCTACAGACAATAAGATTTTTTGATTTTTTACTATATGTATATATTTGAAAATCAATGAACCCCCGGGCAGGCGGGGCAAATTTTGACCCCAGGGCCTATAATTTTGAACAATCTTGCTAGAGGGTTCACTACACAATGTTTCATTGCAAAATATCTACCTCTAGCCATTTGTCAATTGCTAGAAGAAATTTTTTTTTAAAGTTTTTACTATATACATATAACGAAAACCAAATGACCCCCGGGGCAGGGCCGATTTTTGACCCCCAGGGCTATAATTTGAACAATCTGGGTAAAGGTCTACAACACAATGCCTTATGCTCTAGGCCTTTGGGTCTTTACAAAGTAGGTATTTAAAAGTTTTTTTACTATATGTACATATAGTGAAAATCAATGACCCCGGGGCGGGGCCGGATTTTTGACCCAGGGCTATAATTGAACAATCTTGGTAGAGGTCTACCAGGCAATGCCTTATGCAAAATATCTAAGCTCTAGGCTATTTGGGTCTTTTAAATAAGGTATTTTAAGTTTTTACTATATTTACAACATAGTGAAAATCCAATGACCCCCGGGGCAGGGCCGATTTTGACCCCAGGGGCTATAATTTGAACAATCTTGGTAGAGGTCTACCAGGACAATGCCTTATGCAAATATCTAAGCTCTAGGCCTTTTGGGGTCTTTACAAGAAGATTTTTTTAAAAATTTATTCTTATAATTCCTTTTGGCTTGCCATTTTGGCAACCAGATCTTCTGCATGGAATGAAATTCTTAGAACAAACTTTGGGAAGCCCCTTCACCCAAGATCAATCCTGCCAAGTTTGGTTGAAAATTGCTATTGGTTTTTCACAAGAAGATTTTTTACGTTCACTATATAATCTATATCAACAATGACCCGGGGCGGGGCCTATTTTGACCCCAGGGCTATAATTTTTCAGAACAATGTTGGTAGAGGTCTACCAGACCAATGCCTTATGCAAAATATCTAAGCTCTAGGCTATTTGGGTCTGTACAATTAAGGTATTTTAAGTTTTTAACTATATGTACATATAGTGAAAAATCAATGACCCCGGGGCGGGGCCGATTTTGACCCCAGGGCTATAATTTTGAACAATCTTGGTAGAGGTCTACCAGACAATGCCTTATGCAAAATATCTAAGCTCTAGGCCGTTTTGGGTCTTTTACAAGAAGATTTTTTAAATTTGTTCTTATAATTCCTTTTCTGGTTTGCCATGGCAACCAGATTTCTGCATGGAATGAAATTCTTTTGAACAACTTTGGAAGCCCTTCACCAAGGATCAATCCTGCCAAGTTTGGTTGAAATTGGACTACTGGTTTTTCACAAGAAGATTTTTTAAGTTCACTATATAATCTATATAACACACACACACACACACACACACAAACAAACACACACACACACAGGTGAATCGCTATATGCCACCGCATCGCAGATGCTGCGGTGGCATAAAAAAAATAAATAAACATACATTTTTTTTTTTTTTTTTGGACTGCATGGAATTAAATTCTTTGAACAATTTTTAAAGGTGACCACCAAAGGAACATTCCTGTGAAGTTTGGATGAAATTGGCTCAGCGGTTTCTGAGGAGATGTCATTTAAAGTAAAAATTTACGGACGGACGCCGGACGGACAGACGGACGTTGGACGGATGCCGGACGAAAAGCGATCACAAAAGCTCACCCTGTCACTTTGTGACAGGTGAGCTAAAAACAACAAGAACTTTTTAATCACTCCAGATATTAAAGATTAAAACAATTTGTCCTAGATGAATAAAAGGGGATAATCCTGAAATTATTTAATATAAACCATATAACTTTTGGTAGCATGAAACACTGCAATATACCTCCACAAGATCTTTAAGTCATGAATTTAATTTGTATTTAAATTAAGAAATAATATATCCACAACAGTGATTTTATCACTAAAAGAATCAATGTTTTGAGTCTGGGTGCCAGGAATTATATCACAAGGGGTAGCACAAGTGATATAATGCTGTGTATCCAAACAACAAATAAATGCTGCTGTAGCGTTATTGCACATTTACACATACTTTTTTGGACCTTCTTTGTTCAATAGGGCAAAATAGGATGATTTATCCTGTCACTTGTATCAATTTCGACCCGATAACAAGGTGCCGTATATTTTTACTGATCTACGGCACTTGATCACGTGGTATGCATGTTTGCCGGACTACTTTTCAAGAAAAAATATAAAAACTGTCGTTAATCTTCTGTGTGTAAGAAAAAACGAATTTTGGAAACGTTGATAAAACTTTGTTTGGTTTTATTTTATTTCACTCTATAATTTTTCAAGCGAAATAAAAATTATTAAAAAAGTGAAATAAATGTAAAACTTAACTCGTTTGCGACATTAAATAGCGTACTTGATTTGATTGTTTTGCACGTGCTGTTTTGGCGCTACATTGTGACGTCACGTAAACAATACTTTAAACGTTTGTACAGCGTTAACGACTAAATAAAAGATATTGGTGTTCGAATTCATTTTCTTAGTTAGACTATTTTCTTTCATTCTAGATAGTTTTCACAACAAAATTCGACAAAAATTGTTTTTATTTATCACATTTTTCGAACAAAATGGCGCCCTCGATGTGAAAATACACAGGGAGATAATAAGAACGGCGAGTGCATTGTTGTAGAATAATGCACGCTTCGGGCCTTCTTTGTTTATATAGAAACAATTTCGATAGTGTGATTAAAGGTAGTTTGCCTAATAAAATTCTTTAAAAAAAAACGGTGACAGGATAAATAGAATAATAGATTGGTGCCGTGGATGGAGAAAGTTTATCTGGCTCTGCTCCGGAATTTATTAGGTTCGCCTTCGGCTCACCCAATAAATTCCTCCGCCTCGCCAGATAAACTTTCTCCATCCACGGCACCAACCTATTATTCTCTATATTCACACTTTTTCTGCCTTGTTACAAGAAACGAAATACAAACAAAGTATGATATAAATGTACCTCAAATAGGTCTTTCGGATTTCCAACAGTTGTGAACAAATGTGGCCATAGAGCAACCTCAGTTTTCCTTGCACACTGAACAAATGTCTGCAGATACTCTGGGAACTCTTGAATAAATGCTACAACACGTGGTAATAGAGGATCTGAAACATGAGCAAGCAAACATAATATACTGGACAAAAATAGTAAACAAGCTTTTTTAAACAAGTTATGTCACAGAAAAAATATCTAAACCTTAGTTAGTAACTAAATGCAATTCAATCTATCTTTTTTAATTGGGTTTAGACACAATTAAGGTTTAATGACTTTAACTGCCAGTTTTGTCAGTGAAGAGAAACAAAGGGATGGCAAGGCGCTTAAGATGATCATTCCACCCGCTATCATCTAAATACAAAAAAATTCCCACGCAGTGAAAGTAACTAAAAGTCATTGACTATAACCACTCAGAAACAGATGAGTGTAATACCAGCACTGAAAAACACAACTACATGTATTTACCTGGAATGGGTTCTTTTGAAGTAGCCTCAGCTTCCAGTACCTCATGAAGTAACAGCTCCAATACATGTGAAAAATATGACAGCTCAGTACAGCACCTCGCTAAATCTAGCGCTTGAACACCAAGGCTGAAAATATGTTTAATTGTACATGTTTTATTTTCAGTCTGCCTTCAGTCTTCAAAATTATTATACAACTTTATTCTTAGTAGTCTTAGAATATAAATATCTGAATACAAAAATAAAAAGGTAAAGCTTGTTCTCTGATTTATAATGTCCTCATTATCTTACATTGTTACTTTTGTTAGCCATGTTAAAATCCCTTTAACTATACTAATTCACGGATAAGTTTTAAGTCACATATTTCTTTAGGAAAGCATAACAAAAATATTATTAACATGAAAATTTGAAGCTGGTGAGCTAAAAGTTTTAAACCTATGTACAGACTGGCCTGGGTCTATAAAGGAGGCAAAGGTCTTCAATTTTTTGTTCTAGCCGTCAAAGCTACAAATGATTCAATCTAAACATATAAATGACTTACTTTCTCTTTAAGAGCTGTTTAAGAATATGATGTAGATAGACTTGACTCTGAAAAATAATAATAAATATAGAGCTTGATATATAACATATCTTATATTAGTGATATTAGACATTATCTGTGGGTTTTTCCATCTTTCCCAAGATACAAATAAATTACAAAATAAATGAATAAATAAACTTGTCATAAAACATTTGATACTGTGAAGTTAATATTGAATATGAAGGTTTTATTGCTACTGATTCATCTAGTTACAGTTCTCTCTTTAAATTAGTACAGCATACATAAACAGTATGCATCTAATTGTACCAAAATGAATGTCCATTGAGATTTTTTCTTCTATAAATTTTCATCATTTAACCTCACATATATTCAATGTAATGTAATCATTACAAATTAAGAATATGTTAAATTTAACATTTCATGTGGTCATCAATCCCATGTAGATTTAAATGGTGATGGCTCTTATCTTACAACTTTCTTTTTTTTTGGCTAGGTTTTATGTTTGCATCAACACAGTATAGATCAAATGCTGACTTCCAGCTTTGCTGGTGGAGGAAGACCTCAGATGCCCCTCCCTTCATTATTTCAGACATAAACAGGCACATGAGTAGAATCACTGACATTCCTTAATCTAGCTGGATAACTTTCTCACATTTAAAACCAAAGTCCCTGTCAGGATTGAAACACAGCTGTGACAGGCAAGTGGTTTGATGTCAATGACCTTAATACACTCAGCCCTACATAAATTGTATTGTTAATTTCAATGTGTATGTAGATTTAAATACAGTAAAATCTCTGTAGTGTAGCCCTCTCTAAAACAATTGCCTCTTTACAACAACAGTAAAATTTCTTCTCGAGCCATATACAATAGATTTATAGCAACACCTAACAGGAGCAATCAAAATCTTTATCTCCCATAGGATGTTGCTGTAAAGAGGTTTTACTGTAACATATGAACTTACAGTCTCCCGCAGGGTGTTGTTATGACAAGGTTTTACTGTAACATATGAACTTACAGTCTCCCACAGGGTGTTGTTGTGACAAGGTTTTACTGTAACATATGAACTTACAGTCTCCCACAGGGTGTTGTTGTGACAAGGTTTTACTGTAACATATGAACTTACAGTCTCCCACAGGGTGTTGCTGTAAAGAGGTTTTACTGTAACATATGAACTTACAGTCTCCCGCAGGGTGTTGTTGTGACAAGTTTTTACTGTAATATATGAACTTACAGTCTCCCACAGGGTGTTGTTGTGACAAGGTTTTACTGTAACATATGAACTTACAGTCTCCCGCAGGGTGGTTTTGTAACAAGGTTTTACTGTAACATATGAACTTACAGTCTCCCACAGGGTGTTGCTGTGACAAGGTTTAAAAGTAATATATGAACTTGCAGTCTCCCACAGGGTGGTTTTGTAACAAGGTTTTACTGTAATATATAAACTTACAGTCTCCCACAGGGTGTTGCTGTAACAAGGTTTTACTGTAACATATGAACTTTACAGTCTCCCACAGGGTGTTGCTGTAACAAGGTTTAACTGTAACATATGAACTTACAGTCTCCCACAGGGTGTTGTTGTGACAAGGTTTTACTGTAATATATGAACTTACAGTCTCCCACAGGGTGTTGTTGTGACAAGGTTTTACTGTAACATATGAACTTACAGTCTCCACAGGGTGTTGCTGTAACAAGGTTTTACTGTAATATATGAACTTACAGTCTCCCACAGGGTGTTATTGTGACAAGGTTTTACTGTAATATATGAACTTACAGTCTCCCACAGGGTGTTGTTGTAACAAGGTTTTACTGTAACATATGAACTTACAGTCTCCCACAGGGTGTTGTTGTGACAAGGTTTTACTGTAACATATGAACTTACAGTCTCCCACAGGGTGTTGTTGTGACAAGGTTTTACTGTAATATATGAACTTACAGTCTCCCATAGGGTGTTGTTGTGACAAGGTTTTACTGTAATATATGAACTTACAGTCTCCCACAGGGTGTTGTTGTGACAAGGTTTTACTGTAATATATGAACTTACAGTCTCCCACAGGGTGTTGTTGTAACAAGGTTTTACTGTAATATATGAACTTACAGTCTCCCGCAGGGTGTTGCTGTAACAAGGTTTTACTGTAATTTATGAACTTACAGTCTCCCACAGGGTGGTTTTGTAACAAGGTTTAACTGTAACATATGAACTTACAGTTCTCTCTATAGAGCAATAAGGAAGGTCATGTAGATGTCTACTAGGATGACAGAATGATGATGTAGAATTATAACGTAACATTGAGGCATCACTGGCTACTCCTAGTATCACAGCTTCTTCAAATAACACAGCTAAAATATATATATAGAACAGATTTTTTTATTATCATGCATGCATTAAGGTTTCATTGCATCACTTACACTAACATATATATATTGCATTATTTTGTTTGTGTAACTAATCTGAATATGTGAAATATGTTAAAACATCAAAAATTTTGAAGAACTGGTGATAAGAATAGTAAAAGTATGCTAAGGGAATTGATTCCTTATCTTATTATAATATATCATGCTAATGAAAGACATAACTGCAACTATTTGTTTTATCAAAATAGCTAAACAAAATTGAATCTGGTGTTTAATGTGCAACTTCTTTTCCACATTTCTTACTTTCACATAATTTATAATAAAAATTGATCACCTAATAAGTTTGATACTATAAATACTTGCCTAGAGGGTATATATCCACCCTAAATGGGAGCATAATACGTTTAGACATAAAATTATGTGCTTGCCCATCATTCTTCGGGAGAAGTGGTAACCATACCTACAAATATGTCATATTAGATATTTAACAGACAAGAAATCTAGATATCAAATATTCAAGGTTAATCATTCTATTTATCTATTAAAGATATACTTGGCTCAAAGTTGATATTAGAAAATATTGATACTCACTATACAGTCTCTTTGTAAATATAAAACAAACATAATTTGACTTATTTTATGTTTTAAATCCTACACACTACAGGTGGTCAGAAAATGAATATATAGTGTCATTAAAAAAACTGGCATTTTTTTTTAAAGAAATGACCAACTTTACTTGACCTGTAATAGTGAATGCAGCTTACATATATAGTTTATTTGTTCTTTTATTCAAATAAGACATATTCAGTAAGAATTTCATAAAGTTAAATTAATTTCTGTGATTACAATATTTTACTCAAGAATGAGCATAGTATATATCTTCATTAATATACACAAATATTTGGACTATTTCAAGCACTGTAAATATAAATGCACACCATGTAAATGTACAAACATGATAGGGAAATTTAAACAATAGTAAGTGTTATTGAAACAGTAGCTTTAATTTGGTCTCGTTTTTTAAAAACAATAAATGTATTGGTATATGATTTGCTGCAACAAAAATTAACTATTTCAAAATATATTGCAATAAAGGTTTAACTGTATCGTTTTTGCATGAAACAATATCAATCTATAAGGTGTGTACATTTTTAATCATTCAGTCATCATTTATGGGATTAAAATGAGGAATATGACACTAAGATATAACCTTCATGCCATGGCATCCACAGCTCAACCACAATGCTTCTGTAAGCTGCAGTTTTCCTGTCACTGATCGTGATGTGGTCCATAAATTCTCAACATTTGTTGCCACAACTGAAGGTGATGAAAAAGGCAACTGAAAAATATACAGAAAACAAGTTAAACTTGCATTGTTAAGGATCAGATTTGAAAAAATGTTTTATTCTAATTAAGACATCAGCATGTAAAGGAAAGACTCAATTCACAAGATTTTCTTTTAATAAAAGTATCACTAGTTTCAATTTACCTTTAAGTTTTTTCTATTTCGAGTTATATAATAAGTAAATATCTGTCTGCCTGAGAGCAACTATTTGTCTTTATCAGACAAAAGTCCTTTAGTTTAAACATATTTATTTTAGCTTAATTGCAAAACACGTTCTTGCAACTTATATCAATCACTTTTGTGTCCATTAACTAAAACTAACAAGTACTTGCGACATATGTGGAATCATGTTCGTGACCCAAATAGGGCTCAAACCCACGATCCCTTAGTTGAGAAGCAGACAGCTTAAGCACTAGGCCACCGCTCCCAAAAAGTCCTTTACTCAAAATATCTGTAAGAAGTCAACCTTTAACAGCTATATTTGAGTGGTGAACTTGTCCTGCTACAACAGTGCCAATATAAGTCTTATAGGTTTAAATATCAATTTACTAAATAAGTTATAAACTATTTCAATCAAGAAGACAACAACAACACAGAGTCAGACTTCCGGGAGCTTGGGGAAACAGATTCACCAAGCTTTGCAAACTTTGCAAGCAAAATGTTAATACCAATAAGATTTAAATTACACTCTGTTGCCATAGAAACCACTTACAGGTTTAGCTTTTTGTGGTGATTTTTCTTTCTGTTTGATCTGAGGCCCTGTTCTATCTCGTTGAAAGACAAGAAGTTTTCCGGCCACATTCAATAATAAACTTTCAGAATCTTTGGCTGATTGTACTGGTCGCTGACTAGCTACTAGAGGTGCTGAAATGAAATATAAGTTCATAAACAAAACAAGCAAAAAAAATATTTGTCCGAAATTGCCAATTGTTAAAGTTTGTAAAATTTGAGACACTATAACATTATTGATATATATTGAACATTACTCAACCTATTAAATTCATTTTACAATACAGCCTTCTTAACGTTTATAAATACATTGTAATCAAATAGGCCTAAAAATTAAATAAAACCAAATCTGATACATGGATATATGTAATGAAAAAAACATTTTAATCACATTGTTTAGTTCTATAAAAGAAAACCTTTAAATCATGAATTGTTGATTCATTAGTAAGCTTATACTGAAAACGTTATGAGTATGTTTTAGGAAAGAAATAATACAGAAATTTGAAATGTACATATTCTTACCAATATCTATTTTTAGAGATGTAAAAACAATGCCTGTTACACAGACTGGGTGGGGTATATAATTACTGAGGCCAACTTCTTGAATTTTTGATATTTCTACTGAAGGAGCTGAAATAAATGCAACATTTCATTTGTTATTTTCTAAGAGAAGAACATGATTCATTTCATGAACAATCTAAGTAAGCATGTTGTGCAGCTTAGAGCTCTGTTCAAGTCTCAACCATGTATCCGCAATATAACACTTGTGCAAGAAGCAAACTAGATATTTTTCAATATACATGTAACTTGCAATAAGTAGAAGTAACAAGAGCTGTCAGAAGGACAGCGCGCTCGACTTTTTTAGTGCTTGCCTATAAAACAAAACTTTGACAGTTAAGGGCACACAAGACTTTAACTAGGAATTTCTAAGTACAAATCAAGAAACATTTTCACAGAGTTATCTTCTCTTGCTTACAGATAGGTCTCATGATGGCACATAAGAACTCCAACTTCCAAAGTAATATCTCAAATGGTTAAGTCAACAAGTGGACAAGAATGAAAATCTTAACTGAGTTTCTAAGTCAAAAAGGGCCATAATTCAAATAAAATCCTTAACAGAATTACCTTCTCCTGCCCATGTTTTGGGACCATGATGGTAAACAAGTATTCCAACTTTTCAAATTAATATCTCAAACAGTTCAGTCAAAAAGTGGACTGGTACTAAAAACTTAACCAAGATTCTAAGTCGATAAAAGGCCTTAATTTTTAAAACAAATCCTTGACAGAGTTACCTTCTCTTGCGTACAGATGGGGGTAATTGATGTGAAATAGCATTAAAAGTTTCAAAGCAATATCTCAAAGGGTTAAGGCAATAAGTGGATTTTACCCATATTCAATGTATTTTCTAAGTCAAAAAGGGGCATAATTCTGTCAAAAACCTTGACAGAGTTATGTCCTCTTGTCTGTTGATGAAGGTCGTGATTGGTAAACAAGTATGGTCAGTTTCAAAGCAATACCTCCAATGGTTTTGAAATAAAGTGAGGTGGTACAAAAAACTTAACCAAGCTCAATACACTTTCTAAGTCAAAAAAAGGGCCATAATTCTGTCAAAAACCTTGACAGAGTTTATGTACTCTTGTCTGTAGATGGAGGTTATGATGGTGAACAAGTTGGTAAGTTTCAAAGCCATACTTGTAATACTTCTGAAATAAAGTGGGGTGGTACGAAAAACTTAACCAAGGTGTGACGCCAACGCCGACGCCGACGCCGACGCCGGGGCGAGTAGGATAGCTCCCCTTTTCATAGAAAAGTCGAGCTAAAAATGTATGTTTATTCTATAAATAAATTGGTCATTTGACCAAACCAGTTTTAAAGGTCTGTGACCAAATTGCACATATTTTACATGTTTTTATACAATTTGATACATAGATTACAAAAATCATGTTGTAAAAGTGCTTAAAATGTCTTTTTGTAAGAAAAATGTGATTAAGACAGTCTTTTGTTTTCATAACGGTATCAGTAATTTCTGCAGCCATTTTCGGTGATGACGTAGGAATATCAAAACCTATTCACTTTAAGGTTTAATTTCTAAAAAGATATCATATCTATTCAAATAATAAATATTGACCCAGTTGTTACAAACTTTTTTAAACTTAAGCGACGAATTAATCCAACTGTCGTTAAATTTTAACATTGTCTACTTACTTGATTGAGTATTGGTCCTCTCCAGATTGAATATCATAACATGAGAGTCTACACAAAACACTAACAATGTGTCCTTGAATATATTTATCAACAAAACTTGAGAGGGAACTTTCTGTATATTAGCAAATGTATTATCTAATTTACTTTCCCTTGGGTAACACCGAATCTGGAAAAAAATCAGTTGACAGATTATTAACATTTTACATTTGAAATTGAAAATATAGCATCGGATAAATACTTAAACACACCTTTATATCATATGATTATAAGGTATCTTTTATTATTCCAAATTCTTTATTATCTAAAATTCTCAAACATTTTTTCTATTTGATGTGTTGTTCTCCCCTCCCAATCCTTTAATTAATTTTTTTGTATTGATAGATCCCTAATTTTACCTTTTATTTGAATAACAATAGATTATACCACAAACATGAACATGTGCTCTTTTATTAACAAATATGTTGTGGTGAAATTCTTATTGTATCCACTAATCTGATACTTAGTATTAGACAGGTTAAGGATCTTTGCATTAGTATTAAAAACTGCTGTTAGCAATATATAATTAGTATTGCTGTTGTTTGTATTTCTAAACATTAACATGAAAACATTTACAGATTATATGAGCCGTGTCATGACAAAACCAACATAATGGGATTGCGACCAGCATGGATCCAGACCAGCCTGGGCATCCGCGCAGTCTGATCAGGATCCATGCTGTTTGCTATCAGTTTCTCTACTTGTTATAGAGTATGTAAGCGAACAGCATGGATCCTGATCAGACTGCACGGATGTGCAGGCTGGTCTGGATCCATGCTGGTCGCAAACCCATTATGTTGGTTTTGTCATGACACGGCTCATATGTATTTTACCTCATCTCTATGACCTATAATATTATAACAGGCCACACAAATAAAATCCTTCCACCATGTCACCCCTCCTGATACAACCATATCTCTTTCCTTAACAAACAAAAATTCAAGAAATCTTAGGTGTACAAAATCAAACATCACCAGTATATGTTAGTAAATAAATATAAATAATAACTGAAATGAAATGAAAGCAAATAAACAATAACACATTTGCAACAAACTGTAAAAAATGAAGAAGTCTTCTACTAGTATCAAAAATAATATTTTAGAACAATATTCGAGTATTTACATTCTATCTTAAGGTAACATTGACCAGAATCGCAGGCATCTGTCATTAGTATAGAGCCATGTAATGATACTTATTAATACTGGAAAACAACACTTAACACTTGTGGATTGCTAAATTTGTATTCTTTTTTCTTAAGAGACCACCACTCTTATCAATCCAAATTTTATACACAGCAAAATGACAGGATATATGGTTAAAATGAAATCAGTGGTGTTATGAGTTTACATATTATAAGTTCAAATTCTTAGAAAGAATTGAATAAAAAAAGTTTACCTGAGTTTCATTCCCAAAAAGTTTCCATTTCCTGTTAAATAGTGCATAATGAGCTAACCCTGTTTTACCGGCCACTGCAACACACTGACCTGCCTTGTCTACACATGCATACTGTAACATGATAAAATTAATATGGTCAACAAAGAACAGTTGGTACTTATAATTCTGTATAGCATACTGGGTAAAACTGTCCACTTACAGAGTATATCAAATTGTTGTTAATTAAGCTGTTATCATAATTAATATAAAGTAAATATATCTGTAATAAAATCTAAACATACCCCATATTCCAAATCTTTTACAAAATTCTGATGCCGAGTAAAACATATGCCTAAGCCGGCAAGATTATGTCTGTTTATTTTCTTGTTTGCATCATTGTTTCAGCCCTTGATAATTTCAGTATTTTAAACATATACCAACATGTATTAATAGACTAGTGGAGTAGCATTCACAGGCTAATGGACAGGCATTTATGTGTACAGTTATTCTGAATGGCTGATTTCTTCTCTGTACAAATGAAAATAATACCTACCCTGATAGGCCAATTACTGGCCAGGTAACTATGTGAGATAGGTATAATTTGCCATTGTTTGCTGCCCACTAGAATATGTGATTCACATCCACCATACTGACTAGATTTTGATGTGATATCACCAGTGTTTAAATACAACTTGTCCTCTCCTTGTAGAAACACATGTTCATGATTTGCCTACAAATAAAATGCATGTAATAAAACAATACGCATCTTCAGAGTAGCAGCTAGTCTCTGTTCCCTAAAGTATGCTTCAAGAAGATGTTAACTGAATAGAACATACATAACATTTCAACTTTCTTTTGGAAGAAGCTTGTCTATATATTTTGTTTAATAATTTTCGTATTCACCTTTTATTAAATACTGCATACCAAATTAACAAAAGAGAAAAGAGCAAAAGGTATCAAAAAGTATTTATATCAAAGAAAGTAATAAAATATGACATCTATGTTACCATTGAGGTAATAATTTCTTTATGGTGTCATTTGGTATAGAAAATAGAAAGAGTAGTATCATTTAAATTTTATACAGAAAATTGTATACATCAAAATCACCCTTTTTCCTGAAAAATCATAGACCTCACACTGGTCTTGTGATATCTATAACTAAAAATCTTTATTGATTCTAGTCAATGCCTTTAATGTAAGCACTGACCAATTGGTCAATGTATTTGCCTTCCTGCTCATGGATTGTGGGACTGTGGGTTTGAGCTCTACTGGAGTCACACCTATCTTATCTCATATTACATATTATTATAAACTAGTGTTTATTACAATAATGCAGACTTTTAGAGACGATTAAATAAGCTTCTAGCTTTCACCAAATTATGTTAAAAATAAATAAGCTTTAACAGACTTAAAACCATTGAACAACTACACTTACCATGCAAGGATTTACAGTGAGAGAACTTTTGGCAAATTGTAGCTGTATTATGTCTGTGTGATCTACTGTAGCATACTGGCCATTCTCATCTCCTTCATTACACTGGGAACCAATCATCCATAACTGGTACCCTTCTAACCCCCATTCCTGCAATACAATATCAACATCTTGAAAATAATAACTGAGCCGCGTCACAACAAAACCAACATAATAGGTTTGCGACTAGCATGGATCCAGACCAGCCAGCTCATCCGCGGCAGTCTGATCAGGATCCATGCTGTTCGCTTACCAACTCTATTACAAATAGAGAAACTGATAGCGAACAGCATGGATCCTGATCAGACTGCGCTGATGCGCAGGCTGGTCTGGATCCATGCTGGTCGCAAACGCACTATGTTGGTTTTGCCGTGACGCGGCTCAACTAATGATCTAAAACTAGTGCTCTCCTGAGGCTCTATTTTCCACTCATACAATGTATTATGATAATTTACTTAGAAATCTTAATATTTATAATATAATAATACTTTTCTATTAAAGCATAATAAGCTTAGCCAGTAAAAAGATAAATGCTTACCATTGATTTCACAGATGGTGGAAATAATCGAAGGTAATCTTTGGTAAAACTGCAACAAATAAGAAAATTGTTTATATAACAGTTGCAAACATAATTCACTAAAGCTTATTAACATTTTTACCTCAGAGTTTATCTTATACAGACGTTGAGGACAAAAAAGCAACTTAAAGCCACGTACAGAAAAAACATCAACTTAATATAGATAGATATAAAACTACAAAACTATGTTCTCCATTGTGATAACTAATATCAACAACATTTAAATATGTACAATAATAGTGGTAAAACAAATGCTGTAAAAATTAGCAAATTAGAATAAGATATCAGCTAGCTCAGCCTTATTTTATTGATTTTGGTCATAATGAATAAAAGAAAGTGTGCACCATTGCATGCATTAAAAGAATCCCTGTCGTCAACATGATGAAATTTTGCAGAATTTTAAATGGATTGTGTAATTTGCTATGTAATTATGCTGATACAATAAAAGTAAACTATTTAAAGTTACATTTAATAAATTTCATAAAAAACTAAATAGTGACATTTCATTAATAAATTGGGTTTTATATCGACTCCAGGTCTTATTTTGGTGTCCAAACAACCAAAATGAGTTTTATTAGCATAAAAATAGGTAACCTCATTGTGGCGAAATGGGGAGTACAATTTCTGTTTGCATGAGAAACTCCGCCTTCGGATCATCCGTACATCAATATTAAATCAACAAACATGACTATAAGTGGCAGTCCTAATTTAAAGGTATATTTCCGCATAGTAACGGATGTTTTCATACAAATTTAATCTTTTTACGAGATGATTACTTTTACTGAACCCCAGGTTTAGTGCACCGTGAAGCTTTAACGGTTAAAGTTTGATTGCACAAGAAAATATCACATTTGCTGTGTTCCGGATAGCAACTATAAACTGTGACGTAGCGCATACACGAACTCATTATAGTCTTCATTTGCATGTTAAAATTCGTATACGAACTTTAGTGTTACCATGGGGTTTCCCGTTTAAAATCCTAATTTATGAACAGTATTTGATGAGATTTACAACAAAACTTTTAAACAGGTTAATGAAACTGTAGAATGTTTGATTTTTAGGCCGACGGAAAAATATTTTTACATATTTATTTAATGTAACTTTAAACAGCTCTCAAGCAGCGACATAAGAACAATTGTAACAGTTAATGTTTGAGACGTTTCACTTTTTCTTATAAGTGTCTAACTAACTAGGTTGTTGATCTACTTTTTATAGGCACACTTTTTGTTTTCACAGACAGACCGACTTTTAGATGAACAATAAAATAAACCATATTGAAAACAGTTTATGCAAATAGGCAGTCAGAAATTTTCAAATTTGGGTCATCTCATTGGTCATAGCCTAAAGAGTGATACTGTGTCATTTTTTTTCATTATAAATTAAGTGTCTGTATGAAATAACAAGCATGCAGTATTTACTTGTCCATCAACAAAATAAACATACAACACAATGCTGTGAAGCTAAACAACTACACCAACAAAATAACATAACAACTGTTGTTTACAAACAAATAGGAATATAATAATGCATGAAAGCATTCTTTCTTACAAAAGCAAAGGCTTAAATTAGTAAGATACTTTGCTAAGTTTATAGCTCTAAAATATCATTATATTAATGCACATTAAGCGAGTGTTTATCTTTCATATTGTTTGTCTTAAGCTAAATGTTAGACTTCAAAATATCTATTCCAGTATAGAAAAACATATAATGCTCATATTTCAATATCACTAATTTAGGCCTCTAAAATGAATTTAATGTCATTCAATCTGTATCATTGTAAAATATTTATTAAACCAGAAATTGAAGCATTAAACCATACAAATTTGTTTGAGATGAAAAAGACGATCTCTTGATTTATACACTAGAAATTTATATCCTAGAAGAATCTAGCAAGTGATAGTAATAAGAGACCTCCACTTGCCGAATATCTGACTTGTCAAGCTTTCTATTTTAGAACTGTTAATTATCAATTTCTGGAGAAGATATCACAATAAAATAAATTGAATTTCTTTTTTTCAAAAAATTGGTCAGCCAATAGTAGCAAATAATATATAATAGCAAACACATCTCACATTCCTACACATAAGTGAAGTCTTACACAATCCTATACTGTTTTTTTATCATATCTCAGTACATATATATTTTGATCATGAAAATCTTTCAAACTTAGTAATGCTAATTTATCTCCAAATTTACTGTTGGATACTCCTTTGTTTCGCCATTTTAAATAAGGAAATGCATTTATTTTTTTATTATTTTTAATAATAGTACAAGCAAAACTGCATGCCTAAATTCACATAATACAAAACAACGAAACAAAATCAAATTCATAATACCATCAAGCATTGTTCTAATTAGTCATTATATAATTGATAAACAATGCATCACTAATTCATAGCACATACAATGTAATATGCTGCCAATCTCATCCATTATCCAGCCTCATTCTATTATGATAGCTATGTATTTTCATCCAAATGTTACAGGAGTTTTCATCTTAGTTCAAGTGTTTTCCATCATGAAAGATAACTCAGTACTGCAATATCATGACTTCCCTTATTTTGAGGGTAACTAATTACTGAGACAATTTTGTTCTCTTATGTCAAATGATACAGACAGATTATTATGGGATTACATTGGTTGATAAGCAAATTTAAAAAGAAAGTGCATGTATGTACCATAAGCTTTTATCTTTTCAAGTAAATAAAATTGTGTGTATAACATAAACATGTTGAAGTTATCTTTCAATTAAGAAAACACCAGAGTTATTAACAACTGACATACATTACAGGACATGACTGGTCACATGACCTTGGACATGACCTTTGGGGAAAGTTACATCATGCCCTACACCATATCTTACCTACAGTCATTACATTCGGATATCTGTTTATCAAATCTGTAACACATAGCTTCGTATATTTTCCTTGTACTAATACCATTATATATCCTACATGAGCAGTCTAATAGCAAAAAGTTAAATACAACATGCACTGAATAGATTGTTTGTATACAACTTTGTTACAATTGTATAGATTTATAATCTTGTGTTTTATAAATATACATAAGGAAAAAAAATATAGCAACACCTGATACTTCTGTAGTGGTAATATTGTATGTTGTTACTACATGAAAAATGCACAGCATGGTAGGATGATTTTCATGTGTTATTTGTACATACTATGGCTAAACATATTCAGAAAACCAGATCTCTTACATTTTGTTTAACACCTTATATAGGCAAAGTACTTATTTAAGACAAAAAGACCTAAAATTAAGTGCTGATAACTTTTGCCTTGTGATGACAAGATTCTAGGTCAGTCACATTTTACTACATATGTATATTATCATTATTAAATGTTACTATTATTGGTAGCATAGTCAAATGCTGTTTATCCTTTGCAGGCCAGAATAAAATCATCCAAGCATATAATTTTCATTGATGTATAATCTGATGTTAAAACAATACATTTGCAGGACCCTGATCTCATGCTTAGTATATTACTAGTTGCAAGTTATATCAGAGTACTCACATGGTATATTTCCATATTAGAAACATACATCCCAACAGATATAGAACATATTGTTGATTATCAAAATGTTAATCATTTGTACAGATTATTACAAGAGGTGTTATTAGGATATTAATAATATGATATTAGTGTAGGGACTTTGTTGATAATCACAATATTATATATCACATAGATTATTCAAGTATAATAAATACAATTTATCAATTAACTCTAGTCTTGTTGGCACACAGCAAAAGTTAACCACACAATTTAAGTCTGTAATGCTTATGATATCTCAAAATAAAAAAATTGAATTTATATGTTACACTTTCCCATGTTATTATGTGTTTATCTTAGTTAACTTCAATTTTTATTCAAATAAAACTTCTAATATTAGTACCAGAGTTTCAAATAGTCATCACTAAAATACATACAAATACCTTCATAGAAATATGAGGTGTTGCAATACTATTTTCCATCTGCATATTAAATTTTATTACATAAATTTACTTAACATCTAAAACTCTGAAAGCTCTGATTCTTCAATTATAGATAAAATGTTGAAATATGTAGCAATCTTTTACTTCCCATATACTTAAATAAATGAACTCTTTACTTTTATTGATCTCTATTCTTTACCTTATCCTATAATAATGACAATAAAATCATTAATTGAGCATAAATTCTAGCTGAAAAATCAAGCTGATAATAAATTACTAAACTATCAAACAATACACAGCATTAAACGGAAAGCATATATTTCACAAACAGAACACATCATAAATACAAGATGTGATATATACCTATAATCTCCCCCTACAGTACATGCAAGTAGAGATCCAAATACACTCCACAGGGCAAAACCTCCCTTCTTCCATGCCATAGCTAATGCTGTACCATCTGGTGTCCATCTCATACATGTAACTGCCCCAACTGTCTTACTTAATACTGAAAATAATGTTTTCTGTACCATATAAACAATTTCTATTGCATATATCTAATGAAACTCTCAATGAAACAATGATCATTAAGATAATATATGACAAACTCAAACAACTATGCTTTGTAAGCCTTATTTTCCTTGGCAATTGCTATTATTTAAACAGGGAGAATATCTTCCGAATTTTATTTACTCTGATTCACAAAGCAAGTTAATTTGATATTACTTATATTAAAAGAACATTTATTTTATTACAGCAATACATGATTTTAGTAGCATTTTTCTCAATGTATGTTGGATAATTGTATCTTATGTACAATTATACATATCTTATGGACAACTGTATCAATGAATGAATTACAGTCGACTCCACTTATAACGAACTCGCTTATAACGAATTATCGTTAATAGCGAACTAAATCTGACATCCCCGGCCGATTTCTTCTTTATTTTATATTAAATCACATCGCTTAATACGTACTCGCTTATAACGAATTTTCGGCTATAACGAACCATTTTTCAAGCCCCAAATGACAGAAAACATGAAAATTTCCTCGGTTATAACAAACTGTTATAATTGAAATATCGGGATGCGCTCGATTAGGATCAGTACATGAATAACGCTATCCGATAATTATACAATCGAATAATTGCACAGGTTAGTTATGGCTTCAGGGATAAAATGTTTTCACAAGATAATTTCAAACTTGTTACGGAAAATTTGTATTTCGCACCCTCAGTTGATTGCTGAAAATACCCGGTAATTACCAAATAATCGTTTGTTTTTTGGTGTTTTTTTTCTGTGTGTGCAATATAAACCAAACGATAATAAACAAATAGCAAATGAATACAAATGGTAAGCACACCGGAGGGGCACCTGGGGTCTTCCTCCACCAATAAAAGCTGGAAAAAAATCGACGAAAAAATCTCGGCGGGACGCTCTAGGATGGCCCGACTTGAGTGTACGGTCGCCCATATGGGCTTTCCGGCGGCGACCTTAAATAAACGCATTAAACAAAAAAAAAATAAATAAAATAAATGGTAAGCACTTTATATACAAGTACTACATGAGTAAACATAATATTTGTTCAATACAATGACAAGCATTAAATCATCGCTGCAGTAAAATACCGGTTACATCGGTAACCAGTGAAAAGTTGGCTTTTTCACGACATATTTCCCCATCCAAACAAGTCAGCAAGTTGTTGCTACTTCGCTTTTAGCGAACTTCGGATATAACGAACGATATTTTAATGTCCCATCGAGTTCGTTATAACCGGAGGCGACTGTATGTAAAAGACAAATCTAATTTAGATTTTCTATGACTTACTAGGAAAGTTTTTGCAGGACACCTGTAGTTTATGTGTGGACTCCAGCAACCCTTCTACTTCATTGATAGAATATATCACACCATGTGAACTGAAAAAGTCCCAATACTATACAATATATAACTTGTAAAGTACATACGTCAAAACAAGCAAATTATTAATCAAGTATTTGTCAGAAAGTAAAACAGAAGGAGCAAAGTATACATGCTGGACCTCAGTTTGTACACTGATTTATTCAAAGACTTATTTATTCAAGAACTTCATGTGACTTACTGTGGCAGTATAAAATTGACTGGATTCGATCTACTATGACTTCTTCAGTATCAATTATTTCTAATTTCCTTTCAAAAACCATTTGATAAAACATTCATTTGATTTGGCAAAAATTTATAATACTTTAAGTCTATAATACATAAGGTCTGAGATGGAATTATTTTTTCCATGTTTAATGTCTTAAAGTATCTCACTGACAATAATTATTCATCACAGGTATAAAGATTATATTTTGATATTTGTCATTTTAATATATCAAAATAAACCCTTTGGTAGACTATTATCACAAAACATTTATGAATACTGATTCAAATGGTCACATTTTTGCCTTTTGCTTCCAATTTGACCTAATTCTTAAAATTCATTAAAGCAAACATCTAAGCAAAATCATCTGAAAATGTCCACTGGAATGACAAAAGTGGGACATAACTATAACTTCAACATTTGAGATATATAATTCAATTACAAACTAATTAAGAACAGATTGGTACACTTACTCTGCACAGCCATATGCTATCAACCTGTATCTATGATTCACAGTCTGACATACAGCATCTGTCATGTTTGTTGCCCATACACCTGATGAATTCTGAAAATATGTTCAACAAGGAACTGTCATTCATTCATGAAACGTTTTTTCAATAATATATGAATTTACATTGTGTGTGCACTAAAGAACTTCATAAATATATGAACATAATGAAATATTTTCCTGCATGCCTATTTCTATAGAGAACACTGTTAAAGTCATACAAAAATGTTGAACCAGACAAATTATACATGGCAATTCGTCAACACATAATTTCAATGTACTGTTATGTTAGATCCTTATTTTACTAGTGAATTATTTATTTATAATACAGGTAAATGAGCATATGATTTAACATTTACAATACAATTTGATACATAAATCGCTTGGAAAGTACAAAATTTCACCATTTATGAAAAAGGGTAAACATAATGTACATTGTATAACCATTTATTTCTATAATCAATTCTCTTATTTTGTAAAAATGGTGCACTCTCTTATCAAGTATCATGACTGCCAGCTTAGGTCTGTTTCAAAATGCATGTAACATTGTTTAGTGTCTGAATTATTTATTCAAAAATCAGAATTCAATGTTTTCTAACAATAAAGTAGTGTCTAGACTCTTGATTTATACAGACATATCTCTTCATGTTAAACTCAAATATAACTTTATCAGTTGATGCGACAAGCAGAATTTAATGTGAGTATGTATCAGATCTCTTAGTTTTCAAAACATTTCCACTAAATAAATAAGTTTGAACTAAATCCATGATGCACTATACCAAATAATTTATTCTGCTACTGTCATTATCATCAGCTGGATAAAGCCTTGCCAGATAAACTTATCTATCTCCAGTCATTACGTCATATTCATGATGACGTCACATGTTTAGCAGCAAAACAAAACTACATATACTAGTAGATGCTATTTTATCGGGGAAAATGAGGAATGAAACCATTTAATTATTCTAAAAACATTATTAAAAGCAGGATAAATCAAATACATGGTTGATGTCGGGATGGAGAAGGTTTATCCAGTTCGCTGCGAAAGTGAATCTTGCCAAGATACACTTTCTCGCTCACTGGATAAACCTTCTCCATCCCGACATCAACCATGTATTTCCTATTTACCATGCAATGACTTTGTTATAACTCATAAAGAGTTAAATTTGAAGGAACTCTTTTTTTACAATTTGACAAAATGAAATGGAAGGAATGTAAGATAAAGTTATACATACACTATCATTGCCTCTTGCTGACAGTGACATCATCAACATGGCCTTTCCTGAGGACAACACGAGACAATATCCTCCAATAATAGGACTGTATTCCATCTGTACAACATGACCATCTTCTAATGTTAACTTGTTTCCTAATAATACAAATAATTATTATGTTATCTTCTAGTAAATATAAATACAATCAAGTTGTGTATAAAAACACCCATCTTTATCATTGAATTTATTTGAATCCTCAAGCTAAATCAAAATTTTATTCATCGGCTGATATAAAGTGCTATCGAAGTTTGTTTATCTGATATCATATTGTATTAGGATATAGAATATCCACATGTTGTATTGCATTGGGAGGAAACAAAGAGATCTGTTCTGTAAAGAGATCAGTTCTTGTTATAGTTCTTTCTGTCAGTTTAACAGAAACCATTATAACTGGTCATTGTTTAATCCCTAAATTAGAATCAAAAAGAATTATAGACTCAAACTTGATTTAATTGATTACAAGAATTTGTAACAGAGTTACCAACGTCCCCCCGCCTTAAGGAAGTATTATATGAAGCATAAAACTGTGCTATTTCAAAAGATTGAGGTATGGATCAGGACTTTTAGTCTAAAATTTTGACTAGGATATCTTTTGATTGTAAGTGAGACTTTGTAAGACCGAACTCGTAATGTATCCTATAACAGACTATATTCATCTTTGCCTTGACCTTATGTGTAGGTGACTGATTATTGCACATGGCACAACTTCTCATTATTGTGAAAATTGGTCAAAAAATTATGGACCGCACACAAAATATACCCTATAACAGACTATGTTAATCTTTGACTTCCAAGAGTGACCTTGACCTTAGAGGTAGGTGACCGGTTGTTGCGCATGACACATCGTCTCATTATTGTGAATAATTGTGGCAAGTATTTACAAAATCCCTTCAAAGATAAGAAAGTTCTGGACCGGACATGACATATACCCTCAAATAGACAATGTTGACCTTGAATGAGCAAGTGCTAGCTAGACCCTGGAGGTAGGGGTCTTGTTTTTCGCAAGACACACTGTCTTATTATAACAAACATTTGTGCCTAGTTATTTTAAATTCCTTTGATAAATGACAAAGTTATGGACTGGACAGGAAAGTGTGACGGAGGGACGTACTTACGAAATGTTACTTATGTGACTTTTCCTTTGATCTTTTTAGCCATTTTTAGTCAATCAAGGCTTAAAAACAGACACACAAGTAAAAACGGAATGAATAGGATCAAAGAGAATTTACTGATACCTATTGTTCTCCAAGTCACACAAATACCTCCGGGTTTGTATGTCCAACCGACCAAATAGGGATAAAGGGCCATTTCTATTGTTATTTTCTTTTGTTTAATAGAGGGCGATGGCCCCTTATTCTATTGTTACAGAATGAATTCTATTGTTCTCTTTTGTTCTGTTTACAGTTAGATGGCTCCCTATCCCTAATTGGTAGTGCGAACAGACGGACGGTCCCTATTCCTTTATCACCCTTTTTTCTTCGAAGAGGCGGGGGACAATAAACAATCACATGCTTGGTATTTTCAGTACAAAGGTACATTCACAACATCTTTTTCACCGTCTAAAACTTTCTTAATACAAATTGATAAACATGAATGAATAATCACATCTGTGAAGATTTAAAACTTAAGATATCATAAAAGATAACGGTAAATAAAACATAGAAATATTAAGCTTTTTATCTATTTATTTCTTCTTTGTTGACAAAGGTATCTACCCCTGTTGAACAGCTTGTCTCCAAATAAAGAAAATTGTCAATGATTTATTTCCAGTTATTCAAAGAGTTTATATCGGAGTCTTTGCTGAATCGGCACAATGAGTGTAACAGCTGCCTTACTGTTATATAACAGGAAAATAATATCCTGTATCAATATACATATAGGGTTTTCATCATGACCCCTTCTCAGGTAAAATCACTAGCTAACAACATGTTTTGTGCAACCAATTTACTTTTAGTTATTTCTTATATAAAAATAAACAAGTTGTGGATTTGGTGTGAAATAGCTGTAACTCATATTGCATAATGAAGGAGTTACGTCTGTTTCACACTGATCCATCAAAATTGTCTTGTCTTGTCTATTTCTTTCTGGAGGGAACTCAATTATTCTCTCATACTTTAAGAAATCACAAAGCTTCTTTCAAATAACATAATTATACACAAAGTATCTTTATAGATTGTTCTGAAATATTTTTTATTCAGTTAAATGTGCAAACTAAATCACCTCGTACGCAATCTACAGTTTGTCTCAAGAATTTTTTTTTGAAAATATCAAAAAGATGTATTTCTAATGTTTTTATCAATATTAAAAAAAAAGCTTATGGAAAATGTGCCAAATGTAGACCAATCCACTATAATGAAACCCTGTACACATAATACTAAATAGAGAATTATTCTAGAAGAATTACTATCCTTTATTGTTTTTAAAGAATTCAGCTATACATGCATATTATGCTTCTAAGCTTTACTTAGCATATCTTATGTTGTAAATGGATTAAAAATATGCAAAACCTATATTTTTTCCCATGAAAATTTTATTGCTGTATTGTTTTCTTTTTCTTCGATTGTGTGTTATTATTTCTATACCTAGTCTTATCCAAAAGTACTTCTTGATGTCATAATACCTTTCTGGGAAATTAAAGATAATTCTCGTAACATAGAAGTAAATTGAAATCTTAGAATAGTTCTATATATGAGCCGCGCCATGACAAAACCAACATAATGGGTTTGTAACCAGCATGGATCCAGACCAGCCTGCACATCCCCGCAGTCTGATCAGGATCCATGCTGTTCACTATCAGTTTCTCTACTTGTTATAGGGTTTGTAAGCGAACAGCATGGATTCCTTCTCACTTCCCCCCGGAGCGTGCACGTCGCTGAGAAGGCACAGGGCATCGGCATAAGATTAACAGCTTGGCTGGTAGCAAACAACTCAACTAAATAGAAGCCCCCCATAGGCTGTAACAACGGGATTGTTACTTTGTCATCAACTGCAGACCAGCTGCCGGTGTCCTGACTAATGCCGAGGGGAGTGGCCCTACGATGTAGGCTGAGAGACGAGGATGGTGTTTTAGGGTGCGTGAGCCCCTAGTACAGATAGACGGCTTATAAGGCAGGCCTTTTGCTGGCACTAACAGCCCTTTACAGGGTTACCCATTCATATTGTCACAGGTTACTGTACATTTAGGTTCTCATTGACCGCCGTACAGTCACTTACTTTTGGCTCAAAATTCATATCTTTGGCTAATACTCCGTGGAAATTGCATGGAGGTAAATTATCACCACTTTGTGCTTCAAAATTAACTCTTTAAGGGCATGACTGGTGACATGTCGGGGTCCATACTGGACAGCAAAAGCTGCATTTTGTGCCCGAAAGAGCGGATGGACCCTCATTAAGCATTAACTACATACATACATACAGCATGGATCCTGATCAGACTGTGCGGATGCCCAGGCTGGTCTGGATCCATGCTGGTCGCAAACCCATTATGTTGGTTTTGTCATGGCGCAGCTCATATATATTCAGCAAATAATATTATGTCATGTGACCTCTGTGACCTCACACTTTTAAAGTGCCTTATCAATGCTCAAAAATTCTTATATAACATTTAATAATCATTGTGTCTGTACTAAACTCTTTGCCAAATATTATGGCCATTTAACTCCTTCCTTAAAGGCCCATTATGCCTCAAAATGCTATCATACTTTATTTCACAAAAACTTAAGATTTTTTTGGTATTGTGTTACAGTTTCTAAAAATACTCATTTGCCGTACACATGAACTAGTTTTTGCTTAGTTTGCTTTGATGGCAACTGGTAATAATTATAGTGAAATAGCATTTTGTACATTTTGCTACCTTTATGACACATTACTGTACATGTACATTCAGCACTATTTTTTCATTTTTCAACTATAAAACATTCTATCATGCTCTAAATCCATTAGTTTAACATTATTAAACACATGTTTGGTATTTTTTTTTTAATTAACAAACATGAATTTCTGAGGCATAATGTGCCTTTAATTTCCTGCTTAATTTCTAAAATTGGTAGATTTCAAATTTTAGGGATCAATTTCAAATTATAAAATGAAATATAAACATTTTTTTATATATATAATGAGCTATAAAATATATACTAACACACCTTTTATTGAGATTTTGAAAGTGATAAAGTAACACTTTATTTGTGAACTTGCTACAATTGAGTGCACACCTAGCTTCATAAAATATAAGTACGTTACCGCTGACAACTGCATCACAGAATGGATTATTTGGCACAGTGGTGACATTTTTGCTTGTAAGCGAGAGGTCATGAGTTTGAATTCAAGTCACGGCATGATCTTTTATGTTACAAACAAAATTTGTTGATTAGAATCCTAATAGACATACCTCTTGACTGAAGCATATCTGCTGCTACAGATAAGTCTTTTAGACATACTGATGCTTTGGTATTTTCTGTTCCGCTCCAGTGAATACGAGTGAGAAAACCGTCCTCTGTAGCTACAGCCAATTCCTCTCGTATACTCAGACAACTGATAATAAAATTACACTTTTACAACAATATAATTGAGCCGCGCCATGACAAAACCAACATAATGGGTTTGCCACTAGCATGGATCCAGACCAGCCTGCGCATCCGCGCAGTCTAATCAGGATCTATGCTGTTTGCTTTCAGTTTTTCTACTTATTATATGGTTTGTAAACGAACAGCATGGATCCTGATGCGCAGGCTCAGGTCTGAAACCATGCTGGTCGCAAATGCACTTTGTTGGTTTTGTCATGACGCGGCTCATATTCTTTTTCTAAAAACAAAATCATCACAATGATTAAGATGAAAAACAACAGTGACAAAGATGAATGCTCACTGGGGCTGCTTTGATGCAGTGGGATAAAGATATAGAATTGTGAGGGAAAATATATATTTTTAACCTTAAAAGTAACCGTGACCTTCAATCAAACAGACACAATAATCCAAAGAACATGTACCAGAAAGGGACACAATAGCCACATATCAAAATGTTGGTCAATAAATAAAAGGCTCTTTAAAGAAAAGTAGAAAACTTTAATGTTAACTTCAGTGGTCAACCAACAAAAGATTTGGGGATTCATGAAAGACAACTATTAATTAGATGAAGTACTCTGCCTGAAATGAGGAAAAGTAGGTAACTCAAATTACAGCAATAATTATCTTAACCTTAAAACCATTGATCTTTAATCTCATCCTAAGACAGAGTTCCATGCAAACTGCTTGCTTAATTAATATATAAGATGTTGATAAATAGAAAACATATAGAAAAGTATAAAACTCTATGCACATCAACACATAGTGCAAGTTACCTTAATAAATTTCAAAATGACTTTACATCATTTGAATCACTTTATTGCATTATAACAAACTTGAACAAGGCATATTGAAAACATATTTTCCCACAAAATAAACCAGACATTAACTTTACGATTGCCCAAAAAAAAGCATTCTACAATTTCCATGTCATTAATTTAAAGCATTGTTGGTAAACATAATTTTAACAAGAACATCAGTTTCATTCATATTTTATTAACTAGAAAATATTTTCTATATCTCAAAGTAGTAAAGACATAATTATGTATTTCAATATAGATCTATGATTGATAAAACACCTTCACATAAAACCTAATAACCATGCCTTAAAAAAAAAAGAGGGCAACACCCATATAAACATTCAATTTACAAACTTGCCTACATTAGTTCAATTAAAATGATATTCACACGCTGGTGAATGGTGAAACATGTTGCATCTCTGCACGGACTTTATACTATTATAAAGACCCCTGTGATGTACTTTTATAAAATTAACATATTTTTTCATAAAATAACCCAGTTAAACTAACCTATATTTTGCTTTAACTTTCAATAGCTATAGATTTAGGAATTTGAAGACAGCTCTGATCTACTTGATATTGCAAGTGATATCACACATATTAGATAAGCTAAACAATATTTCAACTAGAAATGTGTCCATAGGGGCACGGGTGCCCCCACCGTGCCACTGTTCTGTCAATCTTATGACTCTAGGTCAAATATTTTTTAAAAACTAAAAATCTTTTACTAAGTAAAGGGCAAGAACTTTACAAATATTGAATAAATCCACAAGCAAACCCCAAGGTGCATAAGTACACATGCTGACCAACATTCTTGTAAACTTTCAGGCCTACAAGTGAAATACTTTTTGAGCTATGCATGAACAAGTTGAAAATTGCAAATTTATACTACTGTAAGTCAAGGGCAATAACTCTAACAAAACTGAAAAAAATCCACATGCAAAGTCCAAGGTGCATAGCTTCACAGTGATGTGAATCATTATTCCTGTAATTTAGTGATGTTGATCATTATTCCTGTAAAGTTCGTTGATTCTTACTCAAGTCGAGGAACAAATAACAACATAATGAAACGGTTTTTACTAAGTCAAGGGAAATAACTCTACAAATACTGGATAAATCCACAAGCAAAACCCCAGGTGCAAAACTAAATATGCTGAGCAACCTTCCCGTAAGGTTTAATGACTCTAGGTCAAATCCTTTTTGAATTACATGCGACACAAGTTGAAAATTGCAAAAAATTTATAAGTCAAGGGCAATAACTCTAAAAATACTAAATAAATCCAGACGAAAATACCCGGTGCACAACTACACATGCTGATCAATATTCCTGTAAAGTTTCATGACTCTATGTCAAATACTTTTTGAGTTACATGCGACACAAGTTGAAAATTGCAAAATTTTACTAAGTCAAGGGCAATAACTCTAAAAATACTAAATAAATCCAGACGAAAATACCCAGGTGCACAATTACACATGCTGATCAACATTCCTGTAAAGTTTCATGACTCTAGGTCAAATACTTTTTGAGTTATGTGCGACACAAAAGAGAACGGACGGAAGGACGAACGGACGGAAGGATGGACAGACAAGGGTAAATCTAAAATGTCCGCCACTAAAGTGGGGGCACAAAATATTATTTACACATTGATTTCATTTATTTTCTATTTTTTCATGTTTTCCCTACCATCCACACTTGTCCAAATCAAGATCAGCCGGCACATCCATGCCATCTGATGATCTGAACTGTTCGATAATCAATTTGTACATTTATTTAACAGTTTTGGCAAGATTGAAGGATGGAAAAGTTCATTTATGGTTTTAGCATGTTGACATGTCCATTTAAGGTTTTTAACATGTGTACACTTCCATTTAAAGTTTTTAGCATGTGTACACTTCCATTTTAGGTTTTAGCACGTGTACACTTCCATTTAAGGTTTATAGCATGTGGACAAGTCCATTTCAAGTTTTTAGTATGTGGAAAAATCCATTTAAGGATATAGTATGGTAAAGGGTAATGTTAAACATTATACCATTTCTATCTTAACTGATTGACTAACATTGCATTATTTCTGACAGAAACATGAATAGCGACTGATGTGATTACAAACTAGAAATATAACTAATAATTGAGCTGCGCCACGACAAAACCTACATAATGGGTTTGCGACCAGCATGGATCCAGACCAGCCTGCGCATCCGCGCAGTCTGATCAGGATCCATGCTGCTCGCTATCAGTTTCTCTACTTGTAATAGGGTTGGTAAGCGAACAGCATGGATCCTGATCAGACTGCGCTGATGCGCAGGCTGGTCTGGATCAGACTGCGCTGATGCGCAGGCTGGTCTGAATCCATGCTGGTCGCAAACGCACTATGTTGGTTTTGTCGTGACGCGGCTCATATAATGTCTCATTTATCTCTCCATTTTTTATGAATTAAAGAGATATATAGTGCCTAAAATTTATATCTATAATGTAAAATTTAAAAAGTGAATTTTCTTTTGACTCAGGGCATTCAATGTTTGTTTTTATGTTTTTATGTTTGATTGGGTTTTACGTCACACCCGCACAGTATAGGTCATATGGCTATGCTAGCATTCCGTGCATCATTTCAGGCACGAACGAGCACCTGAGTAGAACCACCGACGTTCCGTAAGCTAGCTGGATAGCTTCTTCACATGGAAGAATCCAAAGGCCTTGTCGGGATTCGAACGCACAGCTGTGAAGGGCTAGTGGTTTGAAGTCAACGACCTTAACCACTCAGCCACAGACACACCTTCGTTTTATGTTGTCTTGTTTCAGGCAAAAATAAATATTGATTACATAAATCAATCAATTCTATAACATTCAAAAGTTGGAACATGTTTCTAATTAACTTTACCAAAACTGTCTTTTAAAAGCTCGGAAAAGAACTTAGAAAATTTACGTAAAATTTGTTGGAAACACTTTGCCAATATTTAGCTTGGAAATGACCTCAGATAATTGAACTTAACTAAATTTCATTTCGGAAAATATTAAGACATAATCATGATTTAACTTATAATGGGCATCAAAAGCAATAATCAACAGTTAAAGCAAACTAAGATAACAACCTGACTGTAGATTGCCAATGGATATTTTTTAATCCATGGTCAGAGAAAACAATTGTCCAACAGCATGGAAAGGAGAGATTTGGTCCAGGGAATCAATTTTTAGTATGGACATTGTCAATGGCCAACTTCCTTTTCAATAAATTTGTACTTTAATCTTCTGAAGCCATTTTTTGGGGAGGAATCAATTAAAAAAATTTAAGTGTGAAAACATGGAAAAGTTAAATACAATGTAAATTCCTTGTTGCCATAAAATACCTTTTATTAATGGCTATAAAGGTATTGTAACTAATCATAATAAGATAAAGATTATTCAAATAACTGATGATCAGAAAGACTTGAAAATTTTATTTTTTTTATTTTCATATTTTTTTTTATTATTTATAATTATTGTTACTAGATATCTTCTCCATTTTTAAGAATAGATAAAAGAGCAAAACTTATAATTATAGAAAAAGAATCAATCAGTGTTTATGTCTATTAGTTTCCAAATGCATCAGTATTTTTCCTGCAGTTTCTTTCTATATATAGACTTAACTTAGGGTTTCTTGACAGCCTGTACGTAAGCAACACTGAAATAAGAATGCTATTAATCTTTAATATATGTTTTATGCCATATCAAATAGTATATTCTACTAAGCAAGTCTGTGACATACATTCAGATTACAATTTACTCTGCCATTAATTATGTGTACAATAAACATAAATAGTTATTAATTGTCCTTTAAATATAATTATGTACAATTGAATGTATGAAATATAATAACCAGTATGCTTGTTAATTTCTTATAATTAGGATAAATAAATACTGCATCCACTAAGATTTCACACACAGAATATAACACACTGATCAGATAAAACTAATGGCACCCCAGGTGGTTCCCTTTATCTATGCATGATCAATCTTCTCATTGAGCATTCTGGGATAGACCAGATTGTTCCATGTGATTATTCAGGGGGAATCTGGGTTTTTATACAATCCAAAACAGTCTAAAATGACACTGCAACTGTGATTCTCTTTCAAGAACTTATTATAATTTTCAAGTTTTACTTTTATTTATCATTTGATATATTTGTACCTTCAATAAATGTCAAAAAAAAATGATGATGGCTTTGATATTTTGGGATCACCCCTGTTTCACATTATGATTGCCCCTTCAGTTATACTTTTGAAAAATTTGAATCTCAGACATTAATGGGTCAAGTGGTTATAGTTGGAAATAGTGCAAACCTGGATTTATTTTAAGCAATTTTGGAGATATCTTGTTTTATTAATGTAAGGGAGCATATTTTGGAATTTTCAAAGAAAACATTTATCTAAGTGTGACAAGATTCAGGAAATGTTTGGTTGTTGTAATTGAACCTAAAGATCAATGACCTGGGACAGGAAGATAAACAAAAGAAACAAGATAGTTAAAATGTTCAGGTAAATAATTTTAGATACATTAATGCATAAAATCTGTTGTTGTTTTTTTTTTTCAAATAAGTATTAAATACAAACTATTTTAGATCTATATTTTTAACCTAAATGTAAGCTAGTTTAAATACAATTGTTTAGAGGATATTTTATGAGTATAAATGCTATGTTTGTCTATGATTGTATTGAACAAGATGAGTGCATTAAACTATGATGACATTAATTATTTATAAACTTTCATCTTTCATCTATTATTTGAATCTACAAATTTTAATTACAGAGTCAGCTTGTAAGCAAGTTTGCAGGACTGTTCCAAACTATCAAGCTTTGCTGTGTTTTATCATAGTATAAAGCAGTGGAATATACTGGAATGTCATTGGCATTGGCACCTTCAAAGTCAAGTGATTAAGGAAGCCAACTGTAGACCAGGAAAGGCTTCAAGGAATATACTACAGTATGTTTTTGTTTTAAAACTAGGTTTTGAAAGTTTCAGTTTGAAATTTGAATGAATGAAGGTTTCTAGAACTGATTTAATATTGATACTTTGTTGGAAATGCTGTTAAGGTAACATGATGACTCTCCAGCTTTATTGATGCAGATGTCACTTTGAGCAGACAGATACAATCAGTGTAGGCAATCGGAATCACCTTATGCATTATTTTTTGCAATATTTTTGGAGTGCTTTAGGTTGTAACATCCAGTATGACATAATCTAAAATAATAGTAACAGACATCGTTTCTTTTCTTAACATCTCAGAATTGTCACACTGCTTACCAAAGTTTTCTTGAAATCCTAACACTTAAAGTACTGATGAAGAAAAAATAGAAATCAACATGAAAAAAATTAAATTCACTATTTCAAAACAGTAGACAAACATTTAAAAGTAACTACAGAAAAGGCCATTTGAAAATATTAAAGCCTTCATTTTAAGCAAAGGTCTTAAACAACTTGTCATTCAAGTAGTTTTGGATCACTCAAAAGATGTATTTCTTTTCACAAAAGTGCTGATTTTTTAAAACAATATATATCAACAGTGAACTGATATTTTTGTCTATGGAAACGTTTAAGGAACGTATCATTTTTTTTATTGATTAATAAAAAAGAAATTAAATGATGTAATTCTGATTGCCTACACATACTGAACTGTCCTGAGTATAACCACAGGTGTTCCTTAATCCTGGGCTGGATAGCTCCCTCAGAGGGAAGAAGCCCATCCTGGCTTTAGGAGTCAAAAATACAATGTTGTAAGGCAAGTAGTTTGAAGTCTTTGATCCTGACCACATGGAGAGGGAAGCGCCCAGTGGTGATTTTATATAATTGTTTTTCTAACTTCTTTCAATGGCTGTACTTTATTAAATATATACTTTATTTATTTCAGGAATTGTATCCTGGAGCATTTTCCACATGTGACCCCTGTGATGGTGAGGGAAAAACTAAGGGACACTTTAAAATCATGAAGAGTGAACAGGAATTCAAAAGATAGATATTTGAATACATTAAAATATAGCCGGATACCAAAAAATTATAACTGAACATTGATTGTAATATTTACCATTAAAGACTACAACTAACTTAACTTTTCATTTGTAGTGCATTACTATTTACTTCACACTGACATTAAATGTTTCAGTGAGTCATGTGATCATTTTTTGCTCTGTATTATTATAAAGAAGTTTCTTAATTCCTTAAAAGGACAATATAATTGCTCTTTTCAGAATATTTCATTGGATGTTATATTTTCTGATTTTCCATGGATATTCTAGAAATTTCCAAGGTTTTTGCTCAAATAAACCTTGGAAAATTCTCTGATGCCCTTAAGTAAGAATCCTCGAAAATATAACAGTATTCCCAGTTGTGAGAAACTTTCCGAGGTTTTCATTTAAAAACCTTGGAAAACAAACCACGGAAACACTTTAAAAATCCTTGGAAATCGTTCCAATACTCCGAGGTCACTCATTTTCCAAGGTTTTCTAAAAAAAATCCTCGGAAATTATTTTACGAGGTTTTTATTCTGAAATCCTTGGAAATTGTTCCAATACTCCGAGGTCATACTTTTTACGAGGTTTTTTTTTAATAAAAACTCGGAAATTTTTTACAAGGTTTTTCACCCTCTCCCTATTTTTCCAAGGTTTTTTTAATAGCAAAGTTTTGCATTTTCTTGTTCCAATACTCCGAGGTTTTTTCCAAGGATTTTGAGCCAAAAACCTTGGAAAATCTACACCCGGGTAGGGACTAAAATTAAATTAGGGTAAAAATGCATTCTTTTACCTACATGTTTCACAAAACTGACACTTCTCCTTCAAACTGTTGCACAACTTAAAGTAGGTTGGAAACAATTTTTTTTTGTCTTAAAACTAACAATCTTTAATGATGGCTTTTGGGAAATAAATAGTAATAAATGTTACCATGTTATGCTAGCTGAAAGTTTCACATGTTTCTGCAGTGTTAGTTTTATTGCTGGTACACTGTTACAATCCACTAATCCATTCCCTTCCAGGTAATTATGAGCCCTACTGCTGAAAAAAATAAATCATGTGTATCTTAGTAATGGCATTCGGGATATTTTGTCATACAGAATAGAACAGAATATCTTCTACATACATGTAGTATATAACACATGGTACTTAATCATACAAAATGATACAAAATATAAATCAATACAATATATATTAACAGTACTAAATTGTAATACATTTGAAATATATTTTAAATACAATGATTGTATATAATGTTGAGATGAGTTTCCTTCTTAAATGGCTGGTAAAAAAATGCACACATTAAGACCAATTTGAATCCAGAGTGGTGAGGGGTTAGTGATATAAAATCTGTACCACTGGACACTTGGTCACAAAAGCCTCTTTATAAGCTGGTAATTTTGTAATTGAATTGTTTAATTAAATACAAGTCATTGTGTTACAAAACTTATCAACATCACAAATATTTACTTTCTAAAAGTCACATGTATACAGTTATAGGATATTTCTATAGGACATATAATTATGCTTATTTTTCACTTCATGTTTTTCTATCTCAAAGACATGTGTAGAATAGGTTGTTATACCTGTCTCACAAGCCATAAAAGATTCACTTCAAGTGTGTTAAACTACATTTTGCATAAATCATTGTTTGAATTAAAAAAAATACTTCATAAAAAATACTTTTTATCATGAAAAAGGATTCCCTAAGGGCTTTGATTATCCCAAGAAAAAGAAAATAGCCACATATGTTTTGTTATTATGAGGAATATAATCAAGAGGACCATGATGGCCCTGAATCGCTCACCTGAGATTCATTGCTAGATAAAGAATAAAGCCAGAAAAAAGGTTACATTGGGTTTATCATTTTTTCTCCAGGCTGCACAATTGTAAAGTAAGTAATCCCCGGTGTGAGCCATTTTTGTCCCTAGGTGCACAATTTATATAACTTTTTAGACATCCACTTGTCAATGCCACATGCCAAATATCTAAGGTGTAGGCCTTTAATTTCACAAAAGAAGTCTTAAATGTATTTTCCTATACAAGACTAGATAAACTAAATAACCCCCCAGAGCAAGGCCAATTTTGACCCCAGGGGTATGATTTATATAACTTTTGTAGAAAACCAGAAGGTATTGTCTAAGCTCTGGGCATTGTTATTTCACAATGTTTTAGACATTTTTACTAAAAATAAGTGACCAGTAGGTCAGGGCCATTTTTAACCCTAGGAGTATGACTTATATAACTTTTGTAGATGTCCACTAGGAAATGCTACATACAAAATATTTAAGGTCTTTAAGCATTGCAGTTTCACAAAAGAAGACTTCAATGTATTTTCCTATACACGTCTATATAAACTCAGTGAACCCTGGAGCTAGGCCAATTTTGACCCCATGGCCATGATTTATTAACTTTTGTAGAGGACCATAAGGTGATGCTGCATCACAAATATCTAGGTTTGGGCATTGTAGTTTCTAATAACAAGATTTTTGAAGATTTCATTTTAAAGTCTTTTTCTAGCTCCTCTCAGTAAGCATCAGACTTTTATATATTTATTATATAACTTTTGTAGAGGACAACCTAAGGATCATTACACTGCCATCACAACAGCTCACCTCTGAGAACTTAGTGCTCAAGTGAGCTAAAAAAAAACCTGATGCAAAGTTAATCTTATTGGAAAATTCCTCTTTCTATAATTGACCACTTTTACAGGAGAAAAACAACATATGTAGTTTCTTGTTGTCTTTCAAAAACAAGGTTAACACACTTACATATAACCAATTAATGGCTATTATATATGAAACTAAATTTTTCCTCTTTCCTGTTCAATGTATATCAGAGGGAAAATCAATAAATATGACACAGTAGTTCCCTATAGCAATTATCAATGTTTTACTAAATGATATTTTAAAACCTCAAATGAAAGTTTTAAAATTTCATTTTCATTCACTTTGAGATAAATAAGAATTTAAATTAATACATTAAGGCTATGTATTATGAATCAAGTAGTTTTTTGTCATATTCAAATTACAAGTATGATTGATCTAAATATTAAATCATAATTACTTTTTTTTTCATACATATAACTATAAAAAGGTCAGTGAAAATATGATATCAAAACACAGATCTCAGCTTTGAAAAAACATACTGAAAATTTGCTTGGGGTTTCTAAGTTTTACAGTTGTTTACTGACAATGCGAGTGAGTAACCGCCCATGTCTTTTACAAGTAACTGATAACTCCTCCACATATATAAAATGGTAGAGCACAGTAAGAGTGTCAAGTGCTTAAAATATTTAGTAACTTAATTGTATATCCAGGACTGAAACTTTATAAAACTGTACCTCCCTTCATATGTACCTGTGTGGTCAAGTGAATTAAAGCTGTCAACTTCAAATTACTTGCCCTTACAGCTGTGGGTTCCAATCCGGACAGGGACTTTGGATTCTTTCATGCGACAAAACTATTCAGCTAGACACAGTAGGTGGGTGGTTCTACTCAGGAACCCACTTGTGCATGAAATAAAGCTTGAAATGGGAACCAGAGGTCATCCTACTCATAACCTTTATAGTGTCACTGTGATTTGAAATCCAACAACAAAAATCTTGATATTGTGAAACAAAAATCAAGAAGTAATTTGTAACCCAACTCTGTTAAAACAAAACTTAATTATAAACATAATAATGCATATTTGGTCAAAGTATTATATATTTTGTATCTGCAGTGTATGTATTAAAGATATTAACTTTTATAAAGATTTATTTCATAAAACATTTTGCTTTAAATTTAGTTCATTATTGGTTTAAGGGATTAGAAAATCAAAATACTGAACTTGAGCAAAGACATTTTAACGAGTTAAGCCATAGGCAAGTAAATGTCACCCAAAGCATTCATGGATTTAAGAAAATTACTTCAATTACTAAATAAGTAAATGTTATTCTGTAACACATATCCCAAGTGTATTCCCCCATCCCTTCCAATCTAAACCATAGAAGAACATAGTTACTATAACAATATTGATTTACATGCTGACCTTATAAGGTAACTAATTATCTGATACATAAGACTTTTACACTTAAGTAAGCATTAACAAACACTGAACATATAACATCTGTATAAATGTGAAGTCAGCAATTAAACTTGTGGTTGAGCACTCCAATCAAGAAGTCTACTTTATATATAAGAATTGCCTTTACCTCATTCACATTCAGTACAATAAAATACAAGTTAACATCTTTAAACTTCCATGTAAATTTTTACCATAAAAGAGGAAGTACAACAATAAACAATTAATTAACATATCTTAACGTCATTAAAGTTTGGGTCTATGATTTCAGAGAGAATTAATGTATTGTAAGAGGTAAAATTCAGTTATATGATCACCTGACAAAGAGGCTAGATATTGATTCAGATTTACAATAATTGGCTCACAATCACGCCCGTTTAACTCACAACGAGTGAAAAATGTCCATCGGTTAAAATGTTGTGAGCAACTTCCGTTCCTCGTTGTGAGCACCCATCTTTGACGTGTGACACGATAAACAAGGTGACTTTTTCATATTTTTTGAAGATTACAGACATTTATGTAAAAATATCGGAATGCAGTTAGCTAGCTATGTGTTTTCCGAGTATGCACATGTAAAGATATTGTCTGTTGGTGGACAATTTGATGGAAATACCGTGCGACGCAGTCACTCGGGGTAGGTGGAAAACTGGAGACAACTTCTCTTTGGACCTAATTCAACATTGAAAACGTCGATTCTGGTGACGTTTTGTGCATTCTTACCTAAAACAGATGCCCACAAGTCATCAGCGTAAATTATTATCTGAAAGTCTTTATAGAAACCAAGATATATCCTTTTTGCTTTAATCCTCGTTGTGAGCACCATAACCTCGTTGTGAGCAAGACAAGCGCAGTGTGTGTATGGTTTAAATATGTTATTCAGATGGTGAAAATATAATTTTCAATATACCACAGCAATTAAAACGTTTTTGCACAGCAGCATTTCTTTGCACTTGACGTTGTGCATACCCCAAAGGGAGGCATATTAGTTTTGAACTGTTCGTCTGTCAGTCCGAGCAAATATATGATATTTATGAGCTTCATTCCGTAGTTAAATAAAGAACAAAAACTAATAAAATTCAAATTAAGAGCTATTTTTTTAGCTAATTTTGCTAATGGACGTTAGTCCAGGTGGTGTTTATGAGCTGATTTGCCTCATAAATATCATAAGATGTTACGTCCGTCAATCTGTCCGAAAATTTTACATTGGCCTTAACTTCCTTATTAGAAAACGGATTTGATTCATATTTGAACACAACATCCCTTAGCACCTTCCCACGGACCTGTATTTGTTTACCTTTACCCCTGAATGGCCTTTACCTTGAAGGTCAAATTGTCCAAAAACATTTAAGATTGGCCATAATGTCCTGGCATAATGTTTAGGCACAACACATCTTTGGACAAGGCCTTTCAACTATCCTATTTTATTTGAACTTGACCCCTGAATGACCTTCACCTTGAAGGTCAAATTGTCCAAATACTTAAAAATTGGTCAAAACTTCCTTATTAGTAAACGGATTCTACTCATATTTTGAAACAACGCCCCTTTAGGCAAGATCTTCAAACTGATCTGTATTTTTTTATCTTGAACATCCAAAAACTTTAAGATTGGTCATCACTTCTTTATAAGTAAGTTGATTTAATTCATATTTGGACACAATGCCCCTTTGGACAAGACCTTCCAACTGACCTATATGTATTTCACCTTGACATTGAATTACCTTCACATTGAAGATCTAATTGTCCAAAAACAAATAATCTATCTGGTCCATAAATCTAAGGACAAAGCACCACTTCAGGGGCATTGTCAACTTACCGTGATAGGTCTTGTTTTACACAACTTGGTCAGTCTTCAGCTCAGGATAAACATATGTATGTGTGTATCACACAGACTGTAAAATTGTTGAAATATTCATAAACTCCCGTGATGTTCACTCGAGCCAAACCAGAGTATACGAAATAAAATACTGATTAGTTCTTCTGTTAATCTGATGACTTGTGAATATGAAGAATAATTTTCAAAAAAAAACTTTTAAAAAGAAAAAGAAGAACTATTGCAAAGAAAAACTTTTGTACAAAAACGTTTTGATTGCTTTTGGTAGATTGAAAATTGTATTCTTGCCATTTGAATTACATATTAAAACCAGACAAGCACTGCGCTTGTCTTGCTCACAACGAGGTTATGGTGCTCACAACGAGGATTAAAGCAAAATAGAGTATATCTTCGTTTCTACGAAGACTTTCAGATAATAATTAACACTGAAGACTTGTGGGCATCTGTTTTAGGTAAGAATGCACAAAACGTCACCAGAATCGACGTTTTCAATGTTAAATTAGGTCCAAAGAGAAGTTGTCTCCAGTTTTCCACCTACCCCGAGTGACTGCGTCGCACGGTATTTCCATCAAATTGTCCACCAACAGACAATATCTTTACATGTGCATACTCGGAAAACACATAGCTAGCTAACTGCATTCCGATATTTTTACACAAATGTCTGTAATCTTCAAAAATTATGAAAAAGTCACCTTGTTTATCGTGTCACACGTCAAAGATGGGTGCTCACAACGAGGAACGGAAGTTGCTCACAACATTTTAACCGATGGACATTTTTCACTCGTTGTGAGTTAAACGGGCGTGACAATGACCTTCGTTTTATAATCACATGTACAATAACAAGGTATAATATTTTGATCTCAGGCTTCTAAGGGAAGTAGACCCATGACACAACACAACTACCAGGTGTTTGATATCCTACCATATTAATCTAATGTTGACAAAACTTCTTTGGTAATTTGTATTTCTTTGGTTTGGAAAAATAAACAGAAATAACAAGTAGAAATGGTAAGTTTTAATGGACAGCCTCTAAAACTTCTTAAATTTTGAACAAGAAAATGTGTCTACATGGGCATTGTGTCTGAGAATGACTGGGTTAAATAACATTTGGCTGGCAGTATCACAAAGTACACTAAGTGATCTAAGTAATATAAATTCTTTATTGTATAATTCTTCAGAATAATTCAACTGTTTTCACCACAATACAAAGAGACTGACCATGGTGTTTCCCTGCTATTTACTGTGGACTGCTGTTTCACAGAGGAAACACAAATTGCTGTTCATTAAATGATATATGTCTACAAATGTGAGACTTTTCTGTCACATGGGTCTTACAGACAATAGTTGAGCAAAATTAAGTGTGCTGTCTCATTCCAGGAATCCATATTTTTGAAAATCTGGCTCAATATACTGTATAAGTACTTTTTTCTGCGGGAACTTTATTTCTGCTATTTCTGCGGTTCATAACGACACCGCAGATTTAAAAACCGCAGAAAATTAAGCCTTCCATATGTATATGTCGGAATATGTCAACTACCCATATTGTATAATTCCATTACCATGTACCGTTATTGGTTTTTGTAGATGGGTATTTTTCTTTATGTATCTGTTGTGAATAAAATATTAGAACAAATGTAACTTTGCTTGTTTCTTTGTTTAAATAAATATAATATTTGTATTATTTTCGCTCATCCTTAGCTTGATCTTTTTATAAAATAACACTATTGTAGTTTGACTGGTGCAATAAACATACCCTTTTGTATTTGTACAATATCTTGTGTCTACGACGTAACGTGCGATTTTGCAATTGTTTATTATTCACACTTCATATTCATACAAATCCAGTATTTAAATTGATGTCATTGCACGTTGTTGATTTTTGTTAATTAACATGCATATACCGATATATGATGATAACGACGTAAGACATTATCAATCGTCTGCATGTTAACCGGAAGTAACGTACATGTTACATTATGTTGTCTGTTTGTGTCGGTTAATTTTGTAAAATGCAGAAATGAAAGTATCCATGCGAGAATGATGACACCGCAGAAATAAGAAATTGCAGAAATTTAAAACCCCTTATTTTAACAAAAATCGCAGAATATTAAGCCCGCAGAAATAAGTACTTATACGGTAGTATATCTGTCCAGTAAAACCAAAGACGCCCCTTGAGGTATTAGGTCAGACACAAGTTCACATCTTGGTACAGCCTCAGACAATGTAAGATAGCTGTATAGTTTCCTCAAAAATTACATGCAGTTAGAGGCAAGTGATTCCAAGTTGGATACCTTAACCATTTAGCCCAAAGGTCACAGTTATATACACAAATGTCATGTATTTTATATAATAAATAAATCATTACTTAATAAATATAAGTAAATTACCTGGTTTCTGCTGTCACATATAGACAATGATGGTTTGGCACTGAGATGTCAAGGTCAACTTTGAACAAAATGATATAAGCATTGCTTGTCTGGAAAAAAAAGAAAGAAATATTATTTAATTACAGTCAAAACTGCCATAGTGACCCACTGTATTCAGCGACTTCCTGTCTTATGTGACCCTATTTGGGTCCGCCCAACAATTTTGGCTATAAAGTTGCACTGTATTTGACATCTCACCGTGTTACTTGACTAGCGACCGTGATTTAAACGACTATGTTATGAAAGATAACTCTGTTTTTACTTCCTGTTTCGTTGAAAAAAATGTCGGAAAGAAAGAAAACACGAATTGTTTAGATCTTCAACAGAAATATGAAGCCTTACAAAAATTTGATAAAGGAATACCGGCGTATAAAGTGGCAGAAAATCTTTGTGTTGGAAAAACACAAATCCAAAACCTTCGTAAACGTAAATTGAAAGTAGTAATTTCGGACTTTGAAAATAATATTCCATTGAATTCTAAACGTCAGAGACATGCAATTGGTAACGAGAAAATCAATAGTGTTTGGATGTTTTACTGTAAACCTGTATTAAGAGACTCCCTGTCTTATGTGACCTTCTTAAGAGTCCCCTGTAGGGTCACATAAGACAGGTTTGACTGTAATTCAAAATAAAGGTAATTTACTATGAAAACCCAATCAAAACCATTGCATAAAATAAATCATTAAAATGCATGTAGGTGCAATGTAAATGACAAAATTAAGCAGGCAAAAACAGTCAAGTTGAAATATTATGCTTGATAGTTAATGTGTTATTTTGATGAGTTACTATGCAAACACCTAGGAATGTACTTTGTAAATTTTATTACAGTTTCTATAGTCAGTTATCTCATATTATACTTTTTTGATGAGAAAGATCTCTGTTTAAACAGAAATAAAACCTAGCTTTGTTGGTAACCTTCAGATTGTGTTGTAAGATAAAAACAGATCACTCTTTTACGAGAGAGATATCTGGTTTATCATTAATTATTTATACAATTATATTACCATACATCAAAAAGTTATCCAATTAACCTTGATTTATGTTTGTGTTTTGTATGAAGGCTATATAATATTATCCCATCAACATATCAGTATCACATAAACCTTGACCGAAACTTAATTTTAAAACTGGACTCAACCTGCACTTTGAAATTGGGAGTGACCACTGTAATTGTTAGGGCAACATTTATAGGGCAAATAGTTAAACTGAATCAACTATACAAAAGTTAGCCATAAGTTGTTGCTGTAGTTGGGTATTATGTTGCATACGTTTACTGGTGGAGGAAGACCTCAGGTGACCTTCCGTGCATTATTTTAGGCACAAGCAGGCCTCTGTAGAACCATTAATGTATCATAATCTAGCTGGATAGCTAACTCACATGTAAGATTCCAAAGTCACTGGCAAGATTGAACCTTCAGGTGTGAGGGGCCAGGGGATATGAAGTAAATCACTTTAACCACTCTAAGGCCGTATAAAAAAAAATTAGTCTTTGCTATGAGAAATTATTTAAGTTTTCCATTCTAGCAAGGACAAGCATGAGATTTATAATGTTTTAATTGTTTAAATGTTTAAGAGCATGGCAGTAAACTTCAGTTAGTTGAAGGTGGCCAGTATATTGGAAGAAGAAGAAGAAGAAGAGCATATTAGATGCCTTGAGTTTGATTTTTTTTACCTGTTTGTCAATTGCATACTGCACACAACATATTTATATAATTTTAATCTCTGACAGATTTTCAATAAGCTCAGTAAAATGTGCATAATAATATGTGTTCAAATTAGTCTAAAAAATTATTATGTTTATGGTAATTGACCAATGATTTTCTTTAAATTATAATGGATACAAAAACAAAAAGTATCTAAGAAATAAAATAACAGAATACTGTAACCCAATTTATATTCGCGAATACAAATTTTCGCGTTTTGCCGAGGTCGGACATATTCGCGAATATTAATTTGCGCGTTTTCTTGATTTCCGAAAAAAAATATTCGCGGATTGGAAAGTCCGATGGGGATGTAAAATCCATTAGACGACTATTAATCTTCAATAATTGAGGTCATTATTGGTGTCTTAAATGGGATTAACAATACGCTAGCTATTGTATTGGTAAGTGAATTGTGATCACAATTCAGCAAAACATTTTCTCGATATCTGTACATGTACGCATTGCATCGTTCGTCTTCATTTTATCTTGAAAAGTCTTTAAGAAATTCAATTTAAGCGTTTCATAAAAAAATACCTTCCAATCAGGGATCGAACCCAAGCCGAGAAAATTATGTTATATGAGTCCGCAATCTAACCAATTGAGCTATACAGGCTGTTAAGTTTGACGGGTAAAAATCTATACTAGTATGAAACCATCTTGTATTTCACTGTTTGTAATTATGTACACCCAATACCATTTTGTGATGCTCGATAGGTTTATACCACCTTTGTCTTAACAATTCACTCAAACAATTATTTTATAGGATCCAAAAAACAATAGCCTTTTGTGATGCTCGATAGTTTTCCCACTTTTGTCAAACGATTTATTCAAACATTTATTTCAAAATAAGTGTGAGTACTTTGTATGCATATACTTGGTATAGAAGTGTAAATATGAAGAAACTTAAAACTGACACATGCTCTGTATAGTACCCTATACGGAACGTGATTGACAATAGGCCTACTAGTATTCATAAACTGTATTAAAATGTTTATGTTTATTTTGATTGGTATATTGACATAGAGTTCTTTTGATATTTATAAAACAGTAGTAAGTTTTCTTAGTTTGTGTTTTTAATGCTTTATGGCAATATTCATAATAATTCATTACTTCCTAACAGGTGCCCGTAAAATTCGAATATCTCTGGTCAAGTAGCTTTGCATAACCACGTCTAACTCCAATTTATTCGCGAAATCGTGCGGACTTATTTGCGCAAACAAATATTCGCGCTTCGTTGCCATCCGCGAATAAAGCGAATATTAATTGGTCGCGAATATTCGTTGGGTTACAGTATCTGGGGCATAATGAGCCTTTAAGAATTCAGTAAGTTATTTGTTATTGCTAAACTTTGTATCCCATCTGCTTCAACATTGATTAGACAGAAACTTAGTTTTTCATTGATCATATAATATCCTGGGACAGACTGACAATAAATCTATGTCACCTATTATCAAACAACAAAACAGCATGACATATGCAACTTTAACAGGATCAATGTTACACATCAAAATCAATAAATTAAAAGGGAAGAAATATAATCTTAACTTGATCTGTTTAACATGTTAATACACTAGCATTAATTGTATAAAAAAATATGTGAACTAATTTATCTCCAGGGTTAAATATCTTTTTTTCTTACATAGCAACCATTGAATAAGATTCTTTAATGACAGGGTGACAGAGATACCTCAGCCTTCCCATGTTATAATTATGAGTTTCGCTATTCATTTATACAAGCTTCACCCAACCCTTTAAAATGACACTGCAATCCTAACAAAGCCATTCAAAGTATATCTTTGTCAAAAAAGTGATTATTTTAAAATTAAAATTTAAAAACTTAATTAACAAATTGATAAGATACTATAGAGAAAGAAAACAAGATAAAAAGAAAATATATCATATATTTCATAGAAAAAGGACATAAATTATATAAAAAATGTTTAAAGATGCTTTGTGTTGTATAAATCTGCAACAACCTGACTGTATTGTGTACTATGTTTGTGAATGATGCTGCATATTGCTTATTTCCTATACAATCTAAATACAAGAAGAATAAGACACAATGTCCTACAACAGAACACAATATATTGCCAGATAAAACCACAGACCATCTGAAAGCAATCTGGATAAAACATGCAATTTAAGGGTTTTTTGTTGTTGTTGTTTTTTGGGTTTTTTTTTTTTTTGAGGGGGGGGGGGGGGTAAGTTGTATAGCAACTTTCCATCTTTACTGGTGGAGGAATTTAAATTTAACCACAGGTGCCCTTCCATGAATTATTTCAGGCACAAACCTAGGCTTGTCCATATTAAACATGAAAGACATTAATTTCAAAATAAGGGCTGTATGAACAAAAATGTTAAAAAAAAAAAATTATAATTGATAAAAATTCTTACACAAGTTACCTTGACCCCTGTGACCCATATCTCTACAAAAAGTTGGTGGAATGTTAAAGGTATCCACCTACCAAATATGTCAGACATCAGTAACTAAATTAGGAGAAATTCAAGATAATTTCATTCTAGGCCCTATTGTCAAAGGTGTCAAAGGGGAAGTCAACATCCATACCTTATTGGCCAACCACAAAAAATAACTTGCTATGCTCAATAACTAATAGTCCTTAATTGTTAGTTTTAGGGATTACAATAGCCAAATAGGTGCCAGGGTCACAAAATATGCTAGTCAAAAAAGATTTTGATGAAGATGTGGGCACAATTGATAAAAAGATCGAGTTAGCTGAGAAGCAAGTTTTACTATTTGACTATTCTTAGTGATAGTTAAAAACATATTTTAAATAAACTTGAATATATATTGTGATGTAAAAATGTTACATGCTTGTAAATTTGATAAATAAAATATGTTTAAACTAAATAAACTTGAACAAATGAATTCAAGGAAGCAGAAAATTCACACACAAAAAAGACATGTACATGTAATACATATGTAAGAATATAGAGCATGATTGTATGTCTAAGTGCATGGAATCATACAAGGTCTGGAATTTTGAATATGGAAAAGATTATGTGCAGTTGACCTTCTGACAATCATGGATATTTTGGGCTTATTTTATGGCTGATATTCGGTCATATACAGAACTGAAAATACTATATTATTTTATCAATCCACAGGAAAAAATTCCCTGCTAAAAATAATTAAAAAACTAGAACTGTGTCCAAAGGACACGGATGCCCCCACTATGCATATGTGCTCGTAAAAATGAGCATGCATATCTGTATGTAAGATTTTTATGTGGAACTTTTTATTCTGTAGTTGCAAAGGAATTTAGGAGTCCTGTATATTATTAATGTTGTCGATTCATTTCAAAATAAGATATTTTAAACCTTATGTACATGTTAAATTAAATAACAAATGTAAAATTTATATGTTCATTACTATTTATATGGTATATAGTGAAAAAATCAACAAAGGGCCATAATTCTGTTAAATTTGGTCACAGCAAAAATTCCTTTCTTTACTACCATCTACACATTAAAGCTGTTCATACCTGGAAGTTTAAGCAAAATCTGCCATCCGGTTTAAGAGGAGTTGCGTTCACAAAATTTCTATATGGTATATAGTGAAAAAATCAACAAAGGGCCATAATTCTGTTAAATTTAGTCGCAGCAAAAATTCCTTCCTTTACTACCATCTACACATTAAGGTTGTTCATCCCTGGAAGTTTACGCAAAATCTGCCATCCGGTTTAAGAGGAGTTGCATTCACAAAATTTCTACATAGATTATAGTGAAAAAATCAACAAAGGGCCATAATTCTGTTAAATTTGGTCGCAGCGAAAATTCCTTCCTTTACTACTATCTACACATTAAGGTTGTTCATCCCTGGAAGTTAAAGCAAAATCTGCCATCTGGTTTAAGAGGAGTTGCGTTCACAAGATTTCGGGATGTACGGAAGGATGTACTTACAAAATGGTACTTATGTGACTTTTCCTTTGATCTTTTTGGCCATTTTTAGTCACACAAGGCTTAAAAAAAGACACACAAGTAAAAACGGAATGAATAGGATCGAAGAGAATTTACTGTTACCCATTGTTCCCCAAGTCACACAAGTACCACTTGGTTCGTACGGACGTACCAACTTTTGATATTTAAGACGCAAATCAGCTCATAAACTACACCTGGACCAAAGTCCATAAGCAAAATTAGCTCATAAAAACAAAAAAATAGCTCTTAATTTGAATTTTATGAGTTTTTGTTCTTTATTTAACTACGGAATGAAGCTCATAAATATCAAATGTTTGCTCGGACAGACGTACGGACGGACATACGGACAAGTGCAACGCTATATGCTCCCCACTTTGTGGAGGCATAATAAAATTATTGAACATAAAATTCTAAAAATTTTGAAAATAAGGCCTTTTTCACTGTCATAGTGCTTAAATGTTTGAAGATGCCATCCTAGACATTGATTCAAGGGTTATATCCAGATTATATTAACTTAAAATGGTATTATGAGCAAGATATTTGAAACCATATAAACCCTAAAATGGTTAAATAACCAATTTGAGAATGATTATTGACTAAACAACTTAAAATGGCTATTTAACTAATCTGAGCATGATAATTGACTATATTGATAGCTTTAACAGTAAAAAATTATCAATTTTAACATGATAATCAACTGTATTACTTAAAGTGGTAATATAACCAATTTGAGCACAACACCAACAATTCAATACAAAAATAAATCATATAGAATAATATGTTTTATCATTTAAAAAATTTAGCAACTGTAAAGTTTTACTTATATGCACTACTTATAATATTAACTTATAACATGTAACTAAATAAAAACTACTGAACAATGTCCAACTCATTGTATTAGGAGGAGGGGGGGGGGCATAAAAACTGGCCATCAGATAAAGTGCACACTTACTATGACAGCCAAGGCAGCTGAATCTGGTTTCCATTCTGCTTTACAATATCTTCCATATTTTTCAAGACTTTTCTCTGACTGAGTGTAACTGACTATCTGAACCGCTGGCTGAAATTTAACAACAAATACATTTACTAGTAATCACTTATATATTTAAGTATTGTTTTTCTTTTATTTATTTTATTAATATATTAACCACATGTTAACAAGGTAGTTTTTATTTATTTATGAATATATTATCCTCAGGTTAACCTGGGACACCCCAACAGAAAAAAAGATTTTTCCCAGACTGAGCAACATGCCCTTAACTTGCCAATACGGAGTAGAAAAATTGTTTAGAATTTTATTGAACAAAGTGAATTGAATAAACAGCTGAAAATAACCTTAAGGCTTGCACAAGTGTATGAAAACACAATAATCCTGTGAACATTAACAATCTGTATAATATATAGAGGCCTAGATATGATTCAAAAACACTAAGTTTACTCATTTAGAGGGGTTGGGGTTTGTCTATGTACAAAGAAGAGACAAGAACTGAATCTATGCGTGCAGTTGTTCATTTGGCACTGATCTAACTGATGATAAATCTGAACAACTGAGTTTTTTGTCAAGACAAATTTTCAACACCAACCAGATTCTTCCAGAAACAGAGTTACCTATACAGTGCAGAAGAAACAATGCAATTGTCTAGGGCTTTTTTTAATGTTTTAAAATTTCTCAATTTTTATCTGCTAATGATTTGCCCCAATTATGCTAAGCATATATGCCATAATATCCCCACCTGGGGACAAATTCCCTTGATTGTTAAAAAATCTAAAACATCATTTTTGCCAATAAAACATTATAATTTTATGATACATTTTGTATTGTATATAAACACTTTTACAAGTATACATTGTCTTCAATAATGTCTCCCTAAACACTGCCAGGTTCTAAGCTAAAGGATAATTGTTGATTACCCTGTTATACTTAAAAGATTACTTCAATTACAAGGATTAAACAAATGAATTTTAATGCATGACATAGCTCTCTCACAATAAACATGTGAATCAGTGTCAGTATTGCAGGTGCATAACCAATGACATATACGATATCAAATGCCTTATGTATCTGAGTTCTTTGGGACATGTAACCCAGCCTAACTTCTACATCATACTGCTTTAAAATCGTTTACGATCACTCTCAGTGATTTTTTTTCCAATTTTCAAAACAACCTGTGGCTTTCTGAAGGGGAAAATATAGCGCGATAAATCAGAAAAGGGGAAACCTGAAATCAAATTCCAACAACTGAAAATGGAATTTACTCACACATTTTATGGAAAAAAATTAATTTCAATTCAATTTAACATGCATGGTACATAGCAGAGGCTATCTATAGGGACAGATTTCTGTCTTCTAGGTGATGCTGGTAAGTCATGGTTAATATATGCAGTTTTAGGGGAAAATATACCTATTTTGGGCTAGGGGAAACAGCCTTTATTTGACTGTAAAATACAGTGAAAAAAATCACTGACTCTAAGCAGATAACTGCCTTGAGTTTAGTGTCTGTGTTTTGTCGTTGAAGTTGATTGCAGTACTCAAGTAGGAATGATGCACATAAACTTAATGACCATGCAAATTTTCGAGTGTTTATAGAAACTCGAAAGAATCACAGATTAGCAGTGTTTGAAACTGAGCCATCATGATCCTACAACAACTATTGAGAAGATTTTTTCAATAAAGAGCACAATAATGGATTGAAATATAATCGCTTAACACCCTCTCATTATTCATAATAAATATTAAACTTTTTCAAAGTGAAACCTGAAATCAAACAATGTTACCCATATTTCCATCAAGAATTCCTTGCAGATTCAATTCCAATGCAAACTTTATTTTGCTTATATTTGACCTTCTTCACTTTCATGATATCAAGAATTTGTATTGTATATTAAACAAGCAAATTCGTTGAATTTATATCCCCCGCCGAGTACTGGTTATTATTAACACAACAACTGAAGACATAAGGCTTTATTTATATATTAATCATGGCATAAACAGTAATATTCTTTGAACTTTGAACAGGGCAATAACAGAGCCATAACTTTGTGTTAAATAGTAAAATCTGGAAATGCCAATGAGATGTATGCATACTACATAACTAATCAAGGGCCATAAATCTGAGTTATAAGTATCTGACTGGAACAAGGCGACTATATGCACATCTCCTCTTAGTATCCCATAAAGTTTCATTGAATTCCAGCCAGTAGTAGCAGAGAAGTAGCGAGGAAACAAATATTTTTCTATATGGATACTGCATAACTAATCAAGGGCCATAACTCTGAGTTAAAGTGTCTGACCGGAACAAGCCGACGATATGCGCATCTCCTCTTGGTATTGAAGGTTCCCATAAAGTTTCGTTGAATTCCAGCCAGTAGTTGCAGAGAAGTAGCGCGGAAACGATTTTTACTCCATATGCATACTGCATAACTAATCAAGGGCCATAACTCTGAGTTAAAGTGTCTGACCGGAACAAGCCGACGATATGCGCATCTCCTCTTGGTATTGAAGGTTCCCATAAAGTTTCGTTGAATTCCAGCTAGTAGTTGCAGAGAAGTAGTGCGGAAATGATTTTTACTCAGTATATGCATACTACATAACTAATCAAGGGCCATAACTCTGAGTTAAAGGGTCTGACCGGAACAAGCCGACGATATGCGCATGTCCTCTTGATATTGATGAATCCCATAAAGTTTCGTTGAATTCCAGCCAGTAGTTGCAGAGAACTACTTCGGAAACGATTTTTACTCCATATGCATATTGCATAACTAATCAAGGGCCATAACTCTGAGTTAAAGTGTCTGACCCGAACAAGCCGACGATATGCACATCTCCTCTTGGTATTGGTTCCCATAAAGTTTCGTTGAATTCCAGCCAGTAGTTGCAGAGAAGTAGCGCGGAAACGATTTTTACTCCATATGCATATTGCATAACTAATCAAGGGCCATAACTCTGAGTTAAAGTGTCTGACCGGAACAAGCAGACGATATGCGCATCTCCCCTTGGTATTGATGATTCCCATAAAGTTTCGTTGAATTCCAGCCAGTAGTTGCAGAGAACTACTCCGGAAACGATTTTTACTCAGTATATGCATATTGCATAACTAATCAAGGGCCATAACTCTGAGTTAAAGTGTCTGACCGGAACAAGCCGACGATATGCGCATCTCCTCTTGATATTGATGATTCCCATAAAGTTTCGTTGAATTCCAGCCAGTAGTTGCAGAGAACTACTCCGGAAACGAAATTCGGACGGACGGATGGACGGAAGGACGGACAACGCCAAAACTATATCCCCCTCCCGATTCCATCGGCAGGGGATAATAATTGAAATGAAAAAAAAAATTGGTTAATTACTGGCATATAATAACTTATAATGCTGAAAATCACCAATTTCATGTACGAAATCAGAAATGGTATGTGATTTTGGATATACCATTTTGGATATGTACATGTCTTGCTGGTTTGAAACAGATATCAAAATAATGATGTCCGAGAAATGAGATGATTTCAAGACAGTCAAATGTAAGAAGCCAATTTTCTTTATCAATAGTCAAATTTTTTTGACATGCCAAAGATAGATATTTTTGCGCTGGGTCGAATCTCGCTTCTAGAGGGCAGTAATTGCTTACTGGTTGGGGACCACCAAAACAGGACAACCACCAAACCCGACGGCTCAATTTAGTAGTTTCTTTGTTCAGTGGTTGTCAGTCACTTTTTATCAACAATATTAGTGCATATTTCTTTTAAAATTAAGTAAATAAATTTATTTCAACCTGCGTAAAAGGTAATATTTTAATGTCTATTTCAAGAATGTTGACGTTGAAATTTTGGGGTCAAGAAAGCAATGCCTGACCTCATATATCAGCTATAATCATTTGCCGAGTGAATAATAGAATTTCCAAAACTTCAGCATTTGTTGCGGACATATTGTTTATCATGTTAAAATCAAAACACCCAAGCTTTTATCTGAATTAAATCACGTCATGTCAGGGCTCATCCTGGGGGGAAATTTTAGGGAGAAGTGACTTCCTCGTGAATAGTAGGGAGAAGGGAAACAACCCAATGTGTATGCATTAACATGCATGGCTATACATCCTTTAACTATAATATAAACACAATCTATTTTAATATCAGCTATTTATAAGCTTTCTCTAAATATTTGTTTATATATTTTCATGTAGATTTATTGATAATAATGTGTCAGAAAAAATATGATGAATAAATTAATTTTATATAATTACTTTCCTCACTTTTAATAGAAGATAAGTTACATTGGATATTGATTTACAATATCTATCTATTCTGTTCTGATTACAGAAATTTTTTCTTCATCTTGTGTGTTGTAATGCCACGTTTATGTGCATATAATTATGCTTATAAAACAATTTTCAAACATCAAAGAATATGTAAAATATGTACTGCAAACATTTGTGCACATTAATTTATATTTGATCACTAAAATTATATACATTCATTTCTTATTGAAAAATTTGACTGAGAAATTATAGAAAATAAATTTCTAATTACCTCCCTTTATTTTCATGAAATGTTAAACTCGTAATATCTTTATAAATAATGCTTTTTGAAATTTACAATATTGATAAATCTTAATCTGAGCGTCATATTTATGACAATAAAACAAATATATATATTGAAACAATAAGAACACTTCTTTCCTGACAAATTTTGTTGTAATATACATGTACACATGATATACGAACGCTGTAGCATGCCGATTTTTCCGGGATGTCGTGCGTAAGCTGTGTCAAATTTGGCATTTCTAAAAAGATAACAATGCCAAACACTCTCACTGTCTACAACATACCAATCGTAAGATTTTTGCGAATTGGCTTTCTTAAATTTTCGCGAAAGTGTATCAGAATCAGTAACTTTCTTTTGCTTTTCGCCCTGTAACCATGACGTGAGCGAACTGAAATCATTCAAAACTATGACCGGTCGCTGATCATGAATGAAATTGATTATTTTTAATTGACTAACAGTTTTGTGATAGCCGTGAAAAACCCATTGCACATCGCCTTTACTCGGGTTAAACACCGTGTGTATATCAATTAGGGAAGATTTGCACGTGTTTAGATGATCGGGGAAAAAACAATCTATAATTATCGCCTAATCCCTTATTAAAGTCGCAAAACTGTCACACAATTATACTCGTTTCGGGCCGATGCTCTCATTATTTACTGATTAGAGTAGGCGGTCTATCGCTTTGCATACAGGTAGAAGGGTAGTATAAAGCGACGCTCTGATTGGATAATGATAATTAGCAGTCGTGATATGGGCGGATACAATCTCTGCTCTTTACATCGCCAAGTAATTACTCTTTGGGAATTAAGATTTTATCGGCGATGTTGACTTCTCTTTGATCAATTGGGAGAGCGAAATGAATATATACACGGCGAAGTTTTCGCCTGAATCGCCCTTCCGGATGAGCCCTGCATGTACATAACTGTCCGGACACATGGTACTGTAGTGTAAACAATTTAGGTTATTTTGATACCCTCCTTGTTGAGCCTCAGATATAAGTGTCAATACAATCGGAAATAAACAAACTAGTTTGTTAGTTAGGAGAAGAACCTAGCTGAACTGTGTCAATTTTTTTTGTCTCTTGGTTAAAAATTATGAAATCTGTAGGGAAAAATGTTCCAAAAGTGTCTGGTTGATGGTCTCCGACCAGTATACACAAAACAGTACAATATCTCAATGTGCAGTTCAATTATTAGTTGAACTATATCATCCAGAGAGAGTTGGGTATATTAATTTTTTAGTTATTTATTTACCTACAAACTAATCTGAATATTTGGCAACACTGAAGATACAGTGGTTGTCTTAAATTTTAAAAACGTATAGATAATTGGCCCATTAGTCATAAAAACATTTTCACATCTAAACAGAGGGTAAAATCTGTAAATGAAGAGATGTCTATACCTTGCAATACCAAATGCTTATTTCTTCTTCTGAGACAATCGCAAACAGCATGCGATCGCAACTTGAAATTATATGACATGGTTCCCTTAGATCGCTGCAAGGTTGTTTTATGTATTTTGGCCACCCAACAGGGAAATACATATTTAATCATATAGAAAAACTATTTTCATTGTGTCAGTACGAGAAACTTGTCTATTTGACAGCCATGTTGACTTCCTTTCAGTATTTGTATAAGTGATTCTGATTGGTTCGTTATACTGAACACTAGCCAATCAAATCCAACTTGTTATAGAAAATCACAGCTTTTATCTTCCATTAAAAAAATCGAAAGTGAAATAATTATGTAACCGAAAAGTAAAAGTCTTGTAAAATTGTCGTTTACCTAGTATACTTTTCTGTATTCCAGCCATTACTTAAAATTGTTCAATTCTAAACTAATCAAATTAATTTTTTTCACTTTCATAAATGCTTTAAAATTCCAATTGAGCGCGCACCTGTCATACTTTTCGGAAATGACCTTAAAATTTCTGTAATACTCCTTTCAATTAACAATCTAGCATCGCCGGTGCCTTAGCAACTGTACTTTCATTTTCAAGGTAAATATTTTTATTGTTTTTGAAATAATTGTCTTTATACCAATATTTTAGAAGAGAGGTTAGTCATTTTATAATTAAATTCTTCATCATTTTCACAGAATTTGTTGAATTTAACCTCTCTCAGTCTTTCTCTTTGACTCTGTGTTTTTCTTTGTTTAATATTTTCACGTTATATTATATATTGTCAAACCCCTTTTTTTGACTCTGTGTTTTTCTTTGTTTAATATTTTCACGTTATATATTGTCAAACCCCTTTTTGATGACCTGTCTGTAGACATATTATGATATTGGTACGTGAAACATTTCGTTACATGATTTAGTGTATGAGGAATTAAAGCTAGATTCTGACTTAGAACATCTAGCTTTATTAGCATGTCAAAATTAGGAGAGAAATGAGCTCCAATAATGTATGGCAGATCGATTAGGCACAAAACTGCCAGTTAAGAAAAATTCTGTTTTTGTCAATAAATGTTTGCGAGTTCACCATGGTGGATCTTGGGTTTGCTCAATATAGGCATCATCCTGACCAATATCATAAGAGACATTCCAGAACAAAGACAGCAGTAGCATAATAAAATATCTATAGATCTAGACTATTATTCAATCTGTATACATGTATTTCCCCATTACCAATTTGGGAAAATCCATACATAGCATGGTATTTTGACTTTTCATTAGGGGGAGTTGGGTCAATCATAGATGTAGATAACATAGATGTTATTTATGTCTCTGGGTCAATTGAGTGCCGGTAGTAATAGAATGCAAAATGGACTCCATTTCGCGAAATGAACTTTTCGACTACGAAATGGACATTTGTCTCTTTAATTTTGGTTTAAGTGTACTATTTAATATCATTTTTAATAATGAACAAGTGATATATGACATATAATTACGATTTAAACAATTTTGTTAATAATTTTTTCATTATTTATGCTTTTACATTTGAAAATAATCGTATATAATAATAATGCCACATAGTTCAGTGTTTTATACATGGTCTTTCAAATAGAAAGATTCTGTTTTATATTATATCATATGTTTAACCTGGGACAAAAATATTTTTGTCGTCCCAGAATAAACGTAAGTGAATAGAAAAGATACCCTTTGTGACATGTCAGTTACACCATAATTTGTAAAGCAAATGTCCATTCCGTAAGCAAAAACTCCATTTCGTGGCCGAAAACTCCATTTCGTAGAGGCCAGATTATTTTCAGAAATATGACTATAAAATAGGAAAATAGTAATTTTAACTGGTTCAATCTGTAGTTTTATGTCATATGTTAAACATAAATTAATAAAAATAATATTACTCATCATGGTTAAACAAACAAATGTCCATTTCGTAGGCGGTAAGTTCATTTCGCGAAATGGAGTCCATTTCGAATTCTATTACAACCCATTGAGTGCAGAAGTTTAAGGTTTTAAAATTTACATAGGTATACTGGCTACAATCTAAAAAAAATAGCTGATAACAGTGTTCTTTATAATGAAGTTTAAGGGCTGTTTTATAAGTAATGTGTACAATATCTCAATTTTTAAGCAGTCAAAAGAACATGACATTCCTTCAAAGTATTCATTATGGTTAGAAATACATAATTTTAATCTCTGAATCCATTTATGAAATCAGGGCTTTTTTCACAGGTTGGGGAAGCAGCCTTGCCCTTAATTTTAGGGGAAAACTACACATTATATTTGCAAAAGGGGAAGAAATAACTTGATGTAAATTCCATTTTTGGGGAAAACTGCATGATTTTAAAGAATTTTCCTTTGGGGAGGCAGCCCTTTAATGGCCCCTGCTATAGAAGGGAAAAAAACCCTGGAGATGCATCACAGTATGATTAAGGTAGACTAGTCAGCAAATGGTCTGTCGGGACTTGTGTCACCAAATGACAGATAAGAACTTTTTAAGTTATGGTAAAAGGAAAAAGTTGCATGGGGCTAGATCTGAAGAGTATGGTGGGTGTGGCAAGGGGGTAACCTTCCCAAATTGAAAAAATTGCTTCACAAGTTCATATGTATGTGATGGAGCATCTTTATGCCTGAAGAAATTACCCTGGACTGTGTCAATCAGTACATTATAACAAGAAGATGATTTTCTAAATTGTGAATGGGGAATGATCTTTATTATTCAGACGTTTAAGGAAATAATATTAATCTACCATCCCTTAATTCATCTGTGTTTTAGGGGTTCATGTTTTATGTTTTTTAATCTCTGGCATTACAGCTATTAGGCTCATATCATACTGTAGTATGATGTTGAAAATCTTGGTGATCCATTTTCACCTGATCCAATCTGTTCTTGAAGAATTAAGTGTGAATAAAAAACAAGTTTACAAGTTTCTTCAATATGTTTATTCTGACTCAGGTTATATGTACACTATTTTATTGAGCCAAGAAATTCTAGTGGTGTGTTTAGAAGTGACATTTCCAGCACACAAATTACCTGTTCAAACTAATTTGTTGTTAAATTTTTTTCTTTACTTACAGTTTACTTAATATATTTTAAACCAACAAACACAAGGCATATTAAATTATTGTAATTACCAGCATGTCAAATAAGGTCAGGCATTAATGGTATTTACAGCATTCTTGATAGAATATGTGAAATATAAATTCAAAAAAAGGAAATAGTACTTAATTTTTAAACAAAATGATTTTCAATTTGATGAAAAAAGTTTTATTGATTGTTTTCAGTCATAAAGAAGTTTATATACACACAAGCACACAAAAATGGGTGACCACGATAAAGCACGAGATAAAGCAGCACGTCTGTTGAAGAAACAAGGCAGCATGTCATCACTGGCCAGCACAGACATTCGACATGATAACAGACATCATAAACACGGGTATATATACCTTTTGTGAAACATAACCTTTTTTTGAAAACACTTAATGTAAATGGAATGACAGAAGGATATTTTTGCTTATACAAATTTGTTTTAGTTTGATTGTGTCTGAAGCTGTAAGCTCTCAAAATGTTCCTAATACCAAACTGTAGTAAGCAATGGTTATGAGTGTGAAGTTTCCTGCTCATGAAAACAACTACTTGTGCCTGATGAGGTTTGAACTCATGTAGCAGCAATCCTTAGATTTGCTAGTCCAACTTATTGAGCACTCAGCCATGCTGTCAATCATTAGGATATTGTTAAGACTTCATGATTATATTAACTAAATATTTGGGTGAATGTTTTTTTTATCATGATCTACTCTATCAAACGATTTTTCAGATAGTCAAATGTGATAAATACCTCTAATGTTAAAAAAGACAATAACAATTTTGTTGTATTTAGTTTTTTAACTTGTCACTTAGTTGAATTTAGCCTGTGGAGTAAGGCTGTTTTAAGTAATGTACATTATAGATGATTTTAACTACAAAATTATGTAATGGCTGGACATCATATTACATTTAGCAGATCATCTTGAAAGGCGTCAACACAATCAATGTTAGTTGTTATTACTTTCTTATTTTCATGCTTTACAAATTCTTATAGGCCCAGTTCGATGAGCACAGTATCATTTATGGATGAACCCGGTCATGAGGATCACTTCAAACCACAAGTGAAACAAGAAAACACATACCAGCTGGAGCCAAGGAAGAAATTCCCTTCTTCTAAAGTAAAACACATCATTCATGATGTTCTAGAGAGTTATTTAGCTGAAGAGAAATATGAACCGGAACTGTGTAGACAAATGTCGAAAACAATTTCTGAGGTAATAAATATATACTTTTAATTAAGCATCAAATAGTAAACATCTTTAATGAGTTGTACTTCTAATGATGATTTTAATGGTAAAATATTTGCATGATATAATATTTGGTATTCTACTGTTGTTGTTTTAATTTCCTAAACATTTTGTCACTTAATAATTTCTGATTCAAAGTAAAGCATTATACAAGAATATCTTAAGACTTTGAATGAACACATTATTTATACTTGTTGATAGAAGATCTATTCTGTACTTATACAGTTTAGAAAAAAAATCAATAATCCAATATTTTTATCAATTCTTGATGTTTTGTTATAGGTGATCAAAGCAAGAGTAAAAGAAATGATGATTCCACGCTTTAAGGTGATCTGTTTAGTGCATATAGGTCAGTTGAGTAGCCAGGGTCTACGTGTTGGTAGTCGGTGTTTGTGGGATGATAAATATGACACTTTCTCAACATCAGAGTTCAGGAATAGATCAATATTCGCTATAGGTAGTGTGTATGGCGTGTACTACGAGTAGACTTACAACAATGACGGACAGGAAGTAGCCAACAGTACACAGTTGCAATGAAATTCACATCACTACAGGTGTTAAACAAGGTTATTTTAACTATAGGACGTACATATCTTTCATTTAAAATTAAAGCATTCATATGCGAGTTCTTTAAAGTACACTCCTTATAAAACACTTGCTCTAATTTAAAAAATATGTAGAGCAAAATAGCATGTACATTTGTATAATTATATATACCGATGAAGTTCTTGAATAGCTACTTATTAGCAACTTTGAGTTTTCTAATTGTTATTAAGACATTGAGTCTTTCAATTTATTAATTTTGTTAAGATTCTTCTTTTGTTGAGATTCTTCTGGTGCAAAATAGTTACAGCTTTATCTGAGCACCAAATTCTTAATATTATTTATCTTTAACCATGAACTAAAATAGGAGACTACCACATCAATATCATGGAATAAATATTTATCACTCATAATAATTAGTGTTCAGGTTTATAATATTATCAATCTTTAACATCAAACATTTTGATACTTTATTGTGCATACATATTTATGAGAGAACTGATATAATTATCAAATGTACTCTAAAAATTTTACGTTTATTTAAAGGTATATTGTCTCATTTAATGACACCAACTGCTGTTATTTTCATTTTTTTTAATAATAATGAATGTGTTTGCTTTGATTAGAAATAAATTATATTTATCAAAATTTATTGGTATAGTAATATGATATAACTAACAGTATTATAAACCCAATTCAACTTGGCCTTGAGAGTATTCTAATTTTGGTGTAAAGTATGAAAAATTCTGCATGTTTTTAACCATAATACAGTGAATGCTTTAAGCCTTTTTTGCATATTGAATTCCATGTCTTGTTGTTTTTGGTTTTCTTTCTGTCTAGATATCATCACTTATTCCATTTTTACTGTCAACTCATTGCAAGATATATTAATCAGGTGTATTGACCATGATATAATTGAAATTGACTTTAATTGTTTAGTGAAATGTTCATTTATTTTGAACTTTTGCGAAATCATAGGGAATTTTTATATGAAAATTAACCAATAATCAAAAAGAAATTGTCATTTTACATTAAAAAAAGATTTGTTACATTTTGATCTGATTATTGAATCAAATTATTTTCTTTTTTTCTGTAGTTCCGCAGTGTTCATTTTACTTTTTATATAAGGACAGAACTTTGTTTTTTGTAAGCTATTTATATCTGTGATATCAATCCTGCAAAGGGAGGTAACTTGATCATATGTGTTACATTTCATATATTGACATTGATATATATACATGTATAGCTAGATTGTTGAATATTATATTCTTTAGTGATAATCAAATTGTTTATGTGTTCAAGTGTGTGGACAAGCAGCATCTGAATTGGAAGCTGTCTAAAACTCTAAATGTGTATTTGAATTATTTATATGGTTCTGAAATGTGGGGATTTCTCTTTCTTTCTTTTTTTAATTTTTATTTTCTATCTTACAAAAATGTAATACTTAAAAACATCTCATTTATTTGAAGAACAATAAAAATCTCTGATTATTTTTGTAACAATTGTAAAACTTTTCCTAAATAGTGTAAATCTATATGAAAAAAGATCTGATATTTTTATCTTAATACCTCATCAATTTTAGTTATTCCCATCAGACACATGTTTGTTAATTCAGTTGAAAAATCAGATACTGTAGCAATATAGAATAGATATTCCTTCAAGTGCTTCATGTTTGCTGTTAAAGTTTATATATCACATTTATATAGCTCATATTTTTATGTTTATTATATTCATTTTACACTCATTCTTTATCCATTTCTTCTGGATAAACAAGTATGCTAGTTGCTCCATAATTATATGCAAACATCTATAATTGCCTGCTCATGTATTGATTTATATGTTGTATATGAAAATCATGTTTAGATTGAGTATTCGGAGACCAGAGATAGTAATTATACTTGCGCCCACATTGGTCTAAACATCTAGTGTTGGGTGCTTTCATACCTCGTACTGAAGGTATTCTTGGTTTTTTTTAGGTCATATTCGTAGATCAAGATATAAGATTCTAAATCTTGGATGGATTTTTTCTGCAATGTACCACTTTATAATTTTATGTTAAGACATTCATGCAAGCTGTTTATCCTTAACTTCTGATGGAAGTCACTTGCGTTTTACAAACACCAAAAAACAATGTTCATCCACTTATGTAAAATTTTGTTGTTAAATAATGAAAATCAAATATCATTTTGGTCATGAACAAACTTTTTTCTTTCAGTTCACTAGTAAATCAAAATCCTTTATTATAACATCTTTTTAATCAAAACTACAGACTGGTCAACAGGTGTGACTAGTTTATTCACATTTCTTTTTTACTTATTGTGTTCTAAATGAAGTCTTCATTTGTGTAGAATAAAACTAAAAATTATAGATTTTTTGAACTTCCGAAAAAAGTTACTGGGACTAAGAGTGTTTAAATGTGTATCTTTAATTTCACGCCATGTTCTGTGTTATATCATTTGAAAAGATTTTTACTAAAAATAGATTCTATGAAATAATGTTTCTATTTCATTATCATTAGGTAGTAGTACTAGGAAAATGTTATGGTTTTGGAAACATTGTTATCTTTACATCAGATGTGTGATTCTTAATGTTTTTGTTTATTCTGAAATACTGTAAAATAGTGTCAATTTGTGGATATGTAATTTAGTTGAATATGCTTATGAATGCAGATTTGTTTCATATTCTATATTGAAGTGAAACTATTGTACTTGCACACAATTGGGCAAGATGAAAATATTGTCTGTTCATATGCTTTAATAGTTGATGGTGTAATAGAATAAGTTTGGCAGGAACTTTTTTCTCTAATCTGTTAAAATATACAAATCAAAATTTAGAAAACCAGCAGTTTTGTGTATTCAAATTGAGTTCTATGAAGAGAGAAGACTTCATTCACAAATATTACATTATTATACAGTATCAAAACCTTTTATAATGGTGGAAGCAACATTTTAGGATGAGAAAGTACAAGCAGTGTATAGTTATAATGATGTGATATTGTTATTTACAGGTGAATGCAGCATCAAGATTTATTTAATTCAAGATCATGATATAATACTGCTGCTTAATTAACAACTTTGGGTAAAATTTAAATATCAAAAACTTGAAAACCAGTCTAGCTTGTGAGATGTTCTACTTTCAATTCTATGTCATATTATGCAATAATTATATGAGTTTTCTATTTATATATATTTTCTATTAATTTTGTTTATGATTCAGAGCTTCTTTACAATTGTAAAATGCTTTACAACTTTATAAAATAAATTTATTTATCAAAAGTGTTCTATCTTGTTTTTGTTGTATTTAACAAAAAATTATTTGGAATCAAATAACATTTTATTCTTTCTTTCTATGTGATTATCTTGTTTACTCAATTGAGCACAAATTAAAGTGCCCAATAACAAAGGTAAGCTTTTGTGATAACATTGTGTCTGTTTTCCATCACTATCCACAATTTAGCCGTGTCACAACAAAACCAACATAGTGCGTTTGCGACCAGCATGGATCCAGATCAGCCTGCGCATCCGCGCAGTCTGATCAGGATCCATGCTGTTCGCTATCAGTTTCTTTACTTGTTATAGGGTCTGTAAGCAAACAGCATGGATCCTGATCAGACTGTGCTGATGCACAGACTGGTATGGATCCATGCTGGTCGCAAACCCATTATGTTGGTTTTGTCGTGACGCGGCTCAATTTATTTAAACAACATCTCCTAAACTACTCTGTGACTTTTAATCAAACTTCACAGGAATGATTATAAGGTGGCCCTCTACAAATGTTATATAAATGGTTCTAGTTTGATGCATATGTGTAGGTCTAAGGTGTTGTCGAGATACTTTAAAAATGTTCTCAAACTACAAGGCCCAGAGCTTAGATATTGGCATGTCATTGTAGCCTCACCTGGTGACTTTCTATTAGAGTCTTAATGTCTGAATTGTTATGGATAATACATACATGTATATTTTTTTTCTTTTGTGGAGCTGCAATGCGAAGAGCTAGGATATTAAGCATGTAGTATCACATAGTGGTCCTTTACAAAAGTTAAATAAATCATGCCCCAGGTGAGTGTGGTCAAAGTTGCCATCCAGCTCTTATTTACTAAGACTGTGTTGTATAGGAATATAAGTTTCTTTGTCCCAAAGTACAATGTCAAGAGCTTTAAGAGTTTTACGACATAGCATTGACTTAGGTGGACCTCTACAAAATATAAGTAAATAACACTCTTGGGAACAAAAACAAATTATCAGACAACATTAATATTATTAGCACCTCTTTATGTATTATATTTACTGAAAGAGAAGTGAAAAATAAATGATAAAAAAATTGAGAGTAATGAGCAATATATATAAAGTAACAATAATGTACAAACACTTCTCAAATCACCACAATATGAAAAATAATTTAGAAAGTTATTTTGAACTAAGGAAACTACACTCAGATAATTGAATTTTCATGCAGAGGTCCTCAGACAGATGTTCAGTAAAGAATACCGCATCAGTTGCCCAAATTATGAATGTGATGAAATAAACTTTCATCGGTGTGCAAGTCTTGATTGTTTTTATACTTGGATCTTGGAGTTGATTGTATAAAGTTGTCCAAATTACCAATGTGATGAAATTAACTTCCATGTCATCAGAGTTGTTTTAAATTAACTCAAAATTAAGCCATTTTTTTCTATTTTTTCATTGTTTACAGACAAGGTATTTAGTGTCATCAGTTTGAAAATAAATAGACGAAAGAACAAAATACATTAGGTTCAGTGCAATCTTTGCAGAGTGGTCTTCAAAAGCTTTAAAAGCTATATATTAACCACATTCCAAAAATAGTGTCATAGGCAATACTTTTAAAGGTATATGTTCAGTTAGCAATTGCTTCAACTAAAAAGTAAAGGTATATAAATCACAGTAACCAAAATAATTAATCAAAGGTTTATAGGCTAAATATTCCTGAAAATAAAGGTACACACTCAGATTTTCTGAAATTAAAGGTTTGAACCCTAAATAGGTAAAATTTAAAGATATTCAAAATTTATGCAAAAATACACATGTACTATCTCTAGAACAACTATAATAACCAGGTGATTATAACTTCGCCTGAAATATAAAGACATTATCATGAAGTATTACTTTATAGAATTTGATAGACCCTGTAAGACATAAACCAACACGCATAATGCACATGTAAATCTAGTCATTATTCAGAATAAATGTTTATTTAAGCTAAAATTGAGAAAATAACACACACTATTGATATCGTTAATTACATGTGATATTCTTCAATTGCTATACAAAACAAATTTCATCCCTTGAGGATGAGGAGTATTTCAAACAACAGTTGGGATTGATATTACCCATTCTCCTAGTCCTTTAACATAACACGTTTCCGTTAGTACTATGTACACTCCAACGTAGTACTAACGGAAACGTCTTATTTTATACTATAGGACTACCATTCTCCATACCTGAAACGAATGACAGACTATTCTCTTCCTTACCGATTCCTGCCCCTGACAGTTCTCTCCCAAACCGTTTCCTCTCCTAACGGTTTTCCCCAAATTTGAAATATTAGCAGACAGTTCACCCCCAATTTTATTTTTATAAGTTATAGTTTTAGTTTTGACTTAATCTAATAACATTTCTTAATGAAGACTATGTAAAGAATGTGTTTAATGCTAAGTGCATTTTATGTTTTATGTTTATCTGAAAAGTTTTTGTAAATTTAACACCTATTTTAGGTATTTTATAGTCTGACTACCCCTGAAAGTGGTGCTCTTGGAACCTTGGAACTATAGACTGTTGCTGAGACTGGTGACTGGCACTGGAGGCTCGAACCTATGACCTAAAGGAAAATTATCAATATCTGAAATGTAAAACTCGGAACACCTGTCTTCCAGCATAGTGTTCCTTATCTCAACACCACTAAATCCTTGATGTGCTTTATATACACTTTCGGTCGATAAATTGGCTCTTTTGTGTATTTTGTTCCATTTGTAGTGATAAAAAGTTCTTCCGGTTGGTTACTTCCGGCTGAATAAATTTATTTTTTTATTGATCAAAAAAATAGAATATGTCTGAAGAAGACGGACAGTCAGAACCTAGACGATCTAAAATGAACACACGTGAAGGAAAACCAAAATTTAAAGACCCACTCATGAACACAGCTGATGACAGTGACGAAGGAGAGGTAACTGAACTACAGCGGGCGTTTTCATAATTATGCTAAATGTATTTTTAATGAAAACATTTCCATATTCCTATCGGATTGAGTTATGAGACACAGTTTTTGTTATTTAAGCTGGTTTTGACAGTTGCCTTATGACTGGTAGGTTTATCTATTGTATGGGCCCATTACTCATACTGGAAAATAATTAGTGGGTGTCAGACATTGAGGGGGTTACAAGAGATTTCTTTTCTCGCAACCCTACGCTGGATAAAGATAAAGGAAACTGTCTCATTAAAATACATAAAAGAGATAAACGTTATGGAAGCCAATAGTGAATACTGATAGGAAGTTATTACATGTTCCTACAGCATGTCATTTCAGCCTTTTCAATATATTTATAATAAAGAACACTGATGAAGAGTGACAAATCATAATCATGCAATATGTAATGGACCTTTTCATTTGTAGCAGTAAAAAAATAGTCCAGTCTTTTCCAATAATTGCCAGATCAACTGCTAACAAACACTATCATAAACAAAGCCATGTGTTATTTTGTGAAAACCATGTGTTATTTTGTGAAAACCAGGTCACCCAGTGTCATTCTATTTTTAATGTAACAATTTATAGCTATTTATCCAATTTGCATAAAACTGCAGGTACTGAAAAGGTCCATCTGTTTGTACAGCTTTTGGCATCTGGAACTCAAATAGGAAGAAGAAAAAAGATTTTAGACAAAGTTTTCACCTTATTATCTATATACAGTCATAAGAACATTTGGTTTTTGTTTCAGTTGGAAAGTCTTGACCTAGATGCATCAGGAAAGTCTGAACTTAGTGTGTCTAGAAGTTCCAGTTTAATTGCCAATCTTAGTGGTTATGATGATGATGAAAACAGTGGTAATGATATGGTTATTATTGTGGATGACCCAGAAAAGCACAGTGGAACAATGGAATCCTATGTTACATTCCGTGTGACTCTCAAGGTTTGTTATTTTTAAAGTTGTTACAGTTTTTCTCGTTGGCTATTTATATTTATATAAAGGGAGAGCTATTCTACATGGCCAGGGTAGGGCATCATTATTGTGTCACCTGTTCTTTATTTCACTATCTAGTAATGATAATAGTCAGCTGATCTGTTTTAGGGATTGTGTTGAATGTGATGAAAATGTATTATAACCTTATTCCTGAAATTGAAAGAATCATACTAAGTTGTCGTTCATTTTCCAGCTATTGAATATTTGTACTATATCAGAAAAAATATAGAATGGGTATTTAATGTTTTATGGTATATTATTATTTCAGGCAACTCGCTGTGAGTTTAACACATGTAGAATGGGTATTTTATGTTAAATGTATGTTATAACTTTCAGACCACTCGATGTGAGTTTGACACAAGTGAGTATCAAGTGAGAAGGAGATACAATGACTTTCTTTGGCTGCGACAACGCTTAGAAGAAACATATCGTACTCATCTTGTACCTGTAAATATTGTTTCTATTGAAAAATTCCAATCATAACTTTCAGAAATGAGTTACTAAAGACAGTACTGCAACAAATTTTATGTTTACTATTCCAGTTACTATTCTTACACATGTATACATTGTACTTATAAATCTGAATGAGAAATTTTTTCTTAGTTTTATTAAATAAGAAATGTCAGGTTAAAAAAGATATGGATATTATTAGCACACAAGTTTGTTGTGTAGAAACCAAGCATTGAACCCTTAGCTTAGGTATTTAAAAAATAAAGAATACTAAATTTCATTATTGTTATCATGGTATTCTATTAAGTGAATATGATGAAAACTAAAAAGTTTTCTATATATATAAGATTGAGAAATAATCTTTTTGTCATTTTTCAGCCACTTCCAGAAAAGCATACATTGCGAAGACTTGACCGCTTTAGTGCAGAATTTTTACGAGTCCGAGGAACAGCTTTACAAAAATTCCTCACAAGACTAGCTGACCATCCTGTTTTATCTTTTGATAAAAATTTTCAAATTTTCTTGACAGCAAAAGCTTGGGTAATTTTATTTTTTATGCTTTTTGGACAGGAAGAATTTTGGGATTTTTCTATGTTTTGAGTTGTCCTTTGTTTTTTAAAGTTTGGCAGTCATCATTTTAATTTGCAAGCTTCAAAAAATGCCTATGATATTATATAAAATGTTATGCTCAAAACTGTACAAGAATGTATATGAAATATTAAAATAAAAATTATTTAAATAATGAAACAAGATGATCAATATTTATTAACATTACTTGACAATAAATGTAATATATCACCCTCTTATTTATAGGAATTTCAATCACATAAAAAACAATCAACTGGCCTACTTGGTCGAGTAACAGATTCCATACACAATATGGGGGCATCCTACATGATGAAAAATAGAATTCCAGAGTTTACTATAATGCATGAGTATATACAGGCATTTGGAGAAAAACTGTCCAGTATTGATAGAATCACACAAAGAATTGTTAAAGAACAATCAGGTAAGATTGCCTTGCCTTATTTTACTGCAAACTATTGTAAAGCTGCTATAAGATAATTAAGTCTTTATATTTTCTTTTGTATACTTCCTCTATTTCCTTTATGATTAAGAAAATCAAAATCAAATTTAACATGTACTTTTTTATATCACTAAATGAATACATAAAATAAAGGCCATAACCCTGTTTTACATGGTGAAAATATACTGCCATTTTTGTGCTTGGAAAGAGTATTTCCTAGATTTGCTTTTGCATCTAAAATCAGACCAAAATTATTTAAAACTGCTGTGTTACCATAAATAGATAACTAACAAGTTGACTAAGGGCACTTTACAGATTTAGGACACCTATTTTAATGAGAAAGTTTGTGTTTAGATTTTCTTAATATAAAAGAAGCTGACTTCAAACTGTGTTCATTTCAATGTTATTCTAGACAAAACTGTTTTTATGTCAGAAGTCTTTGTTCAACATTTTGTAAATTAAAATTAAGCAGTGCTCTATATTTGTGAAAAAATGTCAGCAAAAAATAAAACAAGAAAAGATATGGAACAAGTGATTATGAAACCAAATCTTCAAAAACTTTGATGAAATTTTGAGAATACCATTATACTACGAATACCTATCATTTCTGTTATTTTTTTCATTTATAGATTTCCATGCAGATATGTTAGAATGGGGTCCAGTATATACACTATGGGCTAATTCTGAAGATCAGTTAGTTAATGCTCTACTTACCATGTCAAAAACAGTGGATTATTGTAGTGATGCTCTAAAAGATTTAGTAAGTTTATGATGAATTATTTTATACCTTGAAATATGATGACTAATTGTATCTAAAGTCACATTTATATAATTTAAGGTCATGTAGCTACTACTCACCAGTTTTTACTGGTGGAGAGAGGTTACATTCTTCACTCCTTGTGTTAATATAAGACCCATTAGGCACTATATGTATGTAGTACCTGTTTGGTTGGGAGTTTGCGCCTGAGTTGTTTAGGATGTTGTCAGCAAACCATTTGCAAACCTTTCTGCCATTTGTCAAATCCTGCAAGGAACTTTGGGTTTCTTCATGTGAGGAAACTTTTCAGTTATTTGGAACATCAATGATTTTACTTCGTAACTTGGGTGCCTGTTTGTGCACGAAATAATACACTTGGAGTCTACCAAAATGGCTAGAAAGTTGCCATATGCCCTTTACAATGTTGGTGCAATGTATATTTAAAAGATACCCATTTGTCAGCCTTCTTAAACATTGAAAATGAGATTGTCCGTAGATATGAAAATTGTGTAAATTAAAATTTGGAAAGGACCATTTGCCTATCATTGATTAAGATAATGAGATATATAGAATATAGATACATTGTATATATTTGCTGCTAATCTTGATGATTGTTATCTATAAATCACAATTCGTTCTTCACGCTGTTTGATATTAACAGGACAATGATATGTTCACAATAATTGGATAGATCTTAGATATAAAAATGAGGAATGTGGAATGCTGTATTAAATCAATGTATATGTCTTTAGTAAGTCTTGAATAATCAACAGCTTACAGATAAGAATGAATCATGTTATTACAATATTAAAATGAAACCAGAATGCAAATGTTTTCAGCTTTGTCAAAATCAATTGTCTGTTATGCCACAGTCTTTACAAACGAGTGAAATTTTTCAAGTATTAACTATATAAATATCATACAGAGAAGTAAAATAAATGATTTAGATAAAATGGAAAAGTAAGTCAAAATCAGATTTTGAGATCCATGGCTTTGTAGATTGATGTTAAAAATTTTGAAATGAGCTGCGCCATGACAAAACCAACATAGTGCGTTTGCGACCAGCATAGATCCAGACCAGCCTGCGCATCCGCACAGTCTGATCAGGATCCATGCTGTTCGCTATCAGTTTCTCTATTTGTAATAGAGTTGGTAAGCGAACAGCATGGATCCTGATCAGACTGCGAGGATGTGAAGGCTGGTCTGGATCCATGCTGGTCGCAAACGCATTAAGTTGGTTTTGTCATGGCACGGCTCAAATTTGAAATGGTATATTGTGTAATGTTTATTGTAGATTGATGCTACAGATGATAACTTCAGTCAACCATTGAAAGAATATATTCTTTATGCTGAAGCTATAAAGGTATTCCCTTTTACTTTTTATGTTAAAGTTATGAATTGAACACTTTTTATATGCCCGAAAGAATTTTGGGCATATTATGTTATACCCCCTGGCGTCCGTCCGTCCATATGTACAAACCCAGAGGTACTTGTGTGTCTTGGAGAACAATGGGTAACAGTAAATTCTCTTTGATCCTATTCATTATGTTTTTACTTTTGTGTCTTTTTTTTAACCTTGTGTGACTAAAAATGGCCAAAAAGATCAAAGGAAAAGTCACATAAGTACCATGAATATTGTGGGCCAAATGGAACTTAAGTTATGCTCCAGAAACCAAATTGCTAACAGACTGACGGATGACAAACTTCATAGGATGATTGTCTATATTGGGTAGAAGACCCCTATTGATTTTGGTGTCACAAGGTCAAAGGTCAAGGTCTCTATCACCTTAAATTTGAAAACAGTTTCCGGAGCATAACTTAAGTTCCGTTTGGCCCAAGTGTTGTTTGGCCCACACTGTCTAAACTTCATAGGATGATTGTCCATATTGGGTAGAAGACCCCTATTGATTTTGGGGTCACAAGGTCAAAGGTCAAGGTCATTATTACTTTAAAACTGAAAACAGTTTCCGGAGCATAACTTAAGTTCCATGTGGCCCACAATATTCAAACTTCATAGGATGATTGTCCATATTGAGTAGAAGACCCCTATTGATTTTGGGGTCACAAGGTCAAAGGTCAAGGTCACTATTACTTTAAAACTGAAAACAGTTTCCAGAGCATAACCTAAGTTCCATGTGGCCCACAATATTCAAACTTCATAGGATGATTGTCCATATTGGGTAGAAGACTCCTATTGATTTTGGGGTCACAATGTCAAAGGTCAAGGTCACTATTACTTTAAAACTGAGAACAGTTTCTGGAGCATAACGTAAGGTCTATTTGGCCCACAATATTCAAACTTCATAGGTTGATTGTCTATTTTAGGTAGAATACCCCTTTTGATTTTGGGGTCACAAGGTCAAGGTCACTATTACTTTAAAACTGAAAACAGTTTCCAGAACATAACTTCATTTCTATTTGGCCCATAGTGTTGAAACTTCATAGGATGATTGTCCATATTGGGTAGAACACCCCTATTGATTTTGGGGTCACAAGGTCAAAGTTCAAGGTAGCTAATACCTCAAAACTGAAAACAGTTTCCAGAGCATAACTTAAGTTCCATTTGGCACACAGTGTTCAATATTTATAGGAGGATTGCTATTTGAAGGAGGTTATAATTTATTTAATTTATGTAATGTCTTACAAATGCTTCATCCTAACTAAAAAAAAACACTTTTTGGCATATAATGCTCCGCCTAGCGGTGCTCTTGTTAGTAGATGTTTTATGAAACTGACAATAAATTAGTTTTAATAAAATTTCCCATATATCTAAATAATATTTTTAGCCTTGATACATTTCATGTGTTAGGCTACATCAAGTTTTTCAATTTTATAGTAACTAATGTAACAAGTATTTATGAAGCATTTTTCCTTTAAGATGTACATTGTATTATGCTCAAATTTGATATTTGAAAACAAAGGTAATTTCTATACAGTATCTTTTGAAATGTAAAATAAACATCTTTTGAAAACACACACAGAAAGTATGTTGCATTTTAAATTCTACACACTACAGGTTATCACAGTATGATCACAGTATGATTACTAACTAATTAAAAAAATGGCAGTTTTGATAAGATTTGACTAAATTAATTTGATCAGTAATAGGGAATTCAGTTTCCCCATTCATTTATTCAAGTTACACATAATCAGGTAGAATTTAAATAGATTTCAATAAATTTCTGCAATCCAAAGATGAGCATAGCATTTATCTTTAAATTTTTTTTAACAAAATTATAGCTTACACTCGATATGTTCTGATAATTGTTGTTTATAGAAAATGTCATACTGGTATAAAATATACGAAACTGTTACCCTACAAAAAAACTGCAAGTTATTAGTCTTTGTCACCAGTATAGATCTAGGACAGCCTGCACTTGCTTGCAGTCTGATTTGGCTCCATTATGATGGCTGACTACTGAACTTTAAATTTTTATTTTGATATGTTAAAAAAATATTAATGAACAGATCCATTAATGGAAGGCAGCTGACCACATCTAATTTGTGTTAAGTAATTCAGCATGTTATAGGTTAGAATGAATAGATTTTTAACATATCTGTGATATAGGCTGTTTTAAGAAGAAGAGATGCCATTCAGTCCCAGTATGAAGAAACTTTGGACGAATTAAATAAAAGAAAAGACGAAAGAGAACAGGTAATGCTTCAATTGTGTTAGTATTTTATTCTAATTAGTCCTTATGTAGTAGCTATCAGTTCTATGTTACTGTGTTTCTGTAGACATTGCCAATTTCATGCTAATACAGGGTGTCCGTTTCACCCTAGAAATGACTCTTTGACCCTTCAAATTTCCAAAAGGCCTGATTTGACCCTCAGGATTTTAGCTGGAGGGTCAAATTTTGTTAAAATCATGGGGATTTGGCCTTGTAGTTGGTAAAACTTAGTTAAAATGACCCTCAGGGTTTCATGGCTAGTGAACACCCTGCTAATATAACTTCCTGGTACTTGTAAATAATTTGTTGGATATTAATATCAGTCAGTTAATATATAACACCAGTAGCAGTGATAAGAGACCACTGTTACAGAGCAAAGACAGCTTGTATATGTATAGGTTCAGTTTGATAAATCTTTGTATTACTAATTCTTTTTTTGAATTGCGATAAAACAACCTCTTTAACTCCCTAGTAGGCTCTTCTAAAGTTCATTACACAAAGAAAATAAAGTATGGGAAAATACAGAATTTAAATCATCATGTGCTTATTAACTGCTTTTAAACATATTTGTAATACGGCATGCCTGTGACATCCATTTTCATTGAATAATAGTAATGTTTGTATAATCAATATACATGGGTCATGTAAATTCATGAACTTACTTTCATTTTTTCACTAATGCAAATGTGCTGTATAATAAATTTGTTATAAGGGATTTTTCAAGACCAAATGTCAATGTCACACTAAGATGTCAAAGGTCATCAGGTAGAAAATCTTGTCCAGCCTTTAAATCTGTCAAGCAAGGGACTTTGAACTTACTTGGCACAAATATGTAGTATGATGAGACAGTGTGCAATGTGGAAAACCCAAGCTCTAAGTTCAAGGTCACACTTAGAGGTATAAGGTCACTGGTTAGATAATCTTGTCGGGCAAATAATTGTCATGCATCAGAGGATTTTGAAGTAACTTAGCACACATGTGTAGCATGATGAGATGGTGTGTCATGTGCAAGACCTTTTAACCCCTAGCTCCAAACTCAAGGTCATTCTTAGTTTTCAAATTTCAACAGTTAGAAAATCTTGTCCAGCCAATAATTTGCCATGCAGAAGACCTAGACCCCTAGCTTCTAGGTCAAGATCACACTTAAGAGTCAAAGGTCAGCAGTTAGAAAATCATGTCTGGTTTATAACTCTGTCATGCATCAAGGGATTTAGAAACAACTGTGAATATTAAAAAGTTGTTTTTATAAACATTTGTCTGTCCTCTTACTTTAGCAGGTCTTTAATTGCAGATAAAAAAAATATTTTTTGTGTGTCCTAATATATAGCGGCGGTATCCGTGTCTTCAGATACATTGGCCATGTATATTTGGCTGTTTGCTGTACAACCCTCATGTAGTACCTTGGGGCTTATAAACTTACTACGTCAAACCTGGCCTAAATTAAAACCTATATGTATTAAAATATTTGTAACTAAAATACACAGTAATAAAATCATATAAAAAAAATTACATGGCATAAAATCATAATAGGAGCTAATAACACTGTATTATTTGATAATAATGAAATATTGAAAGAAATGATTGCATGTGTATATCATATTAAATTACTAATGACAAAACCTTTCTTCATGCATTATAACATATAAGGTTCGTTTGGTAAGTTTTATTGTAATTTTAGATTAGTTTGAAGCAGCTCAGTGCACCATATCAGTTTTAGGCATGATATTGATTTTATGAATTCTCTTTTTTAAGGTTCTGTTTGACTAAATTTATGCATGTTACATTGTATCAGCTTCTCATGTTTCACCTAGCTATCATTGATAAACAATTTATTATGTTTTCTAATAAATCAAATGTGGTTCTAGAACATTTAGTTACCTGTTTGTCCTTCCATTCATCCAAGCTTCTTCTGTCTTTTACTTGCTGTTTCTTATAATTCCTTTATTTATTGGCAAATTTTTAAGACATTTGGTATGTAGATACTTTGAATGGACCTCTACAACTGAATGAGGTTTGAGAATGACAGGTTCAAGGTCATAAACTTTAACTTTCCTCTAGAGAGTTGTTGTTTGTTGATATAATTGAGCCGTGTCACGACAAAACCAACATAGTGCGTTTGCGACCAGCATGGATCCAGACCAGCCTGCGCATACGCGCAGTCTGATCAGGATCAATGCTGTTCGCTATCAGTTCCTCTACTTGTTATAGAGTTGGTTAGCGAACAGCATGAATCCTGATCAGACTGCACGGATGCGCAGGCTGGTCTGGATCCATGCTGGTCTCAAACGCACTATGTTGGTTTTGTTGTGACACGGCTCATATATTTAGATATGATGTATATAGGTAGGTATGTAGGTGACTTGTTAAATTTTCTCACTGTCAATATGGGTAAAATCTCATTTTACTTCTTTCATTTTTTTTAAACAATGTTTTTCACTATGTCAAGGCATCCACAGATAGTTTAGTTCTAAGTGCCAAATTAGAAAAAAAGTCTCATGACCTACTCATAGTACTTAAAATCGAACAATATGCACAAGTGAAAAATGTTAACTTTATGAACAAAATATAATGATAATGCTTATGTTTAACTGTTGATGAAGCCAATCCATATTCACATATATGTTTTTTTTATGGCAATATATTTATATTACTGTAGTTGTTATTTTGTTTTAACACAATAATCTTTAAATTATATACTTGTTGTAAACCCTGAGGGCATCAGTATGTCTTAATGTAAGCCGAAGAAAACTTATGTGTTTGTTTTGTAAAGCACAGATACCAGTATATGATGTAATGTATGCATTGGAATGTTGAGCATATGTCATTATTTATATGATCACAAAGAAAGAACAATACTCAAATTGGAAACAATTCCCTTTAGACTTACACTTCTAGAAGCAAAAGTGTTAAGGCTTTGTCACCAATATAAAGCTAGGCAAGTCTGCACTTTGAACAATCTGACAATCTGTATTGCTGACAAACTTCAAATTTTAATATTGATATCCCCAAAAATGACAAAAGACAGCTCTAAAAACAGAAGCTGAATAGGCACATAGAAGAAATTCTGCACTTTAATTGTTTAAAAGAAAGTTTTAGGATGTAAGCTTAAACAAGTAACATCAGATAGAAACTCTGAGCTTAACTATAACAGTGTATTTAGTAATGAGTGTGTTAATAAATATATGCAGTTATTCACAAATTATGATACTACATGTATGTATATAACAGTATGACCAGTGCCGTGTGCAGTAGTGTTGCTCCCAATTAATTACCTAGTATAGATGAGAATGGTCCCAATCACTGGTACAAATGTAGTATTAGTGTTGTCTTTTTTTTTTTAAATGAACCTTCATTCATACATCATCTGGTTTATTGACCTTTGAAATAAGTTTATAACTTTGATGTTAAAAGATTGTATCAAAAGTAAGCACTTATGTTTGTTGCTAATTATTTACTCATCAATTATTTTTTCTGTAGGTTTACTGTAAAAGATATGGCTATTTTATATTGTTATTGTATTGTCTACTTTGTTTCTATTGTCTTTCCATCATACATTGCTTTTGATATGTAATGTTCTAGATAATTTTGTGCTCTAGCATTGCTGATAATTGCTTTCATTAAGCAAGACTTCTCATTAGTTTAATTATACATTTTAGGCAATAAAATTCCTTGAAATAACAATTGTCAGTTCAGATGGTTGAAAGCAGCACAGGTGTATTGCACGTATAAGGCAAGGAAATGGTTTAGGGTTACCCTGTTGTCAGTACACCTATATTTTGTTGTTGTTGTTTTTTACACTGTACACCTTTTATGTTAGTGTGTAGATTGTTGACATGTGTGTATATTGTGTTTACTAGCTGAAGATATCTGATCAAACTTATTCTCTTGGGGCTTTTCTTGGCAAGGATCCTGATGAGGTGAAACAACAGAAACAGGACAAGTTAGACCAGCAAATTACTGATGTAAGTATAAAAATAACAGTATGGTATCTAGTACTGTCATAGAGAATAGAGTATTTTGTGTGCTAAAGTAGGAAAAATTATATTGTACACATAACAGGGAGGTATGTACTGTACATATGTATTTTATGTGCTAATGTAGGAAAATATATATGGTACATAAGTATTCTTTGAGCCAAAACTGTACAAAATAGGGAGATTTGTACTGTACATAGTATTTTATGGGGCAAAACTGTACAAAGCAGGGTGATAGGTACTAGGTGGTAGGTATTCTATGTGCCGAAACTGTCAAAAGAAAAATATGTACTGTACATAGCCGATAGGTATTTTATGTGAAATTGTTGTACAATATTGCACATAGAATGTCAATCCTTTATGCCATTGGAATGCACTGTTAAAGACAAGCAGGCAACCACATACTACATGTTCTAATTTTAAATTAGTTTTATTGTAACATTGCTAATGGTATTTACTTATTCTTGTTTCAAATCATTGAATCAATTAATTATTCTTTAAGACCCTAAGTAAGTATCACTATGCCATCTCCCAAGTCTTTAACCTGTAGTTATATTGTATTACCTGGAACCTTGAGATGCAGTTTCATTTCTTAAACATTATCTTTTACAGATGTGTACAGTATAATGTTTTTAAGATTACAGTTGATTTTAGTCACATAAAGGCACATTTTCATGTGAAAGTCGAAAGGGAAAAAAACTTGACAACACTGAATTTTTATTTGCTTAATCTGTTTTGAGGGAAAATAATTTGTATTTAGCTACTTTTAAGAAGTTTTGACTACTTCTCTGCCATGGTATACAGTTTTTTTATCAAGAAACCCTTAGATTATTTTCTGTCTTCATGTTAGTTTTATCATTTTAAGCTGACAGCAGAAATGGAGAAATTGAATGACAGGTCTGTAGTGGCTGACAGTGATTTGAGGGCTGATATGGAAAGATGGCATAAGAATAAGCATAAAGATACGAAGGAAATATTTACTGAAATGTGTGATCGAAATGTGCAATATTATGAAAAGGTTAGTAAGTTTGGATATGAATATTTAGATGCATGTTATACTTTAGTTGACGGTTTAATAGCTTCTTTTAACAATTTATGACAAAAAACGTAATGTATTATAGTGTATTACATTGTAAGATGTTAGACTTACTACATATAAATAGATATTGCTTTGAAAGAAGAGATGGGTACATTATATATTGGGATATATAACAAGTACTATTTTAGTCTGAGTTATAGGTAATTCTAGTATAAGCTGTGCTAAGTTATAGGACTTGAAATGCAAAAGAATAGAAATAAAAGTTTTAAAGATATGTTATTACATATCTATAAAGGTAGCATGACTATGATAAACCAAAATTAGATTTCATAAGCAGGATTAATACATTATACTAAATTAACTGTTTTATCAGTTTCCACACTGGAACTCTTTTATCACTTTTATTTTAATATCAAATCTCAAAATATTACATGTTATTTTGACCAGTCAGCCGTCATCCTTTCCAACCCACTTAGGAAATTTATTTACATAAGTCTTGAATTTGTTTTCAAATTCCGAATTTAATTAAGTTAATAATTTCTTTAGCATTGTATGTCATTAACTTATATCTTCAGTCTTTAATTATACAATGTCTTCTGTTGTAATATTTATCTATATTTAAAGTTTTGTAAATTCTGGAAATAAATATTATTTAAACTAAGATTAGATTTTTCAAAACCATTTCTGTGTCTAAATGGTTAAAATTCTTGACTTTTAATCACCTGTCCTCATCACTTAAGTTTCAATCCAATGGGAGCTTTAATTCTTCATTATGAGAAACTGCAAGCAAAGTTACCCTGCTTTCCTTCTTATACTTCAATCATAAATGTTAGAAAGCTGTATGGCCTTAAATGTATAGGTGTGACTCAGCAAAAGACCTTTTAGTAATAGCTCAATAATTGATATATGTACCGGTATATGGTCAATAAGAGCATAATTATTCCCTTCTGAATTAACCTATCTTAATCTGCTATCTCATTGAAATATTTCTTTTCATTGCAAACAGTTTCCCCAAAAGTTTATGTTTACTTTCTTATGCCATATAACATAACTTTTCTGTTGTTTTTTTTCCCCATAAAGATCAAAGTCTTGGTCCTCTTGAAGTCTTCTGTTTGTAATTACATGTTTATGATATGTATTTGTAGTGTTTAAAATCCTGGGAGGATGCTATAAGAGCTATACAATGCCGGGAACCACCAACCACCACCTGTGATACAAAAGATGATGAGGATAAAGATGAAGTCTCGTTAAAACATACAGAAAGTACCGAGACAGATAAAACAGCGTCAGACCTCAGTTAATCTAGTCTTCATTTTTATAGCATTGAGGTTGAAAGGGGGAGGGTAGGGGATTAGGGGAGAAGTATTTGTTTGTGAAGGTACTAATAATGTAATATCAGTAAGATGATGTATTGTTTTCAATATATAGGGTTGTCAAGCTGAATGTGTTGTTTCCATATAGTAATTTTTACTGTGATTGTAATTATTTATTATTATAAGAGACTGAAATATTTCAAAAAAAATAATTGTTGTACAAGGGAAGTAGCCTAATTAAAGATAAGTCTACATTATACATGCACCTTATCATCCATTTATATCATAGCACTAAATATTATCTCCCTTGTTACACTCCACAATGATGATAATCTCCCTTTTCACGTTATATTTCCTATGATTACTTCCCTTGGTTTTTTAACCCACGTTTTTAGGAATACTCAAGAGGAATGCAATACATGTTGAGTTTGTTTTTAACCTATGATGCTTTATACTGCCAAAATATATAAATGTAAACAATCTAATTTAGTAAATGGCTTTCAGCTATATTTGTCATCAACTTCAATAGGGACCAATTGTTATCATACTTTTTTGTCATTCATCTGTTACATTGAATCACTAAAATATTTTGTCAATCTTCCATTTATATTGTAGAAATCTTATAATTTATATGATATTCATAGAGAATTCACCTTGAGGAGGATCAGATTTTGTGTCCGAATGTTATATATGACTTATTACCATTTAAATTTCATACTGACATTTACTGGACATTTAAGAAATTTCCTTTTATATCGGTTAGAATTTACAGGTGTATTATTTATATCATTATTTGGTAGAAGATTGTGGTATATGAGAACATTTTGGTACATCTTTCAGGAAAAGGGAAGTAGTAGGCTAGAAACGTATGTTTATATGATCAGTTATTTGAAGACTTTTCAAAATGTATTATTTAATATGTTGGATTCTAATCTGTCAAAAAACAACAACAAAAAAACAAAAAACAAATTAAAGGGACTGAAAAACAAGTAAGGAAAGATTTTCATAAACTCATATAATGTTAAAATAATTATTTTCTTCGATTTTTCAACATTTTTGTACTCCTTGACATGTCAGAAATCCAACCTGTCTTTAGTCAGTGTTTAAGTAAATACAACAGATTGATTGAATAGGTTCGAAACCAGTAATCCAGACACTGGCACTGCCCTTATTTCATTTATCAGTAATCTGTTTTTTTGTGTCTAAATACAACAGACTTTTAGGAAAGATTTAGACCCTGTCTTATAATTGGTCAGTCCAATGGTCAAATATGTATGATCATTAATCATAATATGTGCAATATATGGTTTAGAATCCCATTTGTATATATACTATCATATAGTATTGAAACTCATTTTAAAGTGAATTTTATAAAACAGTCTCATTGATTCTAATATTTTGATATATAATTTTTAAACCCCCGCACAACACAGTTGTAAGGGGGGTATACTGAAATCAGCTTGTCCGTCCGGCTGTCCGGCGGTTTTTTCTTGTCCGCCCAATTACTTAAGATTTCTTTGACCCACAGTCTTCATATTTGGCATGAAGGTTAGCCATGATTAGTAGATGACCCCTATTGTTTTTGAGGTCAAAGGTCAAGGTCACAGGGCTATTGACTTCAAAAAGCTTGTCCGCCCAATAACTTAAGATTCCTTTGACCCACAGTCTTCATATTTGGCATGGAGGTTAGTCATGATTAGTAGATGACCCCTATTGTTTTTGAGGTCACCAGGTCATAGGTCAAGGTCACAGGGGCCTTGTCTATAAAAAGCTTGTCCGCCCAATAATTTAAGATTCCTATGACTCACAGTCTTCATATTTGGCTTGGAGATTAGTCATGATTAGTAGATGACCCCTATTGATTTTGAGGTCACCAGGTCAAAGCTACAGGGGCCTGTACTTCAAAAAGGTTGTCCTTCAATAACTTAAGATTCCTTTGACCCACAGTCTTCATATTTGGCATGGAGGTTAGTCATGATTAGTAGATGACCCCTATTGATTTTGAGGTCAAAGGTCAAGGTCACAGGGTCCTGGAATTCAAAAAGCTTTTCCGCCTAATAATTTTAGATTCCTTTGACCCACAGTCTTCATATTTGGCATGGAGGTTAGTTATGATTACAAAATGACCCCTATTGATTTTGAGGTCATAGGTCAAGGTCACATGGGCCTTGACTATAATAAAATTTGTCCGCCCAATAACTTTAGATTCCTTTGACCCACAGTCTTCATATTTGGCATGGAGGTTAGTCATGATTAGTAGATGATCCCTATTGATTTTTGAGGCAATGGGTCAAAGGTCAAGGTCACAGGGACTTTGACTTCAAAAAGTTTGTCCGCACAATAACTTAAAAGACCTTTGACCCACATTCTTCATATGTAAGTCATGATTAGTAGGTGATCCCTATTGATTTTTAGGACACTGGGCAAAGGTCAAGGTCACAGGGGCCTTGACTAAAAAAGCTTGTCAGCCCAATAACTTAAGATTCCTTTGACCCACAGTCATCATATTTGGCATGGAGGTAAGTCATGATTAATAGGTAAGCCCTATCGATTTTTAGGACACTGGGTCAAAGGTCAAGGTCACAGGGGCGGTCAAGGTCACAGGGGCCTTGACTAAAAAGTTTGTCCGCCCAATAACTTAAGATTCCTTTGACCCACAGTCTTCATATTTGGCATAGAGGTTGATCATGACCATAAGGTAACCCCTATTGATTTTGGGGTCACTTGGTCAAAGGTCAAGGTCACAGGGACCTTGACAAAACAAGCTTTTCCCCTCAATTGCTTAAGAAGCCTGTCCACAGTGTATTGATTTTGACATTTTCACATTTGAAGCATGGAGAATACATAATTTAGCAATGCACTGGCTTAGTAACCTCAAATTTGGCAGGGAGGTTGTCCTTGAGCTCTAAATGGCCACAGTTGATTCTGACAAAGTGGTATGCGGAGGTATTCACGCCACAATAGTGGCAGTTCTAGTTAGGGCTGAATAGGCCAGCCAAGTGACTATCTGATCCAATCCATGATTCAGACCTTACATTCATGAATTGTACCACAAATCATCTTATTGTTCTAATACTTAAAGAAATAACAATGTTTTTTAAAAAATATTTTAAATGAAAAATAGAAATTACATGTTAAGAATAAGTTTTACAAAGTTTCTGTAGCAACAGTTTAGAATTTCAGCTGAAAATAAAAGTTTAAAGTTTGAGATTAGGGTAAATGCATGCGGAATGCAAACAACACATAGTTTAACAATGATATAATAGTTTTTTCTGAAGGTTTTATGCAATTATTAAAGAGTTATCAGAATTTTTTTATTAATATAGGTGTGAATTGCGATCAAGCGATCTTTGGATTAATGAATACCCAATGCATATTGTTGAGGTCTGAATCGTTAATTTCCTAAGCATCAGAATTATAGTTAGAGCCCTGTAAATTTTTAATGTTTTAGATAACAAGTATATATATGTTGTAAAATTTAAAGATTATGTATTGAAAAGAAAATCTTGTAAAATGGCATTCATTAAACAGTTAATAACATGACTACGGTATCTTGAAATATTCATTATTTTGGGGTTATTAAAGTATAAAATTGACAGATACGAATAATGACAAGTATTTGTGTCTAACCATATGTTTTTGAGGAAAACTTAGTGCAATAGTATAACAGTTAAATGTTAAACATTTACTGTAGGAATTGTTGTTCATTACATATTGTGTAGTTTATGGATATATAACATTATAAATCATGTATTTTACGTGAATATAATTCATATCTATGTTTATTTTTAGTAGGTTGTAAACATGTTGAAATGTGATATTATTGTAATCATCAGTCAATTCAACCTTTGTATATTAGTGACAATAACAACATGACTATGTTACTGGTAATAAAGCACTGTAGTCTTTATGTGTGTACGTCAAGTGACAAGGAAAAATCTTGACCAAATCCCTGTTTTCAAAAATACAATATTATACAAGGTATTGATTGATTGATTGATTGATTGATTGATTGATAAAATTGGTTAAGACATGATGAGACGCAAGAAAAACCATTTTTAGATCTCTCATTTTCTGTTGTTGTTTTTGTTTTTTTATTATTTTTATTTATTTATTACAATATTATATATATCTTTGTGAAAGAAGTAGAAATTGCAAGAAATCATCCTAACTTGCAATGACTGTCTGCATCTTCTAGTATATATCATATGCATATACTCATTTTGAATTATTCTTTGAGTAAATTTAGCCACAATTAGGGTCTGTTTGTTTCATATTGAAATGATAGTTGCAAGAAATGATTGCTTATTATTGAGGTAGACTATTTTCTGCAGAGTCTGTCATAAAATTGATGTTTTGTCATGTATTTACATTCCTGAAAACTATAATTTAATTTTTCTTACACCAGCAGAAACCTATCATTGAAGTTTATAAGTTATGCACAAAGATTTGCCATAAGTTTATATACATATAATTGTTGTTGATTTCTTCTGACCAACTTTTTTGCAGATTTTTATGCCATATGAATGTTTGTTCATTTTTCTGTTACTGAACATGAACTTGTGGATAAGATTCAATACTGACACAATGTTTGGGAATGCTAATAAGATAAAGAAAATTCACGCTAGATTGCTGATAAAATGCTACAAAAATAGTAAAGGTATGATTGTATCTGAATTTGTGACACAAATCATGCTTTGTTGACCACCATATAATCATTTAATGATATGTTATATGTATGTTTATGTATATTGACATTGTACATGTATAACCATGTCATTTGTATCAGAAGTTGTTGCCGAGTAAATTTTTACATTTAAAACTTTAATATTTGTAGTTTTTCTTTATTTGTAACTGTTTTTAGCTCAAACAAGCACAACATGGTTTTTCTTTATATGTATAAAGAAAAAACCTTAAAAATCTTCACCTGGAATCCTTAGAACTGGACTCGGATATTTGGGATGTTTGATATTTTGGATGAAGCATCGTCTTGTGGACTTCTTCCGATCTTGTTGAAATTATGGGCTTGAGGACTGAAGCTTAAATATTTTTTAGTTGACCTCGACAAGCTATTCTTAGGTCAAAATTGGCCGGTCCATTGTGATCTTGGGTTTCACCTTTATGAATGCAGTAAACAGTTAAAAAAATCCACTTACAGTCTGATTAGTCATGCGTAACATATGTAGATGGTAGCTATTGAGTTAGAGACCAGACGATCAAAGGTCAAAATCACGGTGGCCTTTACCACTAAAACATTGTCCAGCTCATAGATGTAGAGAATGTTATACGATTCTGTCATTAGGTGAGCGCTTTGGGACCAGTGGTTCTCTTGTTTCTGTCGTGAGATATATGCACATGCCACAATCATCAAATTTTGAGACCTAAGCCAAAACAAAAAGTTAATTTAAGCTATTTTATTGATAGATCAACTCGGTCACACAATATTCAGTATTTTTATAAAAAAAAACCCAACTTTTATGTACCTAAATTAAGTTTGCATGTCTTTAAATTTTTTAAACAAACAGATGAAAGAAAGTCGTTTCAAATTTGACTGTGAATATGTACTTCACGTTATCGGTTTGTTTTTGAAACAACCACTTTGTACTTATCCTTCAAAATATGTTCTGTTATAAATGAGATTTTTAGCTGTAATCTGATAACCAGCTGGGATAAATTGACTGATTTGAGATATGTTAGTTTTCTCCCCTGATGTCCACTATCTTGAAACAGCCCGGTATCTTGAAACAAAATGAAAATATGAATAAAAATTGAATGTTCTTAAATATGAAATTTAGCTAAAGCTTTGTCCCTTAAGGCAAGGAAAACTGATCATGTAAATATTTTAATATAATTTAGGGTAATGCTGTCAAAGATTGCACGTTGTTGAACCTTATATCAACAGTACTAGGATTAAGTCCTCAAGTTTTAGTCCGTTTAATCCATGTTTAGACAAATATAGAGATACGGTCCGCACTTGACCTCAATTTAAAAACAAAACATAGATAGAAATGTTGATATTATACAGTGGTCACTTATTTTGACCCGTGTGTGTTGAAAATCGATCTATTTGACCTAGATACTCAGATAAGCATCCCAGATTCGACTTATATAAATGAATTTATTGTGTGCCTACTTATTATTTTAGTAGCACTCAAGTGTTTTATTCCCTGATCATGAAATGAGCAGCGTCACGACAAAACCAACATAATGGGTTTGCGACCAGCATGGATCCAAACCAGCCTACGCAGCCGACGCAGTCTGATCAGGATCCATGCTGTTCGCTATCAGTTTCTTTACTTGTTATAGGGTCTGTAAGCGAACAGCATGGATCCTGATCAGACTGCACGGATGCGCCGGCTGGTCTGAACCCATGCTGGTCGCAAACCCATTAATTATGTTGGTTTTGTCATGACGCGGCTCAAATAATCTTACAAAAGCGTCTCATTAGCAGGTCAAATTAAAGATCGTCTGCTAAAAAGGTAATTTAAGATCGTCTGCTGAAAAGTTTTACAATCTGTAATAAAAACAAGTTCAGCACAACTTGGTCAAGACATTATCAACGATGAAAGATTGGTTCATTTAAGAAAAGAAGCTAGTGAGTATTTCTATCATGGTCTGAGAGAACAAAATCATCAGAGAGAACAAAATATGTCAAAATCATTTTAGTCCTGTTTTTAGAAATTGTATCACTTATGCTGCAATGATTAAGAATTCTGAGATAATTTCTATTTTGACGTCAATGTCCAATTATATTTATTATTGCAGACTATTAAGTGCCTGCTTGCATTGCCATAAAATTCAGTGAATATTTTTTAGTAAGATAACCTAACTATACATGAATGTTACGGTATCTATTTTTTTCTAACTACAGTAAATTGAGTAAAAATTTCAACATTTCGTTTACCGCGGACAAAAATGAGATTATCAAAGTGGAGCACAATTTACAGTATAAGAAATAACTTTGTAGTTAAGATTTTTTTCACAATATATAGGCTAATTTGTCAATTTTAGAGCAAACTGAGCATAAGTATGACATATTTTGTTAATGCAATCACAATCGGCATATTTAGCTAAAATAAACATATGATTAATTGATGAGTAAACTTTACTCTAGGTGAGCATAAAATCCGGCTTTAAAATCTGAAAATTTTAAAACGAAAAAAAAAACGTATAAACTTGAGATGTAACAAAAATAATCTTGAAGTTAAATTGTATGCCTTTAATTGTTCATATGAACGCTCGTATATGTCTTATTTATGCACGTGTGACAGACGCTTGCACTTGAAGTTAAAATGATTGACGCCCTTGTTTTATATGTATATCTTTTGCTTCAAATATTTGATTAAGAATAAATCTAATGCAAAACAGATCTGTCATTTCAATTCTTTTTTACTTTTTTATTAAAGTATTATCCTCTGCATGTAAAAACAGACTTGTTAATTATCATTTATTTTAAAAGCAATCAATGGAAATTGAAACAGGTAAAGCTTGCAGCAAGAAACTTCTGCCTACTGAAAGGTCATTAATAAATGATCCTGTGACAACATGAAATGAGAAATACAGTGTAAAGTTAGAAGATTATGGTCGCTGTAGACGTAACATAGATATACAAGTTCACAAAGCCCTACAGTTTATCAGTATTTACAAAATTCTGACGGGTAAGGATAAAAAATCCCGTGACCCAAATAAGGTAAGACAATATTTTTGTGAAATTATACCTTTCCAGTTTTCAAAGCAGTTGAAATATTTTTTATGTTGCTCCTGTTTATTGTGGGGTTTTTTTTTCTTATTTTTTTTTTTAGATTTGTTTGATTTATTTTTGTCATTTGCTTCGTTTTACACGTTCTCTTGATTTTTCGTCTGTATTTATTCCTTGACTGAAAATGTAAGTATTAAATATGACACATACATGTATATTTTTCTTCTATCAGTCATCTGATATAATATCATAGTTTTGTTCTTATTTATATGTTGTAGTTTTTTCAATTCATTTGTTAGTTTTAATTTGCAATTTATCAAATTAATTCAACTGTGGCTTAAATGATTAATCAAAATGTTTTTGGCCAATTGTCAAGAACAATGTACATGTTAACTACACAAACTTTCATGCCCATTCTATAAAATATGTATAGTTTGTCGAAATTGTGTTTGCATTGTTAATAGATCAGTTTTAATCAAGTCATGTCAAATATTTTATTGGCAAAACATATACATTCTTCGCCAAGCAACATTAACTGTAACTTTGAAGCTCTATTACAATAATTTATATTTTATGTATGTCGTATACATGTAAAAATGTATTTCATGTTTGATGACGGAAGTGCATGTACTAAAACAACTTCCCAAAAATGCAGGTTCAATCACAGTCATACATTGAATTCTTTTATTTTAAAGATTTGTGATACATAATGAATACTGTTATTACGTTTATTCTTACTGCACGTGTTGCATGCGTACATGTATCTTGTGCGCATGTGAGAAATGAACGCGTGGGCGCATATTCCTATAATAAAGACTCTTGGTGAAATATAATCTGAATTGAGACATCGTAAATTTAATTTTGTTTTCCAGAAAACTTTCGTTGGAAACACGTGCAAATGTGTGTGTATTTTTATGACACATGCAGATTAAAATCTGCATCTGAGTGTAAGCGCATTCAATATCGTAATGGCCAGTTTCTGGCATTTCTGTTGATTTTAAGGGTGAAATGGTTTCCATAAGTGCTTTGTCACTTGGAGTGAAAACATGTTTTTTCGCCTGGGCCGAAGAAGAGGCATTAAATGGTTAAATATGATCATATCAAGTGATTACATTTCATAAATTGTTCAAGGAATATTTTAATGGTAATATGTAAATGTTTGAATGGCAAGAAAGACCTCGTTTTACAACAGAAATCTTTTAAAGATTGGTTGACAATGTGATAATCCGTGTTTATAAAATTTGATAATAACCATATTAAATATCTAACATGAGTTTAAATAGTAAGAGTACTCCAACATGATTAAGACATCTAGTATCTTATAATACATACAGTTTGATATAAATATCTTGACCTGTTATCTAACTTGTCACAATAAAAGATGACAAAACAAAAAAGATAACAGAAATAAATGGAACGTTCGTGACAAAACCTACATAAATTAAAAAACAAATTCTTCGCTTTAATCCTTTGAAATAAGTTATAAAACTGAACGCTGAAACAATATCATGAAATAAATAAAAAAAAATAGTTTAGTCATCAGAATTTTGTTTAACTAAGTTCTGTAATAATAATAATTATTATTATTGATTGGCATATTTGAAAATGAAACAGAATTTTATCTCGAATATAATACGTTCCATATTAAAACGTGTTCCACAAATACAAGATTTACAGTATGATGTTGAACCATGTGATAATGTACCAAAACAACAACAACTACATGTACAATCGTGTGATGAACGCTACCATCACTGTGTGATCGCCCTCCAATGGTCGTCGGCATTGATATGTAGTATTTTCTTAATGAACAAAGCCTTTTAAACTGTTAACTTTACATGTCATTTTTTTATAATTCTGTATAGATCAAATACTTAGTTGCTCTTTGTGTCTATGTTTCCTTGTCACTTAAAAAAAACCCCATAAAATTCATGTTTTTTTTCTCTTTCATCGAAAGGTTTCAGTACAGTTGTACTTCAGTTTCTTCAAGTTTTCAAACGGAATGCACGCTCCTCACATATATACATGATACATACAAGGCCATTTCCCACTTTAATTTATTCATAATTGATCTGATAAAGAGTTGCTATAGTAATTATTGTAATTGTGCGTATCTATGTATCAAACTATTACAAATTATGATAAATATGTAGTCTTAAAACGCTGATATATGTTAAAAAAAACCCCAAAAAACAAACCCACTCTTACGTTAACTAGCGCCTAGCTACTTACATGTATATCTTTAACTTTATTAATTGCTCTGTGCCTAATACGTCATTTTCAGACAGGTTAAGTTCTTTATTTTATAAACTTTAACTTATGTGTATATTTTGATATTTGAGCCGCGTCATGACAAAACCAACATAGTGGGTTTGCGACCAGCATGGATCCAGACCAGCCTGCGCATCCGCGCAGTCTGATCAGGATCCATGCTGTTCGCTTACAAACCCTATAACAGGTAGAGAAACTGATAGCGAACAGCATGGATCCTGATCAGACTGCGCGGATGCGCAGACTGGTCTGGATCCATGCTGGTCGCAAACGCATTACGTTGGTTTTGTCATGACACGGCTTATTTTATGATAAGCGCTGCATATCAGATAACGTCGCTGTTAATTAAACGGCAAGGAAATAAACGTAACGTAAGATGCCTTCTGTCAACTTTGTGCATGAAGATCATAGGCTGTGAGTACGATTGAATTGAAAACAATTGTATGCTTATAATGCATTTTGACTTTTTCAAAATAGATAGAGGATATTCAAGTTTTTTCTATAAATATAGGATTTATTTTCATCGAGAGTATGAAAATAAATATTTCATGAGTGGCGGTAGAAAATACGGAAAATATGTTTCACTGCAGTGAAAAATAATTTTTTACAGTAAAAATACGAAAAAAAAAAATGAAAATACGCATTTCATTTCATCGATAGTTTTCCATATTTCATTTATAAGTATTTAATAAAATTTATTTATTTATTTATTTATTTATTTATAATTTATTTATTTATTTATTTATTTATTTATTTATTCATTTATTCACTTACTGACATTTTATTTTTGTGGGAATGTTAGGCGGTTGTTATTTGTCTTGTTTTATATTTTTTCTGGCTTGTATACGTACATGTAATATGTCTGAATTGCAGCAGATAGTTAAAGCATTCATACAAAACTGTACGTGTTAAATATACGTCAAAACATCATTGATGTACTCGTATTCTGGGTCGTCACGCAGCTCATCCATGTTTCTTTGTTATTTTCAAGTTTTAGCTGATCGTGTTCATGTTTTAGGCAATAAAATGCTATAAAATAGGCATAATAAATTGTGTCTATTTTTGTTGACTTAATACTATTTTTGACATAGAAAATGAACTTTTCATCAAAGGTTTAAGGACTTAAAAGTAAAACGTTTTAACCGTGACATCTTTACCAATTGTGTAGATGCAACACACGCCATGATATCCTTTTCCAAACGGCAAATATGCATAAAGGTTTAATCTATGAAACGATTTTCATTTCTTAATGCAAAGTGAATGCAAGCCGGAAAATATTTTATCTTATCTTATTTCTATAACAGGAAGGCTGATTTTATTTATTATTATATTATTATTTATTTTGGGCGGTGGTAGGGTGTGGGGTAAAATTTCTAAAAATCATATTGCAAATGGATGTGAAAATAATACAGTGAATCCTGTTTTCAGTAACCATTCTGTGACAAAGTAAATATGTTGTTTTTTACATAATTATGTTCATTCAAAACAGTAAATTTTTCTCAGGATAAAATGATAAGCTCACCTTTCTATATACTCTGTATATTCAGAGGTGAATTTTGGATAAAACACCCCACAAATATCGTTCTATATAAAACTGTCATAATTATAATGACAATTAATTTCCCAGCAATGCGGTTAATGTGTATCTTTTAGTCTACATATGCAAAATGTATTCAAAGTGATGTAAAATATACATTGCAAAAATGAGATAGTTGCATTATTCTAGTTCATTTGAAATGCAAAAATTACCCAAATTAAAATCAACAAAAATTGTAAAACAACAACAACAAAAACAAACAATAACAACAAAACAATAAACACGGTTCTGGACTTAAATTTCGTATGAATATAAATGTATATCATTGTAACAGTAACTCAGTTTACAATAATGTAAACTTTTGGTATGAATAATTATCTATTTGTTTGGGCGTTATTTATTATCAAAATTTACAAAAGAGATAGATGGTTTTATCAACTGATCACTCAGGTTTAATCACCGTATCACCATTAATCTTTTCTTATATAAACATAGTCATAGATAAATGATAAAAACAACAACAGTATATGGTCCGCTCTGTCATATTATGAACTGTATGACCAACTATTTAAAATGTACACTGGAATTATCAAAATGGTGTGTTCCTTTTTTATTTAAATTTTTGAGATCATTTTCCCGCGTATACTTCTCTAATGAGCCTCGCCAGCTATATTATTTTTGAATCCTTCTAATGGTTGTATATTATAATCAAGTTAAGAACCAGTTACCCTACATATTCGTACAATATGACCAGACACTGTTCACGCCAGGAACGAAAAAAAGATAAACAATAAACATTAATAAGAATAAAATAAAGGAAAAATACATGAGAGAATACTCATTAAGACACCAGTAACTCCTCTCAGTTATGTATGACTAATGTCTTTACAATGCTAAGATCACATTGTTTTATTCTAGTTAACATTGTTTACTATTAGTTCACATTATCTCATACTAGGTTACATTGTCTCCATTTAGTTCACAAATTATCTCCTCTAAGTTAACGTTTTTTTTCTTAGATCACATTGTCTTCCCAAAGTTCACTTTGTATTCTCTAAGTTCATATTCTATTTTCTTGGTCCATATTGTCTTCTCTCTGTCTCTTTGTTCACATTGTATTCTTTGTAAGTTTACATTGTATTCTCTTTTCTCACATTGTTTTCTCTTTGTTCAAATTATCTCCTCTTAGTTCACATCTTAGTCTCTCTTTTTTCATATATCATCTTAGTTCACCTTGTTTTCTTTAAGTTAACATTGTCTCCCCCTACTTAGCATTGTCTTCGTCTCCTCTTGGTTCACATTGTTTTCTCTTTCATATTTATCTTCTCTTAGTTCACATTGCTTACTTTTGGTTCCCACTGCATTCTCTTAGATCACATTGTCTTCTCTTGGTTCACATTGGCTCCCCTTAGTTAACATTGTCTTCTTGTAGTTCACATTGTCTCCTCTTACATATAATCATTTTTTATAAAAAGTAAAATGGAAGTCTGAACATTACTTTATCAATAGTTTTAACAATAAACGTGATATTCTCAGATTGATAAATAATGTATAAATATCTGCATGTGTCTTCTAGGTCGCAATTCGCCATTAACACTTTGAACAACAATGGATTATGAAAGAGAATACATGTATTTGAGTCATATGTCATAACCTTGTATCAAACAGATGTATAGATGGTTAAAACAGTTTGAACATTTGTTCTTCACGTGTTACTGATAATGCATCAATACATGACAAATACTGCTGTGTGTTTTACATGTATATTGGCTACATCATCAGCTTTCTCTATATTTACAATACTGGAATTTATAAACATAAATATTTTGTCAATGCATATGGGTTTTATAAACATATGCTGCGAATAGTTAGATAATGTACGAAACATTGTACAATCAATGTGGTTATATTCGTTTTGTGTTAAACTGTGATAATAATTACATTGAGTATTGTTCTGTTATTTGTTTCAAAATTGTCAGGGAATCAAGTGTTGAGATAAAGTCATAATTGAGAAATAGAGCCACGAGATTGGATATTAATCAGGACTCAGCTCATCAGTAAAATGTGAGATAAGGTTATTGGGATAATTGTGTTATCTAGAAAATGAGAAATAACCGACGATAAGGATTTTATAGATAGGTTAATACAAGATTCTAAACTGCCTGCTATTTCAACAGTGATCCGATGGATAGCCCGGAAAATGAGACAAAGACAACAAATGGGGACACTTCACCCAACTACCCTCTGTTACCTACGCCAACCATAGAGGGACATGATCCTAAACCAAGAACTGTGTGGATTGAAGAAGGTATGTTTTTTTTTATAAAACTGTTGGATAAAACTTTCTATACTGTATACATGTACAATGTACATTAATAAAATTACAATAGTCAGAAAAAAAGTTTTATTTTCATGAATCTATTGTCTTAATGTGATATCTAATGAGCAAAAACAATTTTAGTAAATATGAATTATGCATTGTAGCAAATGTAATGGTTCTTTTAAGAATCATGTTTTATATTCATATTGATCGCTTGCAAGTAAACGATGTGTGATGTATTTCATCTTTTATACGTTGGAAATATACGAATATTCCACAATGTATTCTGATTTTTACCATTACTTCTTTTCTATTTTTTGACTAGAAAATGAATTTGAAGCCCTCCTGCACGCAAAGGTTGAGGTAAGCGTAATTGAAGCATAATTATGATGATCAAGCAAATAGCAACTCTAAAAAGATATGCTTTAACTTAACATTACATGTACATGCATTCATTTAGTTTGATGTATTGTTGTTAGAATTACATTATTCATTTTAATTGATGCATAACTATCAACTTTTGAGCACTTTTTCGTGAAAAATAATGGTGATTACGACATGCCTTTGCAAAAACAAAACAAAACAAACCAAAACAGAGACAAATGAAAACTTGCATGGCTTCAAAATATCTTACATTTATTGAGAACAGGTTATTTTCTGTTATTAGAAAATTCCTCTGAAAGATTTTGGTACCGAAGTGCGAGCATTCCGTGACGTTGAGAATTTCTTGGATAGAACATTACTGGTGCTTAACCTAGACAAGAATGGGCTTGACGAGATTCTCGAGGTGATGTTCGAGAAGATAAAAGATGATAAAACAGGCGAGGATAAGTTTTCAACTGCTGAATCTATGTCTGCTGTGTTTAGTCATCAGTCAGGTAAGGAATGTTTTCTTCTAAATATCAGCATGTATCAAAAATATTGGTTCTTAATTTGTAGCATAGTTTCAATTTGTTCATTCTGAGATATATCATTATCACGTTGTTAAAGACGAAATATTATGTCGCATTCATGCCACAATTACATGTTATATTACTTATATATTGTAGTCTATGTAGCCAAGCATGTTAGGTATTTTCCCTTGTGGCTGGTATGTTGCCTTTAAGGGTTGGGGCATCAAACTGCAGCAACCGTTTATCTCTGCATGGTCGTAAGAGGAGACTATTTGGGTTAGAATTACTGGAGTATATGCTTCTCTTAGGTCCAGCAGTTGAGGTGGTTTTTGAACCCTGGTGTTACTTTAAGTTTGTAACACCCGAGGTTAGCCAAAATCATCTTTCCTGTTTCGGCGCCATATGACCTCAATTGTGTTGTTTGCGCGCCATAAAACAAAACAAAAGGAAAAATAATGCGAGGTCTTATACATTTAGATGGATAATTGTTTATACAACAATACTCTTTGTACACATCGTGTTAACATATAAAATATTTCATATATCAAATTTTATTTTCTGTATTCTTAATACAGCTCAGATACTAACCAAAACAATATACGGTACGACGAGAAGTGATGGCGGCGTATATTTTGACCAGTCATGGATATGTGCTCTGTGAGTTGGTTATTTGTACCAAAATGCATTTATATTTATATATGTTCTGAAGATTTGTTTCTTTTTGGTATATGTTTAATAACCCGTTCGGCTTTTATTTATACTAATAGATATAAAGATCTATTCTGAATTTTGAATTTCAAGAAATTCCACTTTACTAATTGAAAAGTTACTGTTAACCCTAAACCTATAGAATTGCTTTGGTTAACTTCTTAAGGATCTAAAAGTTGGTCAGGCAACATATAGCCTAGTAAGGCTGCACTGATTTTCAGGCTGACCTGGCTCTATACTGTTGTCATAGGCTTATCACTTCCAGCAGGCTTAGGACAGAACCATGTATCACAAGTTCTGACACATTTCTTAAATATAATGCTGTTGTTGATATGATAAGGTATTGAACTTCAACCTTTTTATACAGATGCGAAGTTCCGTCAGTAAGCAGACGACATGTAGTAATTTGTCGTTTGGCAAACCCAGCTAATCTCGGCGCCAACAGTCAAGATGTTCAGTTCCTCATCCTCGTAGTTGCACCTACAAAAGAGGTAAGTCTTATAAATTAAATTAACCAGACGTTATTTTTAGTAAAATGCAAAAACGTTGAAAAATAATTTTCTTGCGGCTTAAGGCATTCATAATCTTCAGATATCTGAGCACGGAACAGCTGTTTCTCTATGTATTTACATCATTAATTGAACATGTGTTTTTAATGACATTGAAAATCATTGACATGTAATCAAACTGACCCAGAAGTAAACACAGGATGTATCTATTCATGTATATATCGGCTATCGAACAAATCCCGTTTGATTACCCTTTGTCTGCTGGCGGCAAGGGATTCTACCTGAGCGACCAGTACAAACCATCATGGCCTTCCCCAGTATACAAAACTAGGGAAATCTTCAAAAAAAGAGAAGGTTTTTCCTTATTTAAGGATGAAAATTTTTAAAATTTAAGCTTGTAAAAATTTAAAAGGGGACGTTTTTCTAGTACATTGAAAGCTGGGAAAAAACCAGTCTGTTTTTAAAGCACGTACTTAATTACGGAATAAAAAAACTTATTAAAAAATCATTTATAAAAAGCAATATTTTCCCATAGAATCCCATTAAAAAACTGTCAACTCAACCCGCCCTTTTTTGATCAAAAAGCGGTAAAACTTTTGTCTGTTTTTTTTGAGAACCCCCTTGAAATAATGGAAATTTCTGTGAAAAAGTACTGGTTTTATTATAAAGCTAAAAAAGTTTTAAATGAAAAACATAAATATTGATTGGGACGATTGTAATCTCGTTACGCCCGGAATTTGTTTTATGAATGGGTCTCAATCTCCAAAACTTTTTCACTTGGTTTTTAATAAAGTTAAAATTTTTAAAAATCAAAAACATTTATTGCAGAAACGAGGTTTCAAAAACATTATAGACTTTATCACTTTATTTTTTTTAACAAATATCATTTATCTATCCATCAAATTTACAAAAAATTAATGACATTAAATAATATATCTTTTAGAAAACTGTACATTTTTATAATTTATTTGTTTAGAAAAAAAGAGGGAATTGTCTCCTTCAAGACCCTATCCCAATTCTTAAGGAAAAAATATTTTTTTTCGCTTTTTTAATGTTCATATTTCTTTGCGCTTTATAAGAAGCAAAAAAAATTTCAATGGTTTTACACTCTCCTTTATTTTTTACACCCCCCCTGCTGCATTACCTCATGAATATTCCCCATTTATTTTCATGTTTAGACCATAGACCATTTTTATTAAAAATTGCATTAAGGGGAATTAATCATAAAACAAGAAATACAGAAAATTTTCCCTGTCGATATGTACACGACTTTTTTTTACAAAAAACTTCATCCATTTTAGAAAAGTACAAAAACAGCTTTGAACTGGTCGCCTTTCGCACGTATTTTCCGGACAGTTTTGGGACGTTAAGGGGCAGCCACGGGAAAGTTCAGGAAATACTTCGGAGAGGGCGCCTTCCCATTCGAGAAAAGAGCATTCCTGAAAACAGGAAATCACATTTACTACTCCCCAAGAATCCCTTCGAGGACGATGAAAAAGAGGTAATAATATGAGACCTTTTGTCTCATTTCTTATATAAGTACTTAACTAGTGAGTGCTTCCATCATTAGTAAATATACTTTCATGTTTGGTTTAAACATATTTTTCTCAAATTACAATTTCCAAGAGAATTATACAACATACAATAATTAATTACTATAATATAATAGAGTTGACTGAACTGAAAGCTAAAATCTTATTGTATGTAATTCTCTCCACTTCTAGCTTGACGTCCCTACATATTTTGGCGGTACAAATAATTATATAATAAAATAATTAAAAGTTTCGGATCTATGCATTAATTTTATATCCAGAGCATTAAAATTAAATTATACATTTAATTACAGAAGTTAAAATGTCCCATTGGTCGTGGAATGATCCAGGACATCAAAAGGAGACTTCCACATTACTGGTCCGATTATAAAGATGGTATGACTGTTACTTATTTTATACACACTTGTTTTTTTGTGATTAAACTCTAAAGTAAATTGTATATGAATTGGGTGAATTTTAATTTGATATAAACATTCAGAAAAATAAAAAAATACTTCATAAAAATATTTTATTTTTCAGGGGTTATCGGATACAAGACGCCACAGAAGCTTATATCTACCACACTGTTTCTGTATTTTGCGTGTGTATTACCAAATATAGCGTTTGGAATGTTGAATGATAACAATACTAATGGCGCAATTTTGGAAGTTAACGAAAAAGACATTAATATTTTTCAAATAAATATAAAAAAACGTTCACGGGTGTGCAATAAACATTTTCATTTGTTTTTTAAATCTAGAAAAAAAAGAGGGCCTCATGACAAAACCAACATAATGGTTTTCGACCAGCAGGATCCAGACCAGCCTGCGCATCCGCGCAGTCTGATCAGGATCCATGTTGTTCGCTTACCAACTCTATTACAAGTAGAGAAACTGATAGCGAACAGCATGGATCCTGATCAGACTGCGCGGATGCGCAGGCTGGTCTGGATCCATGCTGGTCGCAAACGCACTATGTTGGTTTTGTCATGAGGCGGCTCATATTAGCATTGCGAGTACTAGTATTAAGTATTCTCAAATTGTTACTTTAGTTATCTCCCCTAATGTTTCTGTTTTTTACTAATTATATAAACAAATAAGCTGAGAGAAAATATAAGGCTTTTGTAACAAAAAGTGCCTATAAGGCGATTTAAGATCTCAGCATGCAATTTCAGACACTTGATTACAAGGTTGTAGAATGTGCAGATTGTAGATTGAATTATATTTGTATTAGGAAAAATCATCTCCATCAATGTCATGTAATATTTACATTAAGTCAACATTTATACATTTCAGGGGTAAAAAAGATTTTATTCTCACAATGTGCAGGAGGTATAATATTTGCGTTGTTTGGAGGTCAACCTCTCATTGTACTTCTGACTACTGCGCCGCTGGCCCTGTACACCAAGAGTAAGATTTTCTTCTTCTGTTTGTCTATAGATATTTGGAGAGGCTTCTATTAAACATATTTTCCCAGTCAGTTTCGCTATATTAATATAAATTCATGTACTTTTATTACATGTCACAATAGTACATACAATCATAAACATGGTAGGCTGCTTTTGAATCCGGGAAAAAATAAGGGAAAATTTAAAATTAAAATTATACTTACGCTCCCCACCGACTTCATTAAATTTTTTACATTTTCCTATAAGATTTTTCGTTTTATTGTCATCTTACAATACTTTACTTGTATATTTATACTCTCAGGAGTTTATTTTATTTTTTTTAACATTTTAGTTTTCATTTAACGAACATATTTGATTTTTTTTCATAAATTTCGCATTTGTGAAATTTTTTATCTCACTTTAACCCATGTTCTCATGTGTCGGTCTCTGGAATTGTTTCTTTCTCATTATCTACTCTGTTACCAATCTCAGCAAACTTATGAAATTCTCATCCAGGTAAATAATCAGGTGTAGTTTTGACATCTGTATTTATTCTCAATTTATTTTTCTGTTTTAACAGTTGTCGATTGATAGACCGATTGATTGACCTTATTTTAAGTCATGTTTATGGTAATTTTAGAAAAAAGGACATCAAACACTTGTTTAGATTTTACGTTTGCTAATGCAATGTCCATGTGGCTGACCTCACACTTTACAAATCTTTTGGTAAAATAAAGATGGACAAAAACATTTACAATTGAATTATAAGTAATACTTTGTACGTATATAATGTCAAACCGTTACTGATTAGCAGAGTAAAAACATATTTACAACTTGATATAAGTAATGAAACACATTGGTAAGTTGGAGACTTTACCGCGATCAATATATTACATGGAAGAGATAAATTATATATTAAAAATGTTTAATCAATTATTTTGAAAGATTTACCAATCATATTTTCAGATCTACAGAAGAAATATTTTCACTATTTATCACATTTGCATTTTCTGCCGATGCCATTAAAGACACAATAAAAGGTAATCTTATCATCAGCCAATGTTTAATCGTGATATAACCCTATAACCCACAACCTTTGTCCTCTTACTATTAAACAATCATGAAATATATTTTCTCTTTCTATATTTATTTCTATTAACAAACAAACTTTTGTAGCATGTATAGCATGATATGCAACGCATTTTATATAGAAATAACCATGATAACAACTGAGTAATATCGGCCAATATTCTATTAATCTATTTACTTTATACCAATATCTAACATTGATGTTTCTACAGATTTTAACAAGTATTACTACACTCCCGACTGTTTCCCGCCAACTAATACAGATCACTCTGTGACTAACGTAACAACTAACACGAGCATTGACCTAACTAATGTCACTGATACATCTACTACCATCCATCACCCGTGCTTGAAGGAGAACAGTATACTCTTTCTACTACTTATGCTCGGTACCGTTTGGTTTGGAATCACACTGTTCAACTTTACGAAAACGTGAGTTACAAATTCTGCAAATGAATATTGAATTTCATTGTTTTGTTTTGCAATTTATTTACAACTTTGTCGTGCTTATAAAGTATTCTAGCATTTTAATTAATGACAAGACAATGTGTTTACAAAAGAAGTGTTTAAGTGAAAGTGTTTTAAAGTAACTGCTTAAAATACAATGTTTGAATGACGATGCTTACAAAAAATATTTTTGTAATAGATCGAAGCAAAAGGAACAGGGTAATCTTGAATGCATGGCTTAAGATGAAATATTTAAAAGACTGTTTTTAGAATATACAGCGAGCGTTTGAAATGCAATGCTTAAAAGATATTTTATAAAATGCAATATTGGCTTTTTGAAAATGTTAAAGAAATAAGGCAATAGGTAAGCAATTTGCCAGTTAATTATTTAAACTAAAACTTGATAAGGATTTGGAGCTTAATATGCAATCATTGCTATATATACATATGACCGTTTCAGACACATATTTTATTTTGTAGACCATTTCTGACTGCCGGTAAGAGAGAGCTACTTGCAGATTACGCTTTACCAGCAGCAGTACTTATAATGTCTTTCTTTGGTTCATATGTATTCAATGCAGTTGCATGTAAGTATATATATAAAGTATAAAATAGTTTTTTTTCATGATTTGTAAAATTTGTTTGTTTCATTTTTAAATAAGGTCGCAATTATATTTCAAATGGTGTAAAAGCCTTACAGGTAGAGTGTCGCAGTGAAATTAATTTTTTGTTAAAAAAACGGAAATTAAGCTTTAGGACCAGTGCAACGAGAAATTGGTCCTTAGTTACAAAAATCATTTTAGAAATGAAAAGAAAACGGTGGGGTTGGGGAGAGAATAATTTATATCAGTTGCATAGTAAACCCATTACTTCATGAGCATTTTGTGAAAAATGGCTGTTTTAATTGAAAAGTCTCCAATTACAAGATCAAATTGCTATAAGACTATAAAAACTGCTTCAAAAGTCTCCAATTACAAGATCAATTGCTATAAAACTATAAAAACTGCTTCAATACAAATCAAACTTGGCACAAGTGTTGACTGGACCATTGCCTTTGCAGCAACATGCTCAGGCTTAAATTTCCTGTTACCATGGCAACGAGGGGACATCTCAAAATTAACAAAAATCACTATTTTGCATTGATTTTTTCCATCAAAATTGAGTTCAAAGTGCTGCAACTTCTTAATGGATTGAGATGGAGTCAAACGCTTTTCCGCGTTGGTTACACGTTACCTTATAATCGATCTGGGGTCATTTTTAGCCTCTCACAAGTCAAAATTTTTTTGGGGGATAGGGGGATGGCCCCCTTTAAACCCAAAAAACAACGGGGACACCCTTTTTTAACCCCCCTAGTATTTTTTTTTGGGCCCGCCCCGAAAAAGGTCACATTTTAGCTCACCTGTCACAAAGTGACAGGGTGAGCTTTTGTGATCGCTTTTCGTCCGGCGTCCGTCCGGCGTCCGTCGTCGTCCGTCCGTCGTCCGTCGTCCGTAAACTTTTACTTTAAATGACATCTCCTCATAAACCACTAGGCCAATTTCATCCAAACTTCACAGGAATGTTCCTTTGGTGGTCACCTTTAAAAATTGTTCAAAGAATTTAATTCCATGCAGAACTCTGGTTGCCATGGCAAACCGAAAGAAAAAACTTTAAAAATCGTCTTTTAAAGAACGCAAAGAGCTAGAGCTAAGATTTTTAGCATGAGACATGTTCTAATGAGTGCCTATCAAGTTTGTTCAAATAAAAGCCCTGGGGTCAAAATTGGCCCCGCCCCAGGGGGTCATTGATTTTCCCTATATGCATATAGTAAAAACTTAAAATCTTCTTTTAAAGAAACTCAAAGAGCTAGAGCTAAGATATTTAGCTTCAAACATGTTCTAATAGGTGTCTACCAAGTTTGTTCAAATAAAAGCCCTGGGGTCTAAATTGGCCCTGCCCCGGGGGTCATTGATTTTCCTTATATGTGTATAGCAAAAACTTAAAAAATCTTCTTTGAAAAAAACCAAATAGCTAGAGTTTAGATATTAAGCATGAAACATCTTCTAGTGAGTGTCTACAAAGTTTGTTCAAATAAAAGCCCTGGGGTCAAAATGGGCCCCGCCCCGGGGGTCATTGATTTTCCTTATATGTGTATAGCAAAAACTTAAAATCTTCTTTGAAAAAACCCAAATAGCTAGAGTTTAGATATTAAGAATGAAACATCTTCTAGTAAGTGTCTACAAAGTATTTTCAAATAAAAGCCCTGGGGTCAAAACTGGCCCCGCCCCAGGGGTGTGATTGTTTTTAACTATATGTGTATAGTAAAAACTTAAAAATTTTCTTTTAAAAAGCCCAATGAGCTTGAGCTTAGATGTTTAGCATGAAAAAATCTTCTTTTAAAGAACTCAAAGAGCTAGAGCTAAGATATTTAGCATCAAACATGTTCTAATAGGTGTCTACCAAGTTTGTTCAAATAAAAGCCCTGGGGTCTAAATTGGCCCCGCCCCGGGGTCATTGATTTTCCTTATATGTGTATAGCAAAAACTTAAAAAAATCTTCTTTGAAAAAAACCAAATAGCTAGAGTTTAGATATTAAGCATGAAACATCTTCTAGTGAGTGTCTACAAAGTTTGTTCAAATAAAAGCCCTGGGGTCAAAATTGGCCCCGCCCCGGGGGTCATTGATTTTCCTTATATGTGTATAGCAAAAACTTAAAATCTTCTTTTAAAAAAACCCAAATAGCTAGAGTTTAGATCTTAAGCATGAAACATCTTCTAGTAAGTGTCTACAAAGTTTGTTCAAATAAAAGCCCTGGGGTCAAAACTGGCCCCGCCCCAGGGGTGTCATTGTTTTTAACTATATGTGTATAGTAAAAACTTAAAAAATCTTCTTTTAAAAAGCCCAATGAGCTAGAGCTTAGATGTTTAGCATGAAACATCTTCTTATGGGTGTGTGTGGGGGGGCTATATACAGGTGAGCGACCTCAGGGCCATCATGGCCCTCTTGTTTAAACATCATTTCTCAAAACAAAAACAAGTGTTGGGGGCCTAAATAAGGCATTTTTTTTACCATTTGAGACAACAGAAAGAGCGGGGGTGAAAAAGGCATTAAAAGGCGTGTATATCGCGTAATGGGTTAAGATTCACATTGATCGATTAGTTTATGTATGCGTTACGTGCACTATATATATTCTCATCACTGGTTATTTTTCTTTTTAGTGAAGCCATTCAAATATGTAGCTGAGACAACGTTATTTGAGTTAGCACCGTTACATACGTTGCCGTGGCCTGCAGTGATTGCCGGTGCTGGGCTCGGCTTCAGCCTCTCCCTACTTTTCTTCATGGATCAAAACATATCCAGCGCCTTAGTAAATACACCTTCCAACAAGTAAACAATTTCTTTCACTTTCTTATTTAATTCAAATTTAAACATTTTACCATTTTACAAAACCTAGCCAACAAGCGTTAAATCGGACAGTGGTGTACACTCGTATTACACAATTCAGCGATACCATCGTTACGAAGGCAATGCTTTAAGAACGTCTACGATGTCTCTTTTGGTAATAATTGTGACCATTCAAAGTAAACGTGTTATTATTTTATATAGTATGTAATAAATAATTAAACCAGACGACAAATCTAAATGGGTTACCTGTTTGAACGTTTGCAAATTTGAAAATGCATGTATTTTTTTCAAACGTTTTTGTCTATCAGGTTGAAGAAAGGAGCGGCGTATCACTGGGATCTATTTACTGTTGCTATAATAAACGGGTTCCTCTCAATATTTACGTTACCATGGGTACACGCCGCCCTGCCTCACTCCCCACTGCACGTGAAAGCTCTAGCAGATGTAGAAGAAAGAGTTGACCAGGGACACGTGCAACAAATGTATGAAAGTTTTTTGTTCACTAGTTCATTTATTTATGCCATTTGTATACCTAAATGATACAAAAATTGTCCTGTATCATAATTTTAAACAGATGTTTCTACAAGTAAAGTAGAATTTAAGTAAGGAACTGTTAACGTTTAATGTGGTTTCAGGCCGCTATATAAAGGGTAAATAGACTGGCATGAAGTAAATCATTTAAATCTTAACATTATTTGAGTGCAGTTGCATTACCATTGAGTTTTAAGGCAATACACATTTCACACATGTATGTAAGTATATATTTTGTGTTTTAACAGTGTTGTACATGTACGAGAAACCAGATTGACAGGGATTATCTCTCACGTGATGATTGGATTATCTATGTTTCTCCTACCATACCCACTATCATATATACCGTCACCGGTGCTGGACGGTCTATTCCTTTACGTGGCTATAACTGCACTATATGGTAATCAACTGTTTGACAGAATTCAGCTTTTCTTCACAGAACAGGTATTTTGCTGAAATTTTGCTTATATATCTATAGCTCATGTCTCGTTTCCTTATTTTAATTAAAACTAGCTTTAGAAATAATAAAAACATGTACTCAATGTTTATTTTTTTTGTTATAATCATGCACCGCCTGTAACTCTGACCCCGCTCACGTGACATTGGGGGATCGCGGGGGTATCATCATTATTTATTCCAGTTGAAACTTTCACAATAATGTCAATGCTTCTGTTGTTTTTTCTTTCAGTCTGCCTATCCACCCAACCACTATATACGCCGGGTACCACAACGTAAAATCCACACATTTACAGCAATACAGTTGTTACAGTTACTGGTTCTCTGTATATTCGGATTCTCGCCTATACCTTACATGAAAATGGTCTTCCCTATACTTATCATGTTTCTGATGCCAATTAGGTAACGTAAATTATCATTGTATTTTATATCAAATCAGCCTTGTCACGACAAAACCAACATAATGGGTTTGCGACCAGCATGGATCCAGACCAGCCTGCGCATCCACGCAGTCTGATCAGGATCCATGCTGTTCGCTATCAGTTAATCTACTTGTAATAGGGTTGGTTAGCGAACAGCATGGATCCTGATCAGACTGCGCGGATGCGCAGGCTGGTCTGGATCCATGCTGGTCGCAAACCCATTATGTTGGTTTTGTCATGACACGGCTCAAATTAGTGACTAAATTATTATTGTTTTTATGATAAAATTGCATTTCTGTTAATCTGTGATATACTTTAATTCCTCATAGTAAAGATATTTGTCATCTGTAAGCTCTATGTGATTGTCTGGCAAGTCAAATATTATATGAAGCCTTCTATATGGTGATCTTTTTCGAATTATTTGGACGAATATTTACCAGCTTACTTGCAAAACCTATTTTATATTTAGTCATTATTCAAAACATTTCGTGTAATCTTAAAAGGAATTAGAAAAAATAGTTCGGTATTGGTAAAATAAGCAAAGGACAATAAAAATAAATGTATACATGAAATACACACATTTGGCCAAACATTACTTAGCCATGTAAAACCTATTTTTTTCATTGAATCACTCTGTTGCTTTGATGTTCATGTATTATTATATAACTTTCAGACACAAAGTGGTACCTAAGATTATTTCCCAGAAGTACCTGTCAGCCTTAGATGGTCATTAAATGGACAAAGAAATATTTTTAAGTGATAGCATTTACAGTTGATTCAGTATATAGACTTTTTGTAAATTAAGTGTACAAATGTATATACATATATACTTTGTATTCGGAAATATATATGATTTTATATTGTAAAATATTTTATTTAAAAAAAAGCCCACTTGTTTTGTCATTCATTCAACACATTTAGCAATACATGATATAATAAAATGTGTTCCTCCTTCTTATTGAAATGTTAGTGTGCTATGAAGTGCACATGTGATTTTTCAAGATCATGTACCACTTTACATCATGGTAAGTTTTATATTTCTGGCCAGAGATTAACGGTTTAACCCTTAACCAGCCGAAATTCCGAAATGGACTGTTCTAGCTTTCATTTGTGTAACTGTCCATTATTATTTTGGGATATTAAGATGAAAATTTAAAGTTAGTCGAGCGGGTCGGACTGCACAGGTATACAGGGTGGCCTGTCTCTATACTGGTGGCAAATGCTAATCACGGTTCCACCATATGGGTTTAATTGCTGTTTAGCATGAACAAAATAGCACATCATAGTACGACTGTAATTTAGGATGTTTTGGCTGTAATGTGGATGTACAAAGAAAGAGGAAAGCGCATGGCGACGCTTTAAAATAATTCCAACGCTTCAAAATAATTCCAACGCAAACAAATCTGTTTCTAAAGGTTGTGGCAAGCAATAAGTGGAAAGAAGTCATTGCATCTCCAGTAAAACCACTGATGTTGAATTTACAACAAGGGTGATCTTTTCTGTAACATTACATGAACGTCTGCCTGACTAGAAGTATTGAAAGAAAAACAACACACAGTATATACGTCATCAGTTTATATGCAAGATATCTAAAAGTCTTCATCATTATAAAGATACTACAAAAATTACAATATACATGTACTTTTCTGTAAGAAATACAAGATAAAAACATATACTACATGTGACAAAAATATCCGAAATTGTGACAAAACTGAACAATGAATAAACATATACAATATAAATTGAAATTCATCAATATCTTAACAAATTGTCAAAAACAAATCAAAGTCGCCAAATGGTAACCAGTCTTAATTATCATTAAGAGTAAAATTATCAAGAATCCACGAACAAATCAAGTCAATTCTTTTTTTCCCTATTGCTTCTGTAATGTAAAAATCTCATAACACTGCAATATTTGATTCACAGTGATAATTATTAAAAAAATCGAACTTTGTCGGACCAAACTAAAGACCTGCAAAAAGTAATTGCTCAATTTAAAGATAGGCAATTTTTGTTGGTCAAAATAAGCAATTTATTAAAACAGCAGAGCTACTAAATGAAGAATTAATTTTAGAAAACAAACAACAAGATTTGAAAAATTCTATGACAATGGAATAGAAAGTGAATATTATAAATCAACAGTCCTATATAAGCGACCTAGAAATGATGGCACAGTGAACTGTAGGCACTGACTTCAAGTTGGCATGGTATAGTATCATTAAATTTATTTCAGCATATATGATAATAATAATGACTTACAAGTCTTGACAACATTTCCTCTATTAGTAAACAAGACAAATAACACTACAACCCTGTACTTCTCACTCAAGTTCTGCCTATGTTTATTACAATAATCAGGTAAGAATCTAACCTAAACCATGTTTGATGTGCCAAGGGAAGACATTCTCATAACTTGAACTACCTTTGCAATGCCAAGGCAAGAGACTTTAGAAGCAACTTTCTCTCTAAGTTATCACAACCTTAGTTAAACGTTTCATAAGAGAGAAAAAAATGTATGTCAATATATTTCAGTTATAAGATAAAGTTAAGAATTGCTATGACACCACATGCATATTTTAATAGAACACAAATCAGATAATACATAATCCTAATGTCATTCTTCTTCATACAGAATATTTATGATTTATGATAATATCATAGTTTAAGGTAGTCTTACTGTAATGCTTTCCAGCCAAAAAAAATATTCTAACATTGGCCAAAATGGTAATTAATCGGTCTTTTCCAGAACGTTATTTTTCACAATCTTTGGTAATCAATGATTTTTAACCGTTTATAACCAGAATTTAGTACATACAAATAAAGGATGAGTGATTGTAAATAATCTATAACCGTAATGGTACAATATTGGCTGATGTTAATTTTTTTTGGCGGGAAAGCATTACAGTAAGACTACCTTTTAAAAGATACTACAAAAATTTTGAACAAAGTTATTTAATTATCGCATCAAATAATATCTTGCATACTCTACAGAGATATACTGTCTTTTTGAACAGTACTTGGGTTAGGGGTGTATATATGAATTCATTCTATATATTACTATGTGTATATCTGAACCATAAAACCTATACAACCCATTACTACAAGAATAAAACATAATGACTACAAAAATAATATGCATGAACCATGAGAATCATATATATATGACTGGACCATGGGAAAAAACATGAACATGGACCATTAGTTAAATATACATGAAATAAGTAAATAAAGATATTTGTCATGAGAGAAAAATTATCTATAGTTTATAATGTATGAAGTATCAAAATCTATGTGGGGACCTATATTAGATAAGTTATATAAACAGGATTTCAATAATGCAAATAAAGAAAGCAAGCATCAAAATTCAAAAGCTTCAGGAGAAAGATTTTTGTACATCTATCATAAAACAAAGGAAGTTGATACTATATCATTTCTAAAAATAATTTTGATAAAAAAAGCATCTACAACTAATGTACTAAGTAATGTGTATTTCAAGTATCAGGGAACAGTGATTTTATTACTTTTTATCCATTTCCCACTAATAACATAGGCCAAAAAATAAAATGAGAAAAATCATCAATTAAAAAAATTGTAACCTCATTAAATACAAGCGTTCAATTTAACACAACATCCAGAGCTATATACATGCAAGATCAACCAGTTTTTATCAGTTTGTTATGTATCAGAAATAAGAACTTACATAATGACTTAAGCACATATTAAACATTGCAGTTATTTGTTCCTGACCCCTTTCGCTGAAACAATAGGCTTGCAGAACTACAATTTTGAAATACTTATTCACAGTTCAAGGAGTTTCTAAATCACGTTCATTGTGACAGACTGATCATGAAATCTTTTCCACATTCATTTGCACTGTACCTCTGCTCTGGCATGTACAGAAGTTATCAGTTCCTTGCCAAAGTGAAGGTAACACTAATAAACTGCTTGACTGCCAGCCAAGGAACAACAAGAATGTCGAACGACACATATACCCCCCTTTCTAGCCATTGACTCACATAATTGGTAATTTTATTACAGAAACTTGCCAAAATGGGTACATGGAAGTGTTCAATTATGGAAAAATCAACGAAAGCCATTTTGACATTAAAGGCCCCTGTGACCTTGACCTTTGACCTAGTGACCCCAAAATCAATAGGGGTCATCTACTAGTTATGACCAATCACTATGTGAAATATGAAGACTTTGTGATACACACTTTTGAAGATAATCAGCGGAAATTATTTTGACATTTAAGGTCCCTGTGACCTTGACCTTTGACCTTGTGACCCCAAAATCAATAGGGGTCATCTACTTGTTAAGACCAATCACTATGTGAAATATGAAGACTTTGTGATAAATACTTTTCAAGATAATCAGCGGAAACCATTTTGACATTTTAAGGTCCCTTTGACCTTGACCTTTGACCTAGTGACCCCAAAATCAATAGGGGTCATCTACTAGTGAAGACCAATCACTATTTTAAATATGAAGACTTTGTGATACATACTTTTCAAGATAATCAGAGGAAACCATTTTGACATTTAAGGTCCCTGTGACCTTGACCTTTGACCTAGTGACCCCAAAATCAATAGGGGTCATCTACTAGTTATGACCAATCACTATGTGAAATATGAAGACTTTGTGATAAATACTTTTCAAGATAATCAGCGGAAACCATGTGGTCTACCGACGGACAGACCGACAGACAGACAGACCGACATTAGCAAAACAATATACCCCCTCTTCTTCAAAGGGGGGCATAATAAGGTTTTTAGAACTTTGCTCTGGTGACTTCAATGTGGCTTACTGTTGTGATCCAGAGCGTAAACTACCACCACCATTAGTCTGGTGAGCAGCACTGGCCTAGCTCTATGAAGGTGGTATAAGTGTTTTAGCAGCAAGCAGTCAGTAGTTTCAATTGATACAGTTATAACAGTGTGAACATTTCATAATTTCACTCTATGTAAACTGATTGTAACTTATATAATATAAAGGAAATACAACCATGATGTATTTAGCCCAAGTTGTGTTTAATTTTCCATATACATTCTATATTATACATGAAAGAGGCAAAAATTGATCTTAATGAACTGACCAAATATTACTAAGTATTGGTATATTCCTACAGTAGAACAAAAGTTGCCATCACACTTTTCATGATTACACTTTCAATAAAAATAACAAATTACAAACAGACTGAAGTATTGAAGTTGGAGACCTTACTATGGGATTATATAAACTATGGCTCTATAATTTTCACAATACTGAATAATGTTGTTATCTAAATGAAATTTGCATAATCTTAAGTTTGATTTATTCATATAATCTCTGTTTCAACCTAACTGAACAGCACACATTGAAATAGTCTTTAAAAACAAAGGTACAACCCAATTTAATCTAAACAAACAATTCCAACCATTTCTGAGTAAACAACTTTGTTATGAATTAACATGCAACTTTTACCAAATAAAAGTCGTGTGAAATTTTAAATAAATGACAGAAATATAACACTGTTTCAGCGCTACAATTATAAACAAGAGGGCATGATGGCCCTGAAGGTCGCTCACCTGTATATAGCCCCCCCCCCCCGGGCCCAATTTTTACCCAAGGGCTAAAATTTGATGATAAGAAGATGTTTCATGCTAAACATCTAAGTTCTAGCTCATTGGGTTTTTTAAAAGAAGATTTTTTAAGTTTTTACTATATATATACACATATAGTTAAAACAATGACACCCCTGGGGCCCGGGCCAGTTTTGACCCCCGGGCTTTTATTTGAACAAACTTTGTAGATATTTACTTAAAGATGTTTCATGTATAATATCTAAACTCAAGCTATTTGGTTTTTGATCTTCAAAGAAGATTTTTAAGTTTTTTTGCTATACCACGTATAAGGAAAATCAATGACCCCGGGGCGGGGCAGTTTTGATCCCAGGGCTTTTATTTTGAAACATACTTGGTAGACAACCCATTAGAACATGTTTCAATGCTTTTAAATATCTTATGCTCTTAGCTCTTGAGTTTCTTTAAAGAAGATTTTTGTTTAAGTTTTTTACTCATAATATGCATATAGGGAAAAATCAATGACCCCCTGGGGCGGGGCCCAATTTTGACCCCAGGGCTTTTTATTTGAACAAAACTTGGTAGACACTCATAAGAAGATGTTTTCATGCTAAATATCTTAGCTCTAGCTCTTTGGGTTCTTTAAAAGAAGATTTTTTAAGTTTTTACTATATGCACATAGGGAAAAAATCTATGACCCCCTGGGACGGGGCCAATTTTGACCCCCAGGGCTTTTATTTGAACAAACTTGGTTTAGACATTCACTAGTAAGATTGTTTCATGCCAAATATCTAAGCTCTAGCTCTTACGGTTCTTTAAAAGAAGAATTTTTTTTTTAAGTTTTTACTATATGCATATAGGGAAAATCAATGACCTCACGGGGCGGGGCCAATTTTGACCCTCAGGGCTTTATTTGAACAAACTTGGTAGACACTCACTAGAAGATTTTCATGTCAAATATCTTAGCTCTAGCTCTTTGGGTTCTTTAAAAGAAGATTTTTTTTTAAAGTTTTTAACTATATTGCATATAGGGAAAAATCTATGACCCCCTGGGGCAGGGCCCAATTTTGACCTCAGGGCTTTTATTTGAAACAAAAAACTTGTAGACACTCATTAGAAAGGTATGTTTCATGCTAATATGCTTAGCTCATAGCTCTTTGGGTTCTTTTAAAGAAGATTTTTTAAGTTTACTATATGCATATAGGGAAAATCAATGACCCCCTAGGGCGGGGCCAATTTTTGGACCCCAGTGCTTTTATTTGAACAAACTTGGTAGATCATTCATAGAAGATGTTTCATCGCCAAATATCTAAAGCTCTAGCTTTTACAGTTCTTTTCAAAAGAAGATTTTTTAAGTTTTTACTATATGCATATAGGGAAAATCAATGGACCCCCGGGGGCCGGGGCCAATTTTGACCCAAGGGCTTTTTTATTTGAACAAGCTTGGTAGACACTCACTAGAAGATGTTTCAATGCGCCAAATATCTTAGCTCTAGCTCTTTGGGTTTTTAAAAGAAGATTTTTTAAGTTTTTACTATATGCATATAGGAAAATCAATGACCCCCTGGGGCGGGGCCAATTTTGACCCTAGGGCTTTTATTTGAACAAACTTGGTAGACACTCATTAGAAGATGTTTCATGCCAAATATCTAAGCTCTAGCTCTTACGGTTCTTTAAAAGAAGATATTTAAAGATTTTTCTGCATGAAATGGAATTCTTTGAACAATCTTGATAGAGCTTCATACAAAGAGTATTCCTGCCAAGTTTCATTAACATTGGCCTTGCGGTATCATAGAAGATGTCCTTAGAATATTTAAAATGTGGACGGACGACAGACGACGGACGCCATTTGGTTGGCCATCCTAAAAGCTCACCTGCACTTTGTGCAAGGTGAGCTAAAAAATCAATTGTAAAATGTATACAACTTCACTGTTCATACAACCTTAGACTTCTTAAAACATAAATTCTAATTACAACAGAAAATCTTTCAAATTAAGCCCCCAAACCCCCCGAAACAACTGAATCTCTATGGTCCCTCTCACACTTTGTTCATGTATCCATTATTTATATACCATACTAGATTTTAGTTCATGATTTTAGTTTGTGTCCTATTGCCAAGCCCAAAAAATGTAACTTCAAAATAATTTGGGAAGATACAATATGCTATAAACGCCCCTTTATATATCAGATCAATATAACATCTTTGGTATCCTAATACTAAGTCTTATAAACTGTTATAGTAGGTTTTTACTTAAATCACACAATCTATATATTATTATATATAAACCAATCATTGACGATGCACTGCAGCAATGCTGTATCTTGTATTTTTACATAAATTCATTTAAAACAGTAATGCCTTTATCTCCTTAACAATAATATTGAATAACGAGTTTCTATTACACTAGCCTGTATCCACAATAATACACACATATCAAACAAAATTAATAATGTGTAAATTCTGAACTAATAAATCATAACTTTATTGTTGTAACAAGATACTATAGATTTGCACTATCACCAATAACATTGTCATGACTAGTTTGTACACATTAAATGCAATCTTCCTTCTCCATTATAGCCTTTTTGTAAACCCCTTTTTACATGCTAAATCTGTGACTTCTGTGGAATGGATTTACCTTGCCATGAATCTATGACTGCCCATTATTCATTTACAACCTTCAAGATCAAAATCAAAAATGAGAGACCAACAGAAAACAATGGCTGGTTTTAAAGTAACAAAAACCCAGTTAAGGTCATATGGTGACTTAATAGCTTCACTGGTTGTAAAAGATGTCTGGTGCTCCTCCGTGCATTATTTCAGGTACAAAATGGGCACCTGAGTAGAACCAGTGACCTTCAATTAGCTTCCATGGTTCTTTACAGATGACATTTATAAATATGTCACTGTTCCTGCCACGGCTTATCATGAAGTTTATCTCTTCAATCTCACTGTTTTTCATATACCCTACTTTGTAACAAAAAACTCTTTCTTAAATACATTAAATTGAGATCTAAAGTAATAAAACACAAATTTGAGCATGGGAACTAAAACTCCACTTTAATATAACACAACAGATCTCTTTCATATAACACTCGGTAATTACAAAGGCAAAGTCAGTGCAACAACTTAACAAAAAGAAAAAAAAATGAAACATTTACAGGAAAATAATTGTTTAATAAAATGTTTCATAAAAAAAATGACCCGAGACCATTATCAATTAAAATAGCACTAATCATGACTCAGTGAAAACAGACAATACTATTACGCTTAACATCTGTTAATATATGTAGTCATCAATAAATTCTAAACAGGAAACACTAATATCTCTACTCAGAAGTTAGCAATATTTCTAGTCCTATTAAATAGCATGCAAAATTCATTAATGAATTATTCATACTTTGACATCATAAGCTTTTCTGAGCAAAAGCAAGGGAGATTATGCTTCAGTAAAGCTAAACTAGGGGAAGTAATGCAAAAATGATAAAGGTATGCATATCGTACTTTAAATATACTAGTTATACATCCATTTTCTACAGCTAATATAATAAGCATAGCTTTAAAATATACAAGGTGTGTAAACAGGTCTGTCAGGGAAATAATTGTACAATGTCAATGAAATAAAACAACTATCCATTTCACAAAGTTTAAGGTATCCAGTAACATGTATTTCATTAGATTTCAGGTATTATTTTTTAGATTAAGGATTGTCAAATGTTAGACCCAGGTGCCAGCATGTGCCTGAAATATTGCTTAATATAAGCATTACACTTATTTCTGGACAAATAATAACAACAAATCAACCCTTCGTTCTAAAAATTCAATCATTCTTCCTAAAAATGGGTATCTATGAAAATTATGGAAAGTTTGATGTTCAAAGTTTAATGTAGATCAAATATACTCCCTTTTCTTAATCCCATAGTCTCTTTTTCCATAGATTAAACTGTTTACACATCTTATAAAGTTTAAGAGAAACATTTAAAAAGCACTGTTATATTAGAAATTTGTACATGATTACAGTTTATAACTGACTTTAATTACAATGTCAAGATGCCTGATAAAGCTATAACTTTATGAAAGAAATTGCAATCTGCCCGAAAACCGTAAACCCACCACAACTCTCTAAATATGTTACTATAGAAACATTTATGTAGCAAAGAACAAAAAGATAAAACTTACAACAAAAAAATCATTAACACATTATTACCTGTAAGAATAATAAGTGCATATCCTTTTTTGGATTGGTGCCTTACCTTATCAAATTTTGTAAGATAAAAAAAAAATTAGATATGATAATCTGATTATTTTTCTGTCAAAATACAACCATTATTTCTTTTATGTGATTATAAATATAACTCATAACAATATGTTATTAAACTGCATACATAACTATGTTTTACAAGCCATAAAAAACAGAATCAGCAAAAATGTGAAAATTCCTAAAAGTTTGTAAATCCCAAATTATAGCAAGCAAGGAAGAATACCAATTCCAGGTAAATAAGAAAAATGACAATTAACTACAATGACCTTCGACCCTATATAAACTTATCACTTACTTAAGTAGTTAATAACAATCTTTCAGACAAATTTTACATTTTTATTTTCTTCTTATCTATTTTAAGCATTAGCATTTTTATAACTGAGTATACTGGTACATTTACGAATGTACTTTTCCATTTATATATCTAAATATTACCATGAAATATTCTATTTCTTTTTCAAGTAAAACACACAAAATAATTCCTGCAAAATATAAATATACGGTTTACAGTTTTATTCAGGGTTACTATCGTACACCCGAAGCCTCTTTGTAGTCTGTTCCATCAAGCGTGAAGAACTCCTCGAGCTTCCACTGCAGTGTCTCAAATGTAGGTCTCTCCATTTCCTCTTTCTTCCAACACTCTAGCATGATCTCGTACAACGGCTTGGGGCACCCCTGTGGACACGGCATACGGTAGCCATGTTCTACTTGGTTCAACACCTCAGCATTTGTCATACCTGAACAATATCAACAATAAGGTGGTCAACATCTATATGTCATTAGTAACAAGTTACAAATTGTTAGTAAACTATTCTTTACTTTAAGGTAAACACAATTGAGTTTATAACTTCCTTATTTCCTGTATACAATGTAGATCATTTTAAAAATAAACACAAAAGTATAGACAATGATAATTTCCCTTAATGCAATAATGTAAGAATATTAGAAATACATCTATGTAAAGTAGGGAAACTGATAACTTTATCCACAGTTCAAATTAATATCAGAGACTAAATATCTAATAATTTTGGACAGTTATTTTCTTTTGTAAAATATGTCCTCTCCATTTTTTAAGAAATTTACCTGGATATGGAATCCTGCCATATGTGACAATTTCAGTGAGCAATATACCAAACGACCATACATCTGATTTGATTGTAAATCTATTATAACTAGCAGCCTCTGGAGCTGTCCATTTAATAGGAAATCTGGCTCCAACTCTAGCCTCATATTCATCCTCCTATATAACAGTCAAACATAGATATATGTTAACAGACACTTTATATGTTAACAGATTCCTTATATGTTAACAGACATTTACATGTAAACAGTTAAGACATTTTATATGTTTACATTCATTTAAAATATATAAACAGAAACTTTATATGTTAAAAGACATTTTGTATGTTGACAGACATTTAACATGTTAAATGTTAACAGGCAATTCATATGTTAACATTCATATTTTATGTTAACAGGCATTTTATATGTTAACAAATTAAAAGACATTTAATGATAACATGCATTTTATTTGTTAAAAGACATTTTATACATGTATGTTAACAGGCAATTTACATGTTAACAGATATTTTAAATGTTAACAAACAATGTCTGTCTGTCTGTCTGTCTATATAAACAGACATTTTAAATTTTAACTCAGTATAGACCTTTTACAAAGTCTCAGGTATATACCATGTTAACAAACATATTCATGTTATGAGAGATTTCACATGTAACAGCAATTCATTTTATGTAATGAAATGACAGAAAATGCTATATACACATAAGTACTTTAGTATCCTATAATTATGTTAACAGTCAGTGTCACTAAATTATATATGTTAATTGATATGTGAAGGGATATACTCATGTTAATAGAAAACACATGTTAAATGACAGTCTACAGGAATAAAATAAAAGGACATTCTTTACTTAAACTCACATCCCACATTTTAATAGACATTTTTACATGTGAACCAACATTTGAACCAACATAAAACTAATCAATGGCAGAATAAGCTGCTAATTTATCCAAATCCCAATCAAAATCATTAATCACAAGTATGATATAAAATGAGATAAGAAAACAGTTGAATTGTACAAACTGTCTCTTGATTTTAAATCACTTTGTATATTACATTTATAATACATTAATTATATTAATTGGTTAACTGGTTACCGATAATATAAGTATGAAAGTTTCAGACATTTAACCACCAATTTGCCAACAATTTCATTTTTTAAAAATTTAATGAGAGAATACACTGAACCATACAATTAAACCTGTTTGACAAAAATAGCCTCAACATTAAAACGTCAGCACTTCAATCTCTAATGAAAGCTGATTGTGTGCGGTGAAGTGTAACGAGAAGAAAACAAAATAGGACCGTTTGTTGATGTAAACTCCAGAACACTGGATTTTACAACAGTTACACTGTTAATATAAAAATTAATAACATTTGTAACTTTACATTTACATCACATGCCATGTTCCCTTCCTTCATTTTTGTATCATTACAAAACAGTGCACTTATGTTTTGGCAAATTTTCAAGGCCCAAGTCTCCACTTCATTTAAACAAAAAAACTTATCCATTTAAACTAAAATCTTATCAAGCATTTTAGAAAAAAAATGCACATAAACATTGAAGTTTTATAAACTAGTTGAAGAAACAAATGTCAGTTTAAACTGACACTAACTGGCATATTGGGTTCAAATGTGTTGTGAAACAATGCCAATACAAACACCTGCAATACCAATTCACACAGACCAAATCTACCATAAAAATATCAATGAAATATATTTTTGGATCATTAGGTATTTAACACCTTGTATAATTACATTATTAGAAATAAATGACTACCTTAAAGTGTAAAATATATATGATATGTTCAATGAACAGTTACTGCATGTAATTTAAGGTTGGGTAGATAAAACCACCCCCAAGTTACCACAAGACATATCAATTATTATACAAATAGCATTAGAAACAACTATTAATCTACTCTGTAAAAAAGTACATTTTCCCACGATTTTCAGATAAGATTTTGAAATCATTTGATTAATTCAAAACTATTCAAATAATATTAAACAGTTCAGTACTTTTCTAAATCTCTGATTATATTTTCATTTTCAAGTCTTCATTTTTTACCTCCATGTTTTTTTTTATTACATGGCCAAATTTGTTCATTTCTATAAAATTAATATATAAATAAGTCTTTTAGAATTGTCTTGCTTTTAAGATTTTACCACTTCTACCAGTCTTAAAAGTAACTAATTCATGATGCTGAAGTTTAAAATCTTTGTTGAAAATTAAAAATACGAGCCGCGTCATGACAAAACCAACATAGTGTGTTTGCGACCAGCATGAATCCAGACCAGCCTGCGCATCCGCACAGTCTGATCAGGATCCATGCTGTTCGCTTACAAAGTCTATAACAAGTAGAGAAACTGATAGCGAACAGCATGGATCCTGATCAGACTGCTCGGATGCGCAGGCTGGTCTGGATCCATGCTGGTCGCAAACCCATTATGTTGGTTTTGTCATGACGCGGCTTATTTAATGTAAACAATGTCCCTGAATGCTATCATCACATGAATCAATGTATTAAACATAATAGTGTTGAGTAAACTGGCTTCATTCATTAACATATAATACATACATGTACTTAAATCACGTATTTTCTACATGAATGAGTAATAATTTATCAAGATAGTAACTACTGGCTACAGGATAAATTTCCTTTATTCAACTTTTGCTAAAATCATGTTTAAAATTTCAAATAAACCACAGATACTACGTAAATTACAATTTATGTTTGTTTGTCACCATATCTGTTTGAAATAGTAAGATTTTGCATTGATGAATCATCCGGCATTTGTCGATGAACATTAAAATTGCGATATGAATAAAGTTGTTACTTGAGATGACTGGGAAGTTTATCACTTTATGCAAATCCCACAGTTTAAAAGAAAATCAAACATATTTATTGGAAAACAATGCTTTTCAAAATGGCATACATTCAGTTTTAGATATTTTCTTTATAAAATGATGATTTTCTGTGTTTTTTTGTGAGCATTGCCTTGTTGCTTTTTGTACGCTGAAATTTGGTTTTCCTCACAAATGAATGATACACAATGCTTGTTTGTTTGATTGGGTTTTACCTCACACCAACACAGTATAGGTCATATGGCGTCATTCCAGCTTTACTTGTAGAGGAAGACCTCAGGTGCCCTTCCGTGCATTTCAGGCAGGAACGGGCACCTGAGTAGAACCACCGATGTTCCATAAGCTAGCTAAATAGCTTCCTTACATGAAAGAATCCAAAGTAACTGTAGGGATTTGAACCCAGCGGTGAGGGGCAAGTGGTTTGAAGTCAACAACCTTAACCACTCAGCCATGGACGCCCCAATGCTTGAGTAAACTCAAAGCCAGTCTTAATCTTTAAAATTAGCTAGATAACAATGACAACAAACTTTATTCTACATTTTACAGCAAACGAATCTACCAGACGTTATTAGAAAAATATTTCCTTCACCACACTTGCTACAAACTCTAGTCAAACCTTTCCCTACACCAGATTACATCGTGATCATCTAGACTATATGGTTTGGAAACATCATCTAACAGTGAACCGTGTCATATAAAACAGCCGTGATGTTAGACGAAACTTCTACCAAAATATCACCTACATTCACCTTGATAACTCTCGCCAATCCGAAGTCTGCTATCTTAACATTGTTACCATCACCAACAAGAATGTTCCTCGCTGCCAAGTCACGATGTATGTAGTTCTGAGACTCCAAGTACGCCATTCCACTTGCTATCTGTGCCCCTATATCTATCAGTTGTGGAAGTTTGAGTGGTCTTCCTTTACCTGTATTAAAGTATTAAAAACCCTTTTTAAATGGTTTTTTTTCAACAGAGGGGTAAACCTTATTTGAAATTAGCACTCACCAAAATCTCAACATCATAATCACACCGAAAAAATCAAATGACATTCCAATATTTTAACCATCTTTGTATTTTGCATGAAAAGAACAAATGTAATCATCTGTTCATATGTTTGTTTGTTTCATTTTACGCCTTTTCCCAACAGTATTTCAGTCATATAGGCGGGTAGTTTCCTAACCATCGTTCCTGGAGAGTTACACCAGTACTAGACTTACTTCCTCCATGCTAAACTACCAAAGCATCTCCCGGGGATCGAACCCACGCCAGAGAGGTAACTGGATTAGAAGTCATCAACTCTAACCCCTCGACCATGGAGGCGGTTTATTAAATAAGGGTTGAGTTGTAATTTGTTTAAATGATATACATACCCTGAAGATATTCTAGTAAACTGCCATGCCTCATTAGCTCTGTGATGATATAAATAGGTTCATCCTGGGTGCAGACAGCATACAGCTGGATTAATTTCTGATGACGTAACTTTTTCATAATCTGAGCTTCTGCCAGGAAATCTTTTGGGTCCATAGTACCTGTATAATACAGCAAAATATTTAATATTGTACAACTATACTTTCATCTTTATCAAACAAAAAGTTAAAACTCTTAGTCAAATTTTGCATTGTTTTGATCAATTTTGCCATATTTTATTTCAATGTAAATTGACAGTAACAAAACTCTTCTCTGCAGATGAATATTGTAAGTCTTTAACAATTTTCATTTTAATCTATGAATATTCAATAAAGGATGGAGCAAACTCAAAATAAAGTACTTTAAAAAATACACTTTAAACATTGGTAATAAACAAATATCTGCCTATATCTTTTGAAATTTATTTTCTTTACCCATATGAAAATTATGCTTATTTCATCTCACAAATTAATCATTAAATCTCATATTGTTGTCTAGACAGTTTGGGCAATAACACATACCTGGTTTGAGTGTTTTGATTGCAACTGGTGTTGTGTTGTTCCATAAACCTTCCCATACCTCTCCAAACTGACCATGTCCAATCTTACGTAGTAATTTCAGTGAGGATTTGGGAATTTCCCATTGGTCCTTTGTATTGTATGATAATCCTACAGTCATTGGCTTCTCAACCTAAATATAGAATACAGTGATGTAAATAATACTGAAAATAATATATTATTATTAAAATATAGTTTTATAATATCCACTTTACATTGTCACAAATTTTTAAGAGATCTACATTTAGAGCTCTATAAACTGTCCTTAGATACACTTTATCATGTGTGCATATCTACTGATCTTAATTAGATTACAATTAGATTCTCAATGTGTGTATATGTATTCTTAAGATGAAACCATAGGACCGACAGACACAAAAATGAAGCACTGAAGTACTTAGCGTCTACAGATTCACAAGTCTTAAACATTTTTCTTCATTTATAAATCAGGGGATCATACAACACAATCACTGTCATTTTCTCATCACCAAACATTCACAGCAAACATATATATTTTGGTGCAAAAAACTGAAATCAATTTTAGAAAATGTCCTTTGTCAAAGATGGAACAGCCTTTCTTACAACACAAAATTGTTACATGTACATTCTGTAACCATACAAGAAAACTGACACTATAATTTCTCACAGCAATCTTGTCCCATTTATCTAATTCTACTACATGGATGATACAAAGAACAAATAAATACCAAAGTGTGACCAAGACAGAGTGAACTTTTGAATTTTGTGGCCCAAAATTCACCAATCAAATTGCAGCAGAGGCAAGAATAAATTGTGAAATTTCAGCAGATCATATACCTCAGAGTCACAGTCAGACTCAACTAATAATGTACAATCAGAGTCCTTGAAAATGAAAAAGGATTAGTTTTATAAATGTTAAGAAATACAGTTCATTAACACACAAAACTTTCCATAACTTTGATATAACTTTAACATTGATTTTAACTTTATAATAATTCATTCATTTAGTGTATTAATATTACATTAATTGGACCCCATTGGAAATATGCTTTAAGCTGAACGGGCAATCCTTATGTAACATAAAACATACTACTTTATTTTATAATTATTTTTGTTGCATTGTCACATATATGCATGCTGATATACATGTATGTGACAATATTGTATGTGTTTCTATGTACATTGCTCTGAATAAAGTGATACAATAATTACTTTTATAATGAATACTTCAGACAGGTACCCTGGTCTGATCTTGGAATCGAGGAGCATTCTAATTAGATGCAGTCCTAATATGTGATTTTCCTGACCTAGGTGTACACATATGACCCAAGTATATGATGTAAAAGACTTTTAGTTTTTGCAAACAATAACATGACAGGTATCACAAGACACCTACTTAAGTACACACAAATTAATGTGCTAATATGACATCATGAGGTTATGTCTAGAAAGTTCTTAAATTTTTTGCTATGTACAGCTTTATTCAAAAAGAAAATTTTTCATGAAAGATAATACCTATCATACAAATTAATGAATTAGTAAATTTATGTTTATTTGTATATTTTTTTTCAACTAATCAAGGGTGCAACAGTTACTACCAAAAGCTGAAAAAGCTGTGAAAGCAGAAATATGAATCTAAAGGAAATTATCAGTCTATGATTAAGGACTATACAAACATATATTCAGCAAGTAAGACAAATTTGGATACTGATTTTGACAAAACTCCCACACCGAGTCCTACTAATTTGTTTTCCTGCATCAGGGCATTAGAAAACTTTTGGATGATCATATATGGTAAATTATAGGAGTTCCCATTGTTTGAAGGAAAAGCAGAGATTAGACAACTAACCTGTGAACAAAAATGTCTTGAGGAAGAATAAGGTAACTACGTACAAAATACCTATGGCTTAAATACTTGTGTACAAAGTAGAGGCTTAAAGCAAGCAAGTGTTCAAAATGTCTTGAGGAAAGCCAAATTATATGTACAAAAAGATCACCGCATGAGGTACTTACACTCCTGTGTAAAGGGTGAAAACTTTAAAATTTAACTTTGAGTGTATATGGCTTTTATGAACCTCACATCTCCATAAAATAAATAACTTTGTGGTTGTGAATGTTCAAGATATTGGTATTTAGATATTTAAAATAACCAATTTCAACAAAAATGGGGAATGACCTTATGCCTTTTCCTGATAAGCAAGTATACAAAAGTGTACCAGGAAGGCCGAATTATTTATGTACAAAATAACCTTTAGGAAACAGATACACCTGTGTATGAAATATCTTGGAGAAGGCTAAAGTAACTGTGTACAAATTCATTGGAGGAAGGCTGATGTACCAGTGTACAGAATTGTCTTCAAGAACAAACAGAATAAATTATTTGCACATAGTCAAATATGTCTAAATAAAAGAATAAATTACCTGCGTGCAAGCTTGTCTTAGATTGACGCACAAGCCGTCAGCATCCGCACTATAATGGTCCACTAATTCAGCTAATGTTCTGAATGTTATACGTCGTGCTATAAAGAAACCTCCTTCATCTAGTTGTCTTATTCTATAGTGCTTTACAGTGTCTCCATCTCGCACTGGAAATAATACAGAGAAATTATATCATATATATGTATTATTCCATATAGTACTGAGCTATTAAGTTCTTTATTTGATGCTTTCAATTTGTATTAGCCTTTGAATAGTGGAAAACAAAAAAGTAAATATTCAACCAGAATGAGGACATCTGCACAAATGTAAATGAAACAGTACTAAACTCATATACACTTATATATCAACAATGTTTCATAACAACAAAGACAGATTGTAAAGTCAATAAAACAAATAACCAGTTTATAGCCATACAAAATAACCAGTTCAGTAAAATGTATTTTCAACTTAAATTAGAAACTGTGACCTAAGTCCAATTGAAAAATTACTTTAAAGGTCAAATACAACAGATCTCAGGTGAAACTACTCTGAAAAAGACTGAGGAAAATGTAGTATACTGGATAATTGAGGTATCAAATTCAAGGACCACAACTCTTTGTTTTATGTTTACCCAATACAAAAAATTAAAATCAATATAGACAGTTGCAAGTTTTTGTGGCATGACAGTATTAATATACCATTTCAAGTTTCATAATTGTCCTCTACAATACGGTAAGTTATATTTGTGCCAGAATCACATCAAATGCCACAGTCCAGTTTCATTATTTTACAGTTAAAAACTAAAAAATTCAATTCTCTATCAAAATTGAGCTTCATCAAAACTGCCAGTTATTTTTGACAGATCAACAAAAAAAATCCAACATCTTTTTATTCAATAAAAAGCTAAATTAATAGTTTGTGCTATTTTTATTTTTCTTCCTTTGAAGGACTGCCCTTCACTTCCTACAAAATATATCAAAAATATATCTCAAAAGGTATGAAAACTACTTTTCAAACTACTTTTAAAGCAATATTTTTAAAATTCAATTTTCACCTTGAAGTTAATGAGGTTACTGTAAATTTTAGAGATTTTCTGACTTTAACATATATCCAATTAAAAACCAACAGAAGCTGCAGCTGTCATTAATTATTGAGGGAAATCTCTACTTCACTTACACAATTTCCACTTGAAAAGAAAAAAACCCTAGTGGATATATGCAATACATATATACGCTGAACTCCATTGTAAACTTAAAACCTCTCAAATATCTCTTTAATTAGTTCTACTATTTAAGAGCATAATGTTAAGAGCTACTAGAGTACAAGTTGGCGTTACAGTACAAAAATGAAAAACCAGAATGTATATTTTTTCTTTTTTACCAACTGAAGCAAGAAAAGTGAAAAGAAAAAGTCAACTTTAGGCGATATTCCCTGTAAACAATTATCAGTTCTATACATTTATGATTTACATCATAACATTCAAAAGCCTGCTTGCTTATAAAAATCTTAGTCAGGGGTTTTGAATCTAGCGTGATTTTGGTTCTGTTTTCTCAGCAAACATCTGACATGCTACATGTAAATAAGAAAGATAACTTTATTCATAAAGTTCCTAAAATGCAAACACTTACCCTACACAAATGCTTAACATAGATTCTTTCAGAGTAGCAAGCCTCGATTGTTCTCAGCTAGATATTGGATTTTGAAGGGCTATATTGTATTATTATGTCAAAATCCATGACACAGTTACATGTATGAATTTTTGCATGGAAACAGTATTGAATATCATAATTATACATGTTACGATGTATAAGTATTCCTAATTTTCAAGCAATGCCTTAAAGACTGTGATGTATAGTAGAAACAAATTTAAATAGTTAGAAAAGTTAAAGCAGGAATAAGAATGAATATTTTGCAAAATAAGTATGCAACCTGTATACAAGATTAGGAGATTGATGTAACAAGCATTATAAATTTCAAAGTAACACTTTTTTTAAGTTAAGTGAAAAATCACAGTGACACAGAGTCAGACACATGGACATGTGTAAGTCTAGGTTAAATGTGACTATTTCATCATCTTAGTGCTGTAACAAGGTTACCTGTAACTCTTATTAAATTATATAAGGAGTTTACCTATTACTGCAATAAGGTGATGATTTTTTTAGAAATACCATGGTCGTTATTTTACATACAGCTGAAGGGTTTACTGTAAATTACAGTAAATTTGACCCTACCCCTGTCCTGTATGAAATGTGGAAATGCATAGATCCCTGACCTGTCTAATTCTAATTATCAGATTAGCATATACCCACAACATATTTGTTAATAAAAGAGCATATGTCAATGTTTGCACATGGTGAAATCTATTGTTATTCAAATAAAAAGTCAGAGAAGGGATATATCAATTGACAGTGGCCACAGCTTACACAATTCAAAAATAACAAATACAAAAGAATTATCTGATAACAGAGTCAGCGGAAATTGCTTTTTAAATCCCCCTAGATTTCTTAAAGATACCAAGAAAAGAAGAACAATGAAGGTCTACATGCCCATATTGATGATATTGAAGATGCTTGAGATTAAAACATTGAAAATACTATAATAATATATGATCAAGCATTACATAAAAATAGAATGAATCATTATTATTGTTATCCAGTGATTCTAAAATACAACATTTTTATTCTGTTATATGTAAGAAAAAAGTAGAAGTGTTAATATATTACTTTCTTTGAGCATTCTTATGAAACTGAAAACAATCTTAGATGAAATGAAAATTCAATCAACTTTAGTCTTTAATCAAATGTTGTTACTGGTAATAGCAAAATCATGAATAGTCTGCTGAACTTTTGCCTATTATTTTTGTAAGTTAAAGATTTTGGCTATTATTTTTTTAAGTCATTGTGAGCCCTGCTGTAATCGTAGTGTAGGACATTGTATGGCAGTGTTGTTTCTGGATCAAAACATTTCAGAGACACACAGGCCAGTAGAAATACTGAGTAGAATAAAATATTTAAGAACATTTGGAAAAATTAAGGGACTTAAACAGTATGTCTAGCTTGACTTTTCACAACCATCTACAACTTTTGAAGGATTACTACCGGAACTTGTTGAAATTGACAATACTTAACACAGAAATCTGTTGCTTTTTTTAAAATTTCTATTTCAACAGTTTGCTTGAATGCACATTTTTTAAGACTGTCCATTTGGCAGGTATACTAAATCATGGAAATGGTACATGTATCCTTTCTGGGAATACAATCATGTATATAATCATAATGCATACCCCATAATAAAAGTCAACTAAAGCCTTCTTTTATATACATTAAATAATACCATAAGTCTTCAATGACAAACAATATAAGTCTGAAATATTAAAAATAAAAACTTTACCATTGTTTATTTATTCAAGATAGGATATGAATAGTTTTCCTTACTATAATAATATATTCATACATCAGTTAACAAAGCCCAAGGTCAATAAAAAAAACCCTTGCACTAAACAACTTATAAAAATTCAGTACTGAAATATGAGACACAAAATAAAACTACAATGTATACTCATCAATGATAAAATCTACAAATTGAGACCAAATTTATTTAAATAAAATCCAGGAACGACCTCAGATGGAAAATTTGGGAAAAAATCACTTCTCCCTTCAAATACATGTATAATTGGGAGAAGTGATGCTATTGTGAGCCCTTAAAACTTCACAACATATAAAATCCAACAATATGATTGGGGTTTTCAATTTCATTTTAAGACATTATCATATGAATACTTCTACAAATTTCAGGATTGTATATATCATCATACATATGACAAACACATGTCAAGGTAAGAATTTTGTATCCGCCCACAAAGTGATAGCAAATTTTATTTTTGTGTGCAATTATCTAATAATAAAATTTACCATTTGCATACATGTAAGGTAAGTAAATACTTACTATTCAGTTTGTAAGGACATTTATTCTTTGGAGATTCAACAAAGTCTAAGTCTGTTTCAAAGTCTTTCTTTTAACACTATTACCATTCGAGCCATGATAAACTGATCTTATATATAATATATATTTCATAATAATTTTTTTTAACCATAAAGATAATCCAGATGAACTTACATTTATACAAGATATAATGATGAATGATTATACACAAATATGGATAATATGATTTGATATGTGCTGAAAAATTAATATTTGCCTCGGTGATAAGCCATATAAAAGCTTTTTATAAATTATATAAAACAGACATAAACTTTTTAGCTGTGAATATAATGTAACATGCACTGTAAAATTGATACTGACAGCTCTAGGCGATATAGTAAGAAACAGAAATTTGTGTTTTACCTGACAAAGAATAGTCATTGCGTCGACTTTCACTGTCTCTGATCAAGAAAGCACCATGCTCATTATCTAGTGATAGTAATTTCTTTTCAGCTTCTACTCTTTTTATTTTACCAAAGTACCATCTGAAATAGACCATGAAATAATGTGTTAATACTGTTATTGTACACAAACATGATTTGAAGTTTTTGGGTGTTTTTTTTTTAACTTCTCGATCTTAGCTTAGACTAGACCAGAATTAACTAGGTCTAACTCTTATCTTTCACTATTTTGTTTTGTTTGTCAATTACAGTTTACACTGGCACCCTGTTATAATGCTCATGTTGTAGTTAACTAGTTTGCTCATCTGACTAGACAAACTTGTGGGAAATGAACTAAGTAGAAGACCAATGGAAAATGATCACAAGATCTTATTACATAATAGTAACTGTAACATAAAGACATGTTTGTTTTTATATGTCACACCAACACAGTTTAGGTCATATGGCAGCATTCCAGCTTTATTGGTGAAGGAAAATCTCAGGTGCCCTTCTGTGCATTATTCCAGGCAAAAATGGGCACCTGAGTAGAACCACCCGCGTTCCATAAGCTAGCTGGATAGCTTCCTTACATAAAAGAATCTCCTAAGTCCCTGAAGGGATTCAAAACCACAGCAGTGAAAGGCAATTGGTTTGAAATCGAGGACTTTATTCACTCGGCCAAGAACGCTCACACAGTCATAAAATATAATCAGGTACTGTAGTATTGTACAAATGGAATTTTGATTTGGGTTTAAGTTTAACAGTTTCAGCAAATCAGTATTATCACGGCTTAGAATTTGAGCTAATTAAGGATACTATAACGGTTTTTTACCTGACTGATCATCAAGTCAAAACAAATAGGAGTGGAGTGAAAGATGTTGCATGCTTTTTACATCTCTGGCACCCTCCAGCAATCTGTTGGCTTTGTTAAACTAGCATTATAATGGAGTCACTTTGCATGTTTAATAATTTTTTAAGATTTAAATACATTTTTATTTTTGGAAACCAAGACGAATGAATGTTATTCTTATATAAAGTGAGTGTAACAGCAGGGTCTAGTATTATAACTAAGTGGCAGTAAATATATATTATGAAAGTGTCTCTCACTCTCTGTATTCTGTTTATATTTGATGAGCATTATTTCAAAATTTCCATAGACTATAATTACTATCCTATTAATTATAATATTAATAATATTTCATTTTCAATACCACAACCTTTTAATTTTATTGGTGGGATAATAAATATAATTATTACAACAAATTCATGATTGAAAAACAATTTGACCATTATTAGTACATAATATAACTATCAAGTAAAACTTCATGAATTTATAATTTTCAGAGGGTTATGCAATTTCAGGTATAATTCAATATTTTTTTGACAAAGTTAATTATTCATAAAATACCATGAACATTGTGATGAAATATTTGCAAGGTTTGATACCCTTCACCTTATCAAGAGCATGTAATGCTTCAGAAGAAAATAAAGTCAATAAGACATGAAGTGTTTGTTTTAGAATACATCAAAATAAATTTTACTTACGACTCAGACTCCAAACTTTTTAATTTGGCAACATAATTGGATGGGATGTATCCTTCAAGTTTGGTTGTCAAAGATTTAGCATACCACCAATCACCTTCTGTATCTGTTTGAATTTCTAAATGTTCTCCCTTTCTAAAACTGAGATCTTCTGCTGTTCTAGCATCATAGTCATATAGCGCAACAAATATTTTTGGGGCAGTTCTTGGTAAATCTCCTGTTTCTACCTTTGGTGGACTAATTGGCACAGTTGTGGTACTCCCAGGTTGTTGAGGTGTACTCACTACCATCAACCCAACCTGGTTTGGATTTGCAACACTACCATTGGCATCTGATGCATTATGCTGAGGTGTACTAGTTGTACTCAATCCCACCATAGGAACAGATGGTTCTGGGTTTTTCTGGGGGCAGCTGAAACAGCCACCCATTTTGTACCTTACTTTACACTTCCTTGCAGACAAAAGTTACATGCTTCCCTATGCAAAACTGTGACAATTCTGCAGATATTTTCATAAAGGTTTGTTTTTTCCCAATAACATTATTTTTTTCAATTGATGAGTAATAAGCCAATCAATTTTATGCCATTGTGTAAATCAAAAAAATCGAAGGAAATATCGCGATATAGACAATGAATAGGAGAAACAGTTGTACTTTAGAAAAGATTTTAAACACTTTTAAAGTTCCTTCGTGAATAAATTCACAAACACACAAATTTTAACTTGCAAAATGCAGAAAAAGGGGCTAATTGTCATATTTTTTAACTAAATTATTCATGATCCCATTAACCGGAACTGTACTAAATTTGTAACGAACGTTTTGATTGGATGTTGACACCGGTCGATTATTAACTACCAAAAATGTTTTAAAAACGACAAAAATACACAATGGTATACTGTCCAAGGAGAAATGAGAATTTATGATAGCCTGAAGTTGCTGTAAATAATCTATAACTTAGATGGTGACCATTGCATGATGACCGAGTATTACACTATTAAAAGCAATCAGTCAGCGGTGACCCATGCATCTATATGTGCAGTAATAAATAGAATGAACCATGTGCATTGTATTTTACGCTAGAACTCTGGCAAAAATCTAGCTTGATCCAACGATCTGCTCTTCTTTTGACATTTACAATATGATTTATTTGTACATGCATTTCATTGTGGGAAGTCAATATTGAGAACCATATTCAAGCTGAATCTGACTTATGTCCAATAATCTATGGACATAATAGGTTTAATTAATTTGAACTCCATGAATATATTGTGTTATATATATGTGTTAGGCCGAGACAGAAATATAGATGTTGTGTCGAAATGATCAGAAAAAGTGATGAGCATCTTAGAAATCGTATGTATACAAGATTGGAGGTTATTTAAAGAAAAACTGTGTAGAATGTGAAAACCAGGTTCCTATTAATCTAAGTGGAGAATAATAGCGCTGTCTAATCTGTTGAACATTCCTATAAAGACAATTTGCCCCTCATCATTTAATTGAACACTGCTCCCGCCCTCCATTCGCAGATCCGGACCACGGTAAAATGACAAAATGTGGGAAAACACAATGCTCACTGAAATAAATACATCAAAAGTTAAACATGAATGGTTACCAAAATCATTTTGTGCTATTAGTTGACATGAATAGAGGATATTTTGAATGAGTGTAAGTTCAATACTGTATTAATTATTTAACGAGTTGAATAAAACTGTATCTGGTGAGCATGATGTTATTTTATTTAACGAGTTCAATAAATTCAGGGCCGTGCGATACCATTTTTACAAAGACGCAAAAGCGGCATGGGTATGTGATAAACAGGAATACGCCGCCGGCTGAAAACATCCACGACGATGTTCTGTAACATGAAATAACTTCCCCTAGAAGCTTTTGACATTTATAATGGTCTTCTTTATTAATGTTATTAATTAATAATGCTGTCTAAGTCGGAAAATTGCTGAATAATTTCTCTGATTATCTTACTAACAGACGTCAATATATCGTTGATGCCGAGTCTAATTGGTCAAGTTAAATGCAGGCGTTTCTCAAAGAACATTTCTAAGGCCTCTTTTGTTCCTGGTACACACCAATGATACTGCTGACGACTTGAACTCAAACATACATCTCTTTGCAAATGTTACTAGTTGGCATAAAAATAGTATCTTATAATTATTTCTGCCGCAGCAACAATACTCTGCAATCTGATAAAATTTCAAATTGGTCTGATAAATGGCTTGTAACATTCTGCCTTTATAAATCGGAAACTATGATCATTTCACGCAAAACATCTAAACATTATCATTCGCCAATTATGAATATGATAAGCCCATCTCCTCAGTAAAAAGTCAAAAACACATTGGTCTTTACATTTGCTCTCGGCATGCACATATTAGTTCTATCAAATAGAAGGCTAAGAAAAACATTCATATCAGGAGAAAACTTAAATTTACAAAACAAAAGAGAACAAGAAATTATATATATTAATTCATAAAACTTCATAATGAATATGCATTTGTAGTCTATGTCAACTCTACACAAATATGAACAACCTGACCTTTATAAATTTCAATAGGAAGCCGCCAATAATAAGCCAATTGTGGGAAGACTCAACGTACGGAAACGAATAGTGGTTTTAATAACTGGAGAGCCTTGAAACTGGCTGCATCGCCAAATCTGTTAACATAATTATATAAGATAAACTTGTTTCAGTAATTACATGTTAGAAATACTGGTGGTAATAAACTTAGAACATATAGTTTGTTTAAAGATACTCCGGTTGTTGAAAAATACCTCAAGTACAATTTACCCTTCCATCATAGAAGTTCTTTGACAAAATTTCGTTGTGGTGTTGCGCCTATCCGGTTAGAGACAGGCCGTTATGAGAATTTACATGTAAATGATAGAACATGTTTCAATTGTACCACAAATGTTGAGGATGAGATTCATGTAATTTTACACTGCCCAGTATATAATGATATCAGAGAAGATTTGTTGGTAAAAATACGTCAAATTAATACTGTATTTGATACTCTGTCTGACATGGAAAAGTTATGTTATGTACTAAACAACTTTGAAATTGTTAAATATTCTGCCAAAGCCTGCTACCAAATACTGCAACTTAGACGTTTAAGGCTGTATAGGAGATAAATTTTTTACTTTAACTAATCTAGTCATTAGTTGTATTTTTTACTGAATTTTATGTGGTTTTTACATGTTTTTAACAATACAAACTGTTGTAAATACATGTATATATGTACAACAAGTATGAGTATGGTGCTTTTAAAGTTCTTTTATCAAGATATTTTTAATTACTAGGTTAAAATAGGAATATTGCTATTGATATAGAAAACAGGAATGACATTGTATGGTTTTAATGCCTATGTGGTATAATACTGATCTTGCCAATTTAAAAAGCAGCCTGGAATTCCCAGGTGTACAGACTCCTTCAAAGTATTGTAATAAAGGAATTTATTATCATGAATTTTATATTTAACTTTTAAGGGTATTAGCTAAACGATTTTATGAATTAAAAAGTATTAATACACAGGGTTAGCTCAAACAACAATTATTGTCATAGTAATATAATTAATAGACAGACAGACACAAACTTGACCTCTTTGATCATATACATATGTAATTCATGTTAGATTGTGTCTAAATATTGACTTTTTATTCTTAAAAAGTAGATATTTTAGAGATTATTTTAGAGATTATTTTAATAGTTTTACAGTCTCTTATAACTCCTTATGTAGGAGTGGCTTTGTGTTGTGTAAAAATGTTGTGTTTTATTTCTTAAATATATGTAAAGATGCACATAGATGAGACTTAAATAAAATATTTGAGTTGAGTTGAGTTGAGTTGAGTTGTTAAACGCAATGGCAAATATTTCACAGAAAGACAAGTAAACGAGAACATGAGCACAACCCCGTTCAGTCCCACTTGAAAATCAACAAATTAAAGTGCATAGAGTGCACCATCGTCTAGTAAAGACGTATTTAAGAAGAGGATCCTCGTTTCAGAACTTAACTGACAAAATGTAGTTCATTCACGAATATGTGTGCATTGTGGAATATGTTGGTACTTTCCTACCAAGAACATTCCATGACTGAGTCATTAAACCTGAAGAAAATGTAAAGTTTATTAGAACAAAACCCTATATAAGAACTGTGCTCATTGATAACTTAAAACAGGGACTTATAAAAATGTAAAAAGACAAATGAATAACAATTTTAAATATGAGCACAAACACAAATAAATACTTGAAAATATAAAGTATCAGATAAACCAACAAAGCCGCCCTGAAAAGGAACTCAACATTGAATGCAAATATGATAATTTCCGCCTATGGTATCAGAACTATGATAAAACGTTCTTATAATTATGCTGCTAAATTATATTTATATATATTATGAGGAAAATTATACTTTTATACAATGTTTTAATAATTCAATGTCCACATTTTATGCAAAAGAAAATAGTATTTTCAGTTCTAAAAAAGATTTTATTACTTATTATATTTTTTATACATTTTCACCTTTCTCTTTATTGAAAATTGTACAATCAATTTTTGTTTTGAATTTTAAAATTCAATTCTCTGCAAAATGAAATATCCTGTAGATTTTTATTTTGATTATGTATATCTATTTCAATATATGTTTTCTTTTCACATAACTTGGTATTATTAAGTGACTTACATTTCATTTTTCTTGTAAGATAATACGAGAAAGCATCTAGATCATCCAGAGGTTGGTGTACTGTTTACTGTTTTGATGTTTTATTTCTGCATAATTTTTTTCTTCTATGTAAACGGTAACCAATTTCTATAAATAAATTGTATGTAAATTTTATCCACGCTATAGATTCGCATCAGGAAAAAATTATTTTTATTATAATCGAATACAATAAACCAATTCAATATCAATAAATCTGATAAGTCTATATATAAACATACAATATCATCAATTTCTTTGAATATCAATAAATATAGTCTTATAATATATATATTATTAAAAAGTAAAATACCTCAATTTATTACAACAATAGTTAAATTAATGAAAAGACAGGTGTTCTAACAGATAGAGATCAAAGGTATATCCAATCAAGTACGAATTAATCAAATGATTTAAAGTCACTGAAATGCCCTTGTAAGTCATTTAAAAATATGGCCATTTATTATCAAACTTTAAAATAAGAGAAATTCTATGTCATCAAACGTATCAAATTTATTTTGGCATAAAGTATGGAGTGAAACGTCTTGACGGACGATAATTTTAATCCTAGTGTGAACCGTCTTGGTGCGATCCGTCTTGGGATTTCACGTCTAACAGTACACTTTGTGGTATTTTCTTCTCTTTATTGTATTTGTTCCGTCCAAGCGAAATGACGTCATAAATATGGTCGACAAAAATTAGTGTCGAAGTTAGCTAGATGTTCTTAATTGGAAACCCGCTTTAAAAGCTGTGACATTTATTTTACCGTATGTTTTTTCATTTGTTATAATGATTATTTTCTTATAATGTTTTAAAGAACCTACATTATATTCGTTATCAACAGATTAAGCGACTGTCACTCAGGACTCAGTTGAATATTTTTTGTTGTTCCGTGATTGTATAATTTTATAAACCGTTTCAAAACTTTTTTGCGTCATCACATATTTAACGGTAATGGCACATTTCCTTATCATGCAGTGTTTCTGCCAGACTAGATTTTTTGGGGGTCATTTGTGACACTCTGTATAAAAATATGGGGGTCATTTGAAATTATTAAGGGTCAAATTTTAAAAAAGTAAAACTACAAAAGTAAATCAGAACTGTTTG